TGTGAGACTCTAGTTACTCCTTATAAAGATATTATATTATTGCTACATTTGGATTCCCCCACCCGCTAAAAAATCAATATATTTGTAAAAGCAAATTAATTTCGGCAGCTGTTATTAATTTCAGCAAGTATTGAAGTCAAACAGCGATGGGGAAAGGAGTGAAATTCTGGTTAGTCATCTGGCCTTCATCATCACAGGAAGTCCCCGTATGATGTACCTATCTATATTGTTTCCCCTCTGCCCTAAAAAATGTGCAATTCCAGTGATGAAAATGCAGGGGGAGGGCAGGGAGAGGGGAGGAAAAGGAGAAGGAGGTGCTGCCAGGCTTATAAAGTCCTTCAGATCTGACAAGCATTTGCTTTCACCTTCATCTTCTTAGTGATTCGCAAGCATAGCATTAGTCAGAGCTATCCAATCTCGTCGCCCCTGCGGCAATGAAGGCACCACAGAAATAAATCTAACACAATCGAGGCAGCTCTACATTTATGGGTATTCTTTTGGAACTCGCTGGAATCTCCTTGGTTGATGCTGAATGCACATGGGACCTGCACAACTCAATAGGGCCACTGAGAAATAGGAAGTTTGCTTCCTTCCATCTCAATATGGAACTGAGCATCAGGATGGGATGGGAGGCGGGGGCCGTGATTCTAGAAAGGGGTGTCCAGATTCTCCTCTTCTCCCCCAGAAGCAAACTAGGCAGGCTAAGTGTCCCCTTTCAGCAAAAATCAAACCCTTTCCCCTTTTATCTCATGTGTTGCAGGGGTTGGACTAGATGACTGACTCTACGATTCTGTTTATTCCATTCCATGATTCTCTGTGTATTAGGTTGTAATGGTGAGGGCAGGGACTGTCATCGCTGACATAGTAAGCTGCTTTGGGTTTCGTTTTTTTGGCTGAGAAGAAGGTTTAAAATGCTTAAAATCTGGGATGCCTAACAAGGGTTATGCAAGGCATACAGACCCCAATTCAATTTGGGGGCCCAATTTAGCAATATTGATTGAGCCCCAAACTGAACTGGGGAACTTGCACTGTCCTAAGTTTTAATTAGGTTTTTTGGTCTGAATTTGGTTTGGGGTGCCAACCCCTAGCTGGGCTAACCCCTAGTTCTGAGGGAACTGGTCTTACCTTCCCCATAACAATTTTTCCTGGCCCCTCAAGATTTTGGTGGTGGGTGGTAAAAACAACAGAAAAAATTAAGTCACAGGTAGGTAGCCATGTTGGTCTGCTGTAGCCGAAACAAAATAAAATAAATCCTTCCAGTAGTACCTTAGAGACCAACTAAGTTTGTTCTTGGTATGAGCTTTCGTGTGCATGCACACTTCTTCAGATACACAGAAAAAATTAAAGCAGAAATATCACAGCTGTGGGCAGAGACCAGCACACTAGTGAAGGAGCAATCCACCCCCTCCTTGGCCATCAGAGAGTTCATTTTGTGAATGGAGAGTGGGCTGTCAATCCCTTTTCTTAGCTGATCTGAAGAGAGGAGGGGAGGCTGCCTACCTGTGTGCGACCTATGTGTGTCTGCATAGGAGTATGCCTGACTAATCAGCTGCACGTTATTCTGCATGTTGATTTTAATATTGACATTGTTTAAATTGTTATGCAGTTGCCTCGAGATTGAGGTTGTAGGCAGTATAAAAATAGTTTAATAAAATAATAAATACAGTTATTAAAGGTTAAACCACTGGGAGTTAGAAACGCTTGCTGGTCTGCTGCAAAGCATCCAGCGTTTGGCGAGTAAATCCCAAAAGTACCTTCTGTAAAGTGCATCCAAGCACAGGCGAATATATTTTCTGAATATTGTTACGCTGCTGGCCTGAGTTATCTGAAGCAAGAGAAATGAACCTCTTCTTTAAGCTTTCTGTCTTTTAGCATATTCCTGATTGCAAAGGGATTCTGGCAGATGCTTGCTCGGCAGCTGAGACAACACACAAGTGAGGAGTGGGAACCAGAAGTGTTGTTAGACAGAGATGCTGAGAGCATCCCTCAAAAGTTAAAGGGTAGCACCTGACAGTATCTGCTCCAAGTCCTGATATGGAGGACAAATAGGAAGGGGATTGGAGCAACAGAAGAGAAGGAATGATGAAGAAATCAGGCTAGTTCAGAGATTTAGAAGGAAAGGAGGAGAGGGAGACAAATTCATAGGGGAGAGGGCTATCGATGGCTGCTACCTATGATGGCTATGGTCTACCTCCACAGTTGGAGTCAGCAATGCTTCTGAATAAGAGTTTCTGGAAACCACAGGAGGGGAGAATACTCTTGTGCTCAAATCCTGCTCACTGGTTTCCCACAGGCATCTCGACTGGCCGCTGTGAGAACAGAATGGGCAATTGACCCGAACCAGCAGTCTCTTCTTATGTCCATATATTCGTCTTAGGCAATGGAGGGAAAACAAGCAAGCTGAATTAGTGGATGTCTTTGGTGAGGACAACAGAGGGGAAACAGGAAGTACAGTAGTATAGAATGGTCTGGGGCTCTCATCCCTAGAAAGGAAGGAGGCGAAAAGACAGACAGGAGAGGACACTGTACAAGAGGAGCAAGGAGAAAAACTGTATCAGGGAAAACAGGAGAAAACATCAGAATGTCAGAAGAGCTTGTGGGATCAGGCCAATGGCACATCTAGCCAAGCACCCTGTTCTCACAGTGGCCAAACACATGTCTGTGGGAAGCTTTTCATGCCCCTTGAAAGTCCCTCTTCACAGATGGAAAGTTAGTCCAGCCCTAGTTTAACCTTGGAGAACACTGACTCTTTCCATCTTTGTACATATAAAAATCTTGCTGCTGTGATACAGGCACAGCCCGCAATTTAAAGCTCTGTGTCTGAACAGCTTTTTCTTTTTTGCTCCGGAGCTTTCCCCACAAAAACCCACTCTTTAATCGGAGCAAATGTCAATCCGTAGAAAAGCCAAATTGATGTTGATTCTGATTCAGCTTTAAAGTGGATCTTTAAGGCGCACAATACAGTGGTACCTCAGGTTACAGATGCTTCAGGTTACAGATGTTTCGGGTTACAGACTCCGCTAACCCAGAAATAGTACCTTGGGTTAAGAACTTTGCTTCAGGATGAGAACAGAAATCGTGTGGTGGCGGTGCAGCGGCAGCGGGAGGCCCCATTAGCTAAAGCAGTACCTCAGGTTAAGAACAGTTTCAGGTTAAGAACAGACTTCTGGAACGAATTAAGTTCTTAACCCGAGGTACCACTGTAAAATGCTCGGAGACAGCGTGTGTATGAAAAGAGCAGGGCAAAGTGTGGATAAACCCTTAGTTTCTTGATTTTACTCTGTAGCCTTTATATTATTCAACTGTATGCAAGAATTGCTAGTCTGCCAAGTGAGGCCAGCAGGCATAAGCGACAGGGCCTTTTTAGTGGTTGCCCTGTTGGTGTCAATGATAATGATAATAATAAAATTTGAATTTGGAAGCACTGTTGCCACCAACTGTAGATGCAGAACATAGCCATCAGGACTTATTAGTAGACACGTGTAGAATTGCCCAGAGGTTTTGAGGACTCCTGGGGTCAGAGACAAAGCTGACATTGGTGCTGTCAATGGCATCAACTGATGGTGTTATAGGAAGAGAAGAAGAAGAGTCCAGAGTTTGGTTCTCAGAGTGGCCAACCAGATGCCCACAAGAAATCCACAAGCAGGACTGTGTTCTCCTTATTTACGATTCCCAGAAGCTGGTATTCAGAGGCGTATTGCTCCAAAGGTGGAGGTAGAACAAAGGCATGTGCTCTGTGTGTCAAGTGGCTGCCAGCTCTGTACACCTCAAAGCAATCAATGTCAAAAGAAAGTAGTGAGATTCTGGTGCAAGACATTTATTGCTCTCTCTCTCTCTCTTCCACTAAAATATTACTCCAAATGGAAATTGAACTCTTCTCTTTAATTTGAGGATTCAAACAGGAACAGATCATGCAAAGCAGTTCATCATTGTCCCACGATAGCGACGCAAACCTGCATGCGCGATGGAGATAATTTTCATACATTCTATTGTTAGAGCACCTTTAGCATGACAAAGGAAGAACAAAGTTGCACAATGATTAGCATTTTAAATGGTTTATCTTGCCCTGAGATTTGACTTCAGCCTTTTGTCGGCTTTTCAGATTAGCACAGCGCATAATGACTTTTGCGAAGATGATCCTTCTGATTTGACTGGCGCACGAAATGTAATAACTCAGCGTTCCCGGGCTTGGGAGAATAGAGTTTCCTTTCCCCCCACAAGGAAGGGCAAAACCGGTTTGCAACTCAGAGGAATACTTTTAGCTTCAATCAGGGGTGGGGAAGTCCTTTTAGCCCAAGGGTTGCATTCCCATTAACAGCAATCTTCCAGGGGCCACTTGCCATTGGCGGTAGGGGCCAGAATCCAAAGGTGGGGAAAACAATGGGTACAAATCTTACCTTTGTACTGTTGGCTGCATTCCAGCAGCCACTCACAAATCAGAGGTTTTTGCATGCAAACACTCCTAGGTAAAGGTAAAGGGACTCCTGACCATTAGGTCCAGTTGTGACTGGCTCTGGGGTTGCGGCGCTCATATCACTTTATTGGCCGAGGGAGCCGGCATACAGCTTCCGGGTCATGTGGCCAGCATGACTAAGCCGCTTCTGGCGAACCAGAGCAGCGCACGGAAACGCCGTTTACCTTCCCGCCGGAGTGGTACCTATTTATCTACTTGCACTTTGAGGTGCTTTCGAACTGCTAGGTTGGCAGGAGCAGGGACCGTGCGACAGGAGCTCACCCCATCGTGGGGATTCAAACCGCTGACCTTCTGATCGGCAAGTCCTAGGCTCTGTGGTTTAACCCACAGCGCCACCTGCGTCCCATGCAAACACTCCTACTGTGTCTCTATTCAAGCAAAAAAGAAGTATTATCAGTTCCACCCAGATTACATGACTTGGAAGGGTACTGAGGAAGGTCAAAGAACCATAGAATCATAGAACTGTAGAATTGGAAGGGACCACAAGGGCCATCTAGTCCAACCCCCTGCAATGCATGGACCTTTTTGCCCAACATGGGGCTTGAACCCACGACCTTGAGATTAAAAGTCTCATGCTTTACTGACTGAGCTATTGAGGCCTGGAGAGGAGGTGTAGCTTGGTAAAAGACCTGTGAGCCTGTTGAAGGGCTGCATCCATCCCCTAGACCCGAGGTTTTCCACCCCTGGCTTTGATGGAGGCCGTTATTATTTGTGACAATTGATGCCAAAGGTCTAAGAGGGCTTTGAGGTAGGGCTCCGAAAGGTTTATTCTGGGATCTTTTTGCTGTGCCTGCTGGAGTAGCCAGTTCACGCATGACTTGTGTGTGTTTATTGTTATATTTGGATGGCTTTTGTTGTAAACCGTGGAATAGGCTCATTAAATAGATATATCCTTTTGACACAAGTGGGGCTTGCTTGCAGTGAGGGGTTGGCAGAGCGATTGGTAGGAGCAGGGCAACAATAACTCACACGGTGCTAGTGAAGTTAACGGTTCATTCAAAGAAACAAAACAGCGCAGGAGATCAGGCCTCGTGAGCACAGCAACTATTCCGGGTAGATCTTGCCCCAGTGAGGCAGTTGCAAGGACTGAAGAGACTTCCCACAGCTCTCTAAGTTTCCTCTTCCTGCAACGCCATCACAAGCAATCTGAGGCTTCCTTGCATTGCCTGTCTCTGCTCCTCTCCCTTCATACCACTTCTGGTCCTGGGGTACCAGGGAGGAGGGGAGCTGGTCACAGCAGGAAGGGGAGACCCCCTGGCTTCTTCAGCAGCCTGCCTTCACTCTGTCTCTTGAACCCTCCCTCTGCTTCTTCCCTCTACTCTGTACTGCTCTCTGCCACAGCCTCTTCCTGCTCACGAAACCCTGATGCCTCTTTAACTTCTGACACCTCTTCCTCCCAGTCTGCTCCCTCTATTCCCTCTGACCACTCATCCTGAGGGCCGAATAGAGATGTCTGAGGGGGGCATGTTCTGTTTCCAGACCCAGGGCTAGAGGCAGACTTAGGTGCTATGGTGTCCCGTGTGAGCCCAAAGGCGGGTAAGGAGGCACTTGGCTTTAGGAAGGAAGCGGGATGGCTTCAGGACGCTGTCAGAGCCTCCCTCCTTCTTCCCAAAGCCCAGCACCTCTCTTATCTGGCTTTCAGAGAGCACCCCCTTGGATCAGCACCTGGTGCATGCACCTGATTCACACAACCCTAAATCCCCTCCTCCTCGCTGCCAGGGCTCTCCATCCCTGGTATATGGAGTGGCTTAAGGCACGTTCAACAGGTAGACCATGGTGTTAGGATTCTTTTCCCGGGCTGCAGTTTTTATCACATGATGGTGTGTGTTTTCATTCCACATTGTGGGAAGTCATGGAGACAGGATGTTTGTATTACTGTGTTTCTGTGATGTAGGACGTTTGTCCTTTGTTCTCTCTTTCTGCTGTCTGATGCTGAAGAGGAAGGAGCTGAGTTACGATGCTCCGAGTGTGTATATGTAAATAAATGTAGTTTAGCCAAATGCTGTGCTACTGAGTCTGTACGCTGACTGCCTGTACTCTGCTGATCGTGAAGTGTGCTGATGCCTCTAAGGCAGTTATGTCCAACAGGTTGATCGCGATCTACTGGTCAATCCCTGCGAGGTTTTGGTCAATGGCGGTCAGTCGCTGGCCCCCTTCTGGCCCCACCCCGCCCTCCATTGTTGGAGAATGGAAGATGGAGTTTACAAACCCAGGCTGTCCCCCCCCCCGCCAGCAATCCTTCGGTGACTTGCTGTTTCTCTTTGACCCCAAAATAGTGTAAAAATGCTGTGCCCCCCCCAAGCTAAGCCTAAAAATGGGGCTCTTCCCCTCCCTAAAAGAAGCTCAACAACTTTGACCTGAACCCCAATAAAACGCGGTTTTCCCCCTCCCTATAAAAAGTTCAACAACTTTGACCTGAACCCAATTGGTAGATCACTGCCTATTTTTAATTTAGTGAGTAAATCGCAGTCTCTTGGAAGTTGGCCACCGCTGGTCTAAGGTATCAGTCGCTGTGATGTTCAGGCTGGAGAAAGATTTTGAATCTCCCTCATGAACAACCAGGAGGGAGAGAACATGCCAGTCGGGAATGTGTCTCTTCCAGACTCCTACTCGTGTGTAGGACCTCTTGACACATGGTTCCACTCAGATGGGACTACAAGGACGTACACCTTGCATTTCGTCTTTTTAAAAATCGTTTTAATTTTTTAAAAAATGAAAGAAAGAGAAACGAGTGGCTGTCGCACTTTTACATTTCAGGTTTTGTGGCATGGGCGCGTGAGGTTTATTTTCTTTTGAAGGGAGGTGTTTCACAACCACATTGCAGGAGCGCTACGTGTTTCATCCTTCACACACACAGACATAGGCATGGCGAATCCATGAAAGTCACATACATCAGATACCACGCAAAGAAAACAAGGCACTCTGAATGATAGACAGGTATTCAATGACCAAAAGGGAGAGGGGTCATGTGGGCAGCCAAATCCGCAGGCTGCTTGCCCGAGCGGCAGCCTCGTTCAGACAAAGAGAACTTGGGTGGAGGACTTTGAAGGATCAGGTCCTCGTACATTAAAAAAACAAACAAACAGAGGGAGGGAGGGGGAATCCCTAAGGAGGACCGCGATCCTCGCCATCTTGCAACGTTAAAGCTGTAGATAGGTTGGAGGCTCTCTGTCTCTCTTGCCGTAGGTGTTGGACCCCACATTGGTCGGCGAATAGATCGCACCGATGGAGTTACTGGACCGGACCAAGAAGTCTGCCAGGCGCTGTGTCACGCACGTGGCAGTGTTGCACTTCCGTTTCTCTAGGCGGTGGCTGAGGACATTGAAAAGAAGAGACACATCACTGTGAAAACCTTGGGACAGGCACTCCTGCTGCCATGGCTGCTTCACTAGACCATTAAGCTGCTTCACTGGACCATAACTGGCCCTGAGACAATGAACGGTCGTAGATAACTCTAATAAATAAATAAGTGCATAAGAAGGACTCTGCTGAATCAGGCTAATGGGTGGTCCAGCTTCCTGTTCTTCCAGTGGCCAACCAGAGATCAAGATCCCTCTCTCCTTTTGTGGTTTCTAGCAACTGGCCTTCAAAAGCATGGCTGCCCCCAAGTTGTGGAGGTAGAGCACATGATCATAGGTACGGCTATCAGTGGAACAGCTATCAGCTAGCTGTGATAGCTCTGCTCTGCTTCCATGACCAGAGGCAGTAATGCTTCTGAATCACCAATTGCTGGAATCATAGTACCGAAGGGTTGGCAGGGACCCCAAGAGTCATTCAGTCCTATCTTCTGCAACGTAGGAATCACAGCTAGTCAGCAGAGGTCATGGCTGGGGAGAAGGCATGGGGAAAGCCCCCAAGGGCCAGGTAGACAGTCTTCAAGGGCCACATCTGCCCCCATCCCCCAGCCTGAGGTTTCCTACCCCTGGTGTAGGATGTCAGCCTCCTCTTTATTTATTGAACTTTGCACATTGCGTTGTTTGACTCTGCTGTGTTGTGAAGTGACTTTGGACTCTCACACTTTCTTCATTAACCTAGAAGTAGATTATCTCAGAAAGAAAGTTCTCTGAACTGTCATGAACCTTATGTCTAAAACTCCTGGTAGAAGACAAGGATCTAGAGATCACGCTAAGGGTGGCCAAATTCTGTGCAACTGCCATAAAACTTAGGGAACAAGCTGTACTACCAAAATGATCAAGGTTTTAAATGACAATTTTAGGTTATATTTTAGTGATCAAGATTTAATGTATATTTTTATCTGCCACTATATCTGAATTGTCTCTGTACACCCAATTGCAATTCAATGTATTCCTGTTGTGTTTTACGATTTTCCTGATATTGTAAGTGAGCCAGAACTGGTCTGTGACCATAATAATAAAATTCATTCAACTGTCATGAACCTTCATGGCTAGAGCACTTGTTTTTGCTGACCTGGATGGCATGGGATAACCAACACATGATTCTACAAATTCTATCAAGAGATCTAACAATCAAGCAAGGTATCGTCCCTCTTTCCCTTGACATTTACATCTCCAGCTATTTGTACATCTAAATACTACAGAGATCCCCATCTGTTAAAATCTATGTTTTCTTCAATGTTTTGTCGAAGTTGCAGTCCTAATGGATAAAAGATTGCAGCTTCTGTCTGACATAGAGATATATTGTTCCATGTTGAATTTGAAAAGTAAACTCATCTTGCAAACAACTATGATCCAAATCTTACATACTAAAGTTTATTCTCTGAGTGTGGATCTTTATGTAGCTGAAATCAGGGCTGGCCCATCTACTGTATATGGGCCTCTTACCAATCCGAACCAGTTAGGCATGGACTTGTGGGTTTTCCTTCTTCCTTTCTTTTCCAAAAAAGTACAATTGCCTTTTCTTTCTGTTACGATCCCACATGAAGCAATTTTTGAAGATTGCTCCTAGTGGAACAAGAATGAAAAGATTCTTCTAGCTGTCAAAGAAGCACAATAACAATAGACCTAGTGGATTTTAATCAGTCACACCAATCCTTGCAGGAACTTTCCAGAACTTTTCTTCTTAAAGCTGAATGAAGAGGTTAATAAATAACGAAGCTCAATGCATGAAGCCAATATCTTGGTTGCATTGAAACCATATAACGACATTGTACCTTGTTCCGTATATAGGCTGATCTCACTGAAAATCATGGATGCTTGAAAACAATTCTTCAAGCCATCCCTTCAGGAAATAGGTTTCAGCTCAGAGAGACAAGGGCTAGATTTTCTAAGGTGGGAAGACATGATGTTTCTTAGCCTGTGGTTTGCACTCCTATTTGGGCAAATGTCTAGGGGGGTCACATGGCAGTGATAGGCAGGGCCAAAAGCAAATGTGGACTGAGGTGGAAATTCTGGCAGGGAAACTGGAGAAGCTGGAAAAACATGGGCTGGATGAGGTTATTTTTAGTGGATATGTTAGGTTGGCTGACCGAACCCAAAGAGTGCTCATTTATGGTTCCTTGTCATCCTGGAAAAAAGCGACAAGTGGGACGCCACAAGGTTCTGTCCTAGGTCCGTTGTTGTTCAACATATTTGGATACTCATCCAATTTGCAGATGACACCAAATGCCACAGAAGACAGAATCAGGATTCAAGATGACCTCAACAGATTGGAGAACTGGGCCCAAACTACAAAATGAATTTCAGTAGGGTTCTACACTTTAGCAGGAAGAAGCAGCTGAACAAATATAAGGCAGGGGACACCTGGCTTGCCAGTAGTACATGTGAAAATGATTAGGGGTCTTAACATGAGTCAACAGTGCGATGCAGCAGCAGCTAATGCTATTCTAGGCTGCATCAACAGAAGTATAATGCCCAGATCAAGGGAAGTACAGTGGTACCTCGGGTTACAGACGCTTCAGGTTACAGACTCTGCTAACCCAGAAATAGTACCTCAGTTAAGAACTTTGCTTCAGGATGAGAACAGAAATCGCGTGGTGGCAGCGGGAGGCCACATTAGCTAAAGTGGTAGTTCAGGTTAAGAACAGTTTCAGGTTAAGAACGGACCTCCATAACGAATTAAGTTCTTAACCCGAGGTACCCCTGTAATAGTACCGCTCTATGCTGCCTTGGTTAGAGCACACCTGGAATACTGTGTCCAATTCTGGGCGCCACGATTTAAGAAGGATGCTGACAAGCTGGAACATGTGCAAAGGAGGGCAACTAAGATAATCAAGGGTCTAGCCTTATGAGGAACGGTTGAAGGAGCTGGGTATATTTAGCCTGAGAGAAGATATAATAGCCATCTTCAAATACCTAAAGGGCTATCACATGGAGGATGCAGCAAGCTTGTTTTCTCCTGCTCCAGAGGCTAGGACTCAAACCAATGGCTTCAAGTTACAAGAAAGGAGATTCCAACTAAAGCATCAATGACAGATGACCACCCAACATCTGCTTGAAAACCTAAAGAATCATAGAATAATGTAATGCAATAATATAGGTCAGGGTGAGGAAATTCTGGCCCACATGAACATTTTGTGATGTCATCTAATGGTCAGGAGGACATGGTTAAATCCTGTTTTGGCTACATGCACCTGTTCCCTTCTTTTGGCAGGGGATTCTGTTGAAAACTGCTTTCTGATTCAGAAGGGGTATGCATGCTAAAACGAAGGAGCGGGAACCCTCCATTTTAGCAGCACTTCTGACTTGATGCCACTGTGATGTCAGGTGATTGACAAGTGGGCAGCCTATCAGGCCAATCCACATAAAGATTTGGCCCATGGAGCCACAAATCACAGAGCCGACTTGATTCCAGCTTAGGTGTAGCTAACACATAGGCCAGCAACTTCCATCTTTGTTGGTTGGACCAAAGAACAGCTGGTGACTAGGGAAGACGTTGGAGGAAAATATTTTAGGGGGAGCAGTTGCCATTGAATAGAGCTCTTCTCTTTCTTCAGGAGTAGCTGATGGGAGCAAGATATTGTCATGCTAATCATTTTCATGATATCAGCAAGTTCTCTAAATAGCCTTTAAAAAGTGCGTCTGAAAGTTAACATTGAGTCATTGTTGCTGCTTAATGACTTAACTATACTATAATTATCTTTCTTTGAAGATACCATGAAGCTGCTGCTCAAATCGATTGAATGACACCTAAATGGGGGGTCTTTTGCGTGTAACTTACAAGGGTTATTAACATTCATACATTTACAGGGCATTTTGGAGAGAATTTATTCCCTTCCAATTCCCCTCCTTCTACCAGGCATAAAGCAACTGCTAAATGAATGACTCTGAGGACCAGCTAATCCAACCCCCTGCAATGTAGGAATCTCAGCTAAAGCATCCATGGCAGATGGCCACCCAGTGTGGTGTAGTGGTTAAGAGCGGTGGACTCATAATCTGGTGAACCGGGTTCGCTTCCCTGCTCCTCCACATGCAGCTGCTGGGTGACCTTGGGCTAGTCACACTTCTCTGAAGTCTCTCAGCCTCACTCACCTCACAGAGTGTTTGTTGTGGGGGAGGAAGGGAAAGGAGATTGTTAGCAGCTTTGAGACTCCTTAGGGTAGTGATAAACTGGGATATCAAATCCAAACTCTTCTTCCAATGAAAGAGAATTCACCTTCCAGGTTAAGCATGCCCAATTCCCTCAACCATTCCTCATAAGGTTTGGACACTAGACTTCTGCTGAAATCCAGTGATGTCTGCCTGTTTGCACAAGAACTCACACAAGTGGAAGCATGAGAATCGATACTGAATGAGACTGTTATTCCACTGAGGTCAGAAGTGCCTAAACCAATTCGTGGCAGCACTCTTGGATTTCAGATGAGAGCCCTCCCTGGAGATGCTGGGGATTGAATCTGGGACACAAGGCTGAGCTATGGTCCATTCCTAAGAGAGCAGTGCAATGCTTCTCACTATTCTGAGGACAGTTACAGGTGACTGGTCAGCCAACCCTTGACTACATCGAGCATCATGGTCCCTACTTGTAAAATCTGTACAGTGCATTCACTGCTTATGTCTCTCACGCAAAGAGGGAATTGCAGCAAGGAATTTAAAGAGCACACCTCCATTCACAGCTACCTACATAGTTGTTGTTGTTGTTGTTGTTGTTGTTGTTGTTGTTGTTTTAATTAGCATCTTCTGACAGGTATTCATCTCCCTACAGAAGGCATGGTCTGAGGCTGTGCACAGTTCCCTAACTAAAATTAGGAAACTAATTTAAAATTAGCTAGGCACTTAGGAAGCCTACCAAGGCCTGCTGCCCTTTATTATATTTTCATTTGTTTATATCCAGGTCCCCTTTAAAATTGCTCTTTTTATAGCTGTTTAATAAGATAGCATTTATGGTTCCTTAAATGAAAATGCTCCTGGAACTCACAAAGAGCACACAAACCCAGTAACTGTTTACATGGTTGTTATTTTTTAAGTTGTAAGGAACATTCACACATTACATTCGACGAATGCACAGTGTGTGTATGAAAATAGTTGAGCTGTGCACACTCGTACAGTAATTCACAAGTAATGTTCAATGACTGTATAGTCACCTGTGTACAAATGAACAAGGGCTCGCTTTTTCACCCCAACACTTGTACGTGTGGAGTGACAGCTTATACCTGTGTGCAGTGTAATGTGTGAACAACCGTGTACATTTATCTGAGCAAGGAAGACTTAAAAACAAAAGTCTTATTTCCATGCCTGCTAACACTCTCTCCTGAAGATCTTTTTAGGATGGGAGGAAAGAAAAATCCTATGCAAGAATCCTTTGAGAAATCAAAAAGCAGTAACTCCATGCAAAACGAAACCTTTGCAAAGTTTGAAAAGTCTCAAAAGTTTGAGTCATGCGTCTTTGTGGCTTTTCTGATATTTAATATGCCCCCCAAAATATGTCAAGCATTCCTCCTTTTTTTATTTCATTAAAATGGCCTTGGGGGTCAGTTTGATTCTAATTAAAGCAAATGGGAAATAATGAAATACTGCATACTCAAGGTATTAGAGATCTAAATAATCTTAATACTCTTAAATCTTCCCACTTGTTCGCCCCATAGCTATTTCTTATGGATTAGAGTAGTTAGGATAAATTGCTGACAGCCATTCAGTATTTGTATTTTTATTTTCTACTTCCAAGAAAGTTTATGTTCAAGGAAAAAGGTGACCTCTACGAAATAACACTGGAGTTCATGAGACACCCCAGATTTATATCTATATCCTTGCTGTATCAACAATAACACTTCATGCAATCTCATAATTAAATGAAATTGGCATCATTGTCAAGTTCACCACATAAAAAAATAAAAAATCCAAATTTGTGATCTATTCAATCTTACTACCTGATTGGTAAAGTGCTTTTTAGAAATAAATTCAAGGAGGGTTAAAATCTTAGGCAGCTATGAGAGACTTGTTAGCAGAACGTCTATAAAACAGAAGCACTGCCAAATATGCTAGCAGTGGAAAGAGCGAAAGTGCAGATTGCATCTGAAGGTGTGGAGCTGGAGAATATTGCAAACATTGTCTGGAGATATGAATAACCACAGGAACTTGAACAGAATCGCAATGCCTAGGCGAGCCTCAAATGCACTTCACAACACACTGTCCCTCTGAGTATCTTTTGCATCTGAATCAAAAGCAATCCAAACAAATCTGGTACCTTTTGGGCTTTATCGCTTCCTCACCGATCAGTGCACTGTTAATTCCCAAGAAGCCGCTACTTCGGGAGACGATGGGTAAGAGCCACTCTTGTCTGTTGGGAGTGCCATCGGATAAATCATCAGCCAAGGAGAGAAGTCTTTAAACAATGATAAAAAGCAAAATTGCTCTTTCTTTTCACTCTTCTCCTCCTTCTCCTTCCCTTCCTCTTTATCTCCTGCCCTCCCTCTGCCTTTTGCAACTGATATGGCCAAAAACAACAACACCCAAACCCCCAAATCCACTACAAAAAAATAAAAATCATTTGACTTCTTTTTAAAAAGCAGAATATGCTTAATGGTTACCGACCTGTCGACAGGCGTCGCTTCCAGGGAATTTAAAGTAATAGACAAAATGATGAAAAGGAAGGGTCCTTTGAGGCTGCACATCTCTCCTCTGGGTCTTTCTGGGAGTGGTGGGGAAAGAAATCACACAAGACAAACTTCAGCCAGAAACATTCACTGAGCACTACAATTGCATCCACACTGAATATTCAGTCAGAACAGAAATAATAGCCCGAAGATCCCCATTCCAATCTAAACGATTAGAAAACATCTCCTCTGTTTCCGCAGATGTTTTAACAGAATTCTGCCTTAACAATTTGCCATCAATCCCGGCAAAATTTCCAGTTTGCGTTACTTTAGAATCCACCCCTCTTTTCTATACTTTTTTCTGATTTCGGTTTCCAAATAAGAACCCGGTTACCTGTCAGTGGCTGAGGAAGGAGCCGAGGAAATCTAGCAAATGCCAGTATTGGAAGCAATCGTGCAGGGATCCCACACTTGCTTCTGACTCTGGGTTACCTTTCCCCCCCCACCTGCCTTGTTCGCAAGCGATACAAGCACTTATATACCCTTCATAGCTTTCTCAGCTCTGACATCAGGCAGGGAGAGAGAGAGAGAGAGAAGAGAGAGAGCGAGAGAGCGTCTGTCATTAACTTCTCTCCCTATAGATAAAAAGTGCCCCAATAATGAGCAGAGGCTGATGGGTCATCCCTCCATTTACACGTCGGTAAATCTTAGCCAAGCCAATTCGGGAAGCTCTTGTGAAGGGATGCTAATAACGCAAGGCATCGCGACATGAGAACCAAGACCAGCATTTTGAGAAGAGGTCTAATAAGATGCAGAGAGTTTCTGTCCCCTTTGGGCGTTAACTGATGCTCAATAAGGCAACAAAACAGATTTTCTTTAAAAAAAGGAATTGTGAGGCAAGGAAGAGGAAATGAAACGCAGGGCAGAGAACTAATGAAATGCACATAGTTGGGGATTCTGTAAGAATTTGTTTATTATTATTTAGTAATAAAAGGCAGACCTTGTAGCATCACAGTAATCCAAGTTTATGCACCAACCACTGGTGCTGAAGAAACAGAAATTGACCAATTCTATGAAGACTTACAACACCTTATAGAAATGACACCAAAGAAGGATGTTCTTCTCATTATAGGGGATTGAAATGCTAAAGTAGGGAGTCATGAGATAAAAGGAACAACTGGCAAGTTTGGCCTTGGAGTTCAAAACGAAGCAGGGCAAAAGCTAATAGAGTTCTGCCAAGAGAACAAGCTGGTCATCACAAACACTCTTTCCCAACCTATCCATTCTGAAGGAAATCAGCCCTGAGTGCTCACTGGAAGGACAGATCGTGAAGCTGAAGCTCCAATACTTTGGCCACCTCACGAGAAGAGAAGACTCCCTGGAAAAGACCCTGATGTTGGGAAAGATGGAGGGCACAAGGAGAAGGGGACGACAGAGGACGAGATGGTTGGACAGTGTTCTCGAAGCTACAAACATGAGTCTGACCAAACTGCGGGAGGCAGTGGAAGACAGGAGTGCCTGGCGTGCTCTGGTCCATGGGGTCACGAAGAGTCGGACACGACTAAATGACTAAACAACAACAAATTTGTAGACTGCCTGCCATCTGAGGATTGCAGGGCACTTCACAGCGTAAAAATGCAAAATGAGAGCATAAAGTACATAATGACACAAAACAGCAAAAGGGAACCAATAACTTCCCTCCCACAAACACTTTTAATGCCATAGATGGTTTAATTAACCAAAGGCCTGGGAGAAGAGGAATGTTTTTGCCTGGAGCCTAATGATATGTAATGAAGGCGCCTGGTGAGTTTTAATGGGGAGAGCATTCCATAAATGGGGAGCCACCACAGGAAAGGCCTGTACTCGTGTTGTCACCCTCTGCCCTCTCTTGGGGAAAGGCACACAAAGAAGGGCCTCAGGTGATGATTGCAGGGTCCAGGTTGGCTCATATGGGGAGAAGTGGTGCTTGAGGTTCTTAAGAAAGGAAGAACTATCAGTGTGTGTGTGTGTGTGTGTGTGTGTGTGTGTGTGTGTCTTTCATTCATCCATCAATCCATTTATCCATCTTTTCCCACTAAAATTGACTGCAGAAACTGAGTACCCACAACTTTGCAGCCCAAACAGGGCAATTCAGAAATATGGGGAGGCTATCAATGTGCTTGAGAGAACCCAGAGTTTTGCAGAAAGTAGGGGGAAATTCCCTTAAAGCAGGCATCCCCAAACTTGGCCCTCCAGATGTTCTGGGACTACAACTCCCACCATCCCTAGCTAACAGGACCAGTGGTCAGGGATGATGTGAATTGTAGTCCCAAAACATCTAGAGGGCTGAGTTTGGGGATGTCTGCCTTAAAGGATCCTTCCACTTTGGGGAGAACAAAAAAAATACCCATTTAGGACTGAGCATGCTCCCTGGCCATGGAATGCTGAAAGTCTGTTGGGCGTGGGAAACAGAAAACGGCACGCCCTGGTTGAAAGCCTGACTGCCTGGCTGGAACTTGAACAGGAAAACTCCACACAGAAATAATTTGGTGCAGATTGTGTATGTGTGCATGTCTGTGTGACAGACAGTACAGTGGTATCTCGGGTTAAGAACTTAATTCGTTCCGGAGGTCTGTTGTTAACCTGAAACTGTCCTTAACCTGAGGTACCACTTTAGCTAATGTGGCCTCCCACTGCTGCCGTGCGATTTCTGTTCTCATCCTGAAGCAAAGTTCTTAACCCGAGGTACTATTTCTGGGTTAGCGGAGTCTGTAACCTGAAGCATCTGTAACCCGAGGTACCACTGTATTGAAATGAATAATCAGAACTCTACAGTAAGACTGAATTGTTCTCTACGCATCTTGCAACCATGAAGTCAGATGGTTCACAGAGAGGGAAAAATCTGAGTGCACTGTTAGTGTTAGTGCACCTGCATAGTGTCAGCAGCATAGCTGTCAACGTTTCCCTTTTTTAAAGGGAAATTCCCTTATTCCAAATAGGATTCCTCACAAGAAAGGGGGAAAGTTGACAGCTATGGTCAGCAGCCAATTGGATGGGGTTGATTCTGAAGGGTTGTGTATGAACATAGGTGACTGTTTTGGATTGGGACAATGGTGACAGGGACTATTAACCTTTCCCCTCTATTCATATGAAAACCATCCCTTTAAAAACTGACTGCTGCCCTACAGGACAAATAGCGTCAGTAAAGGTCACTCAGCTCTGGCCCTCCAAATGATGTTGGACTACCACTCCCATCATCCCTGACCATGGACTACATCATCTGGGGCTGGTGGGAGTTGGAGCCCAGCAATATCTGGAGGGCTACCCAGGTTAGCGACCCCATAGCATTTGGATGTGGCGGCGCTCGTACTGGGGAAAACACAGAAAAATGTGTGAGGAAAGGGTTAACCTCCCTACCCGAGTTACATGGACCGGAATTTGAATTAGGCTGCTCATTCATTTATCTTTTAAAGTAGGAGCTGCAGCCTTATCTAGTTGCTTACCAAATACTCTTCGCATTATTCCTGCATGATCAGGAATAGGGTGATGGCTGTGCTGAGAGGCGAACCCCTTCTCCCTCTAAAAAATGTTCAGAGCAAAACTTATTGGGAAGAAATCTGGAGCAGAGGCTATTTGTGTCTGCCCCCCCCCCACTTTCAACCATCTGGATTCTTTCCCAAGCTTCCCTCCTTCAACACAAGCATGCACCTCTGAAAAATGGCAGGGGAAAAACGAGAGAGGGGGACGATAACCTGCTTTTTTCATTAGGTACTCATCGGATGACGTTTGCTTGACAGTTCTGCTATGAATAGCGACACCACCACCCCAAGTATTTGGGGAGCTGAGCCTAACCAAGAATCGAGATGTTCGTAATAGTTTTCTGCAAGGTGCAAAGTTGAGCACGCGAATAAACAAACGTGCAGCCGTTCATTGTGTAGGTGGGCTTACGGTGCCAAGAATGACTGGCTGTAGGAAGTTCCATTTATGGGCTGAGAGGAAGTTTTTGCAGTTTGAATGTAGGAAGGCAGAGTTTGGAGCTTGCTGGGGGGGGGGAGTGGCTACTGTGTTTTTGACTGGCAGTGGTTAAACCACAGAGCCTAGGACTTGCCGATCAGAAGGTCGGCGGCTTGAATCCCCGCGAGGGGGTGAGCTCCTGTTGCTTGGTCCCTGCTCCTGCCAACCTTGCAGTCCGAAAGCATGTCAAACTGCAAGTAGATAGCTAGGTACCGCTCCGGCGGGAAGGTAAACGGCGTTTCCGTGTGATGCTCTGGTTTGCCAGAAGTGGCTTAGTCATGCTGGCCATATGACCCGGAAGCTGTACGCTGGCTCCCTCGGCCAATAAAGCGAGATGAGCGCCACAACCCCAGAGTCGGTCACGACTGGACCTAATGGTCAGGGGTCCTTTTACCTTTACCTAGTTTTGATTTGATATCCTGCTTTATCACCACCCGAAGGGGTCTCAAAGTGGCTAACATTCTCCTTTCCCTTCCTCCCCCACATCAAGCACTCTGTGAGGTGAGTGGGGCTGAGAGACTTCAGAGAAATGTGACTAGCCCAAGGTCACGCAGCAGCTGCATGTGGAGGAGCGGAGACGCGAACCCGGTTCCCCAGATTACGAATCTACCACTCTTAACCACTACACCACCCTGGCTCTAGTGGACCTATCTGCCAGCATGCTTGATTCCTACTTGCTTAACCTCTACATTTGCAAATAAACAGTTCCAAAAAAGCAATCCTAAGTCTCTAGGGTGTTCTAGTATCGTCTACCTGCCTGCTTCCCATCTTCTCAACTTAGACATTAGCAAATAACCAGCGCCAGTTAAAAAGGACTTGTTCCTATTGGCATGCATGTCTATATGTGCAATTGATCACACATTATGAAATCTTTAGATTTTTAGCACGCAAACCCAGAGTTGTCCGCGACTGGACCTAACGGTCAGGGGTACCTTTGCCTTTACCTATTTAAAGAGAGTAGTTTCGGTTCAATATACACCAGACAACATACACTGGTATACAGGGGAGTGCAATACTATATAACACTAAAAAAAACCAAAACCAAACTGGAACTTAGAATACAAGAATAACCAGTTCTACGGCAGAGATGAAAATACTGATTAATTGTAGCCATTGTTACAGGATGAAAAGTGGCTGGTTAGGCAAACAATTCAAATCAGATTGGAAGCTTAGTTACAACGAGGGATGCGGGAGGTGGGGTCAATTCAGTTTGCATTTAAAGGCGAACTTGCATCATTCCATAACAACATGAGGACCGAAACACTGCCAGCCCTTTGGAATTCATAGTCATCTGAATTTGGCAATGCAGATCTCCAGCCAAATAATTTCTACAAAAAAAGAAGAAGCATATACTAGGGTAACATGTGCATAAAAATTGAGACATTAGTGAAAACAACATTGTTGTTGTTGTTTAGTCATTTAGCCGTGTCCGACTCTTCGTGACCCCATAGACCAGAGCACACCAGGCACTCCTGTCTTCCACTGCCTCCTGCAGTTCGGTCAAACTCATGCTGGTAGCTTCGAGAACACTGTCCAACCATCTTGTCCTCTGTCGTCCCCTTCTCCTTGTGCCCTCCATCTTTCCCAACATCAGGGTCTTTTCCAGGGAGTCTTCTCTTCTCATGAGGTGGCCAAAGTATTGGAGCCTCAGCTTCAGGATCTGTCCTTCCAGCGAGCACTCAGGGCTGATTTCCTTCAGAATGGATAGGTTTGATCTTCTTGCAGTCCATGGGACTCTCAAGAGTCTCCTCCAGCACCAGAATTCAAAAGCATCAATTCTTCGGCCATCAGCCTTCTTTATGGTCCAGCTCTCACTTCTTTATGGTCCAGCTCTCACATGCATTATATTAGGGGAAATTGCTTGCAAAAATGTGTGTGTTAGGTCAAAATGCCACAAAATTGCCATTAAAAGGTGTATAAATTAGGAGTGATCTGCGGCGTTTCCTGTGGCGTTTGTTTTTGGTTTTTTTGGCATTGCAAGCTCGTGTTTAAATGTAGAGATCTAAACTTAAGAGTGGGGTAATAAAAATGGAGAGAAACTGAAATTGACAGATTGACCCCATTCCTAGTTGCAGCTGGGCCCGTTTGAGGTAAGAAGAACAACCTACCAAATATGGAGAAAGTGTAAAATATGTCAAGCAAATAAGAATAGAATGTTTGGCAGAAGGAAGGAAAGGGCAAAGAGACCCTGCTGCCAGCAGATATGTGGCTGAACCTGGAAACGGAAGATGCTGCCAGGATAGTGGCCATGGACACGATGTTTGCGTGCTTGCTATTTCCTGGCCACCTTTTGGCCCCACAAAATTGAGGGGGGGGGAGAAGGGGTTGCTCGGTGGCCCATCCATGGTGATCAACTAATTGCCGAAGCTTGCAGAGAGCCATGAGTTGAGCAAGACATTGCAAGCGCTGCCAATCAACTTGAAATGTCCCAACCGAACCTCAGCTTGTTGTTTCACCATCCCGACTATCCCCAAGGCAGCCCTGTTTCCCTTTTGCAAACACTTTGAGTAAGAAAGGAGAAGCCTGATGGGACTCTCTCACCTTCGAAGGACTTCTCCGCTGCCTGCTACCCCATCCACAGCTGCCATGGTGAGTTCTTTGCTCCTGGAGGGATGGAGTAGAAAGCAGAGGAGGACTATGTCTTCTTCTATTGGCTGCCCAGTGGATCATTATTGCTCAAGTTTTTGTAACAGCCCTAGTGGGTCTCTGCCGCTTCTGGTGCCCCCAATTTTAGCCAGTCATGTCTTCTTCCCTCTAGCCTTCTAAAAATAGTTGAAACAACAAACACAACATCTAGGGGTATTTCTGGCCAACTACTTTCATTCAGGACAACCCCTCTTTTAAAAAATAAAAATAAAATCCCCCTTGCATTGCTTAGAATCTAACTAGATACAATTGACAGTTTCTGCCCACGGAGAACATTGGTGCCCCACTTCAAGAAATGGAACCTGGTGGGTAACCAAATGGAAATGTTTTTGGGTTATATAAAGCATTGATTGATGAATCACATAGTTAATGGCATTTTCGGGAGAGGAAGAGGACTCGGGAGATGCAGTGATGCCTTTGAACTGTCAGTCAAGCTGCCACACATTTGTTCATGAACCATTTTAACGACACGCACTGCACCTTGTAACAGGGGATCAAGCAGACCCCATAACAGAGGCATGCAAAGATCCCTTAAGGACCTTCTATTAAAGGCCTTGTTTGCCTAAAACAGGGTCTTTTATTATTTTTGTTTTGATACACTATGGGAAAAAAAAGAATCATACTGAACGATAGAGCTGCTTTAGACAACCAGAACATTTGATGTTTCCTAACATTCAGAAATGGATGTTTTTGTAATAAGATGTCTTAACGAATTTGCCTCTAGACCAGGAGAGATCCACCTGCTTACATTTTAAAAAACACCAACCGAACAGAAGCAGGAACAAATGAATGCACGGAGTTTCAGAAATAAGATGCTTGTGATGACCTTTGTTTTGGGAAGAACAGATGGAATAATATCGTTCAGGGCTTTGAAGCTGGAAATAAGGGTGATTGCTTATATAGTCTGTTGGCAGATTTAAGACAGATAAAAGAGGCTGTATTTTTCGCTCCATAAGACGCACCTGGCCATAAGACGCACGTAGTTTTTTGAGGACGAAAGGGAGAAAGCCCCGTTTTTTGGGGGATCAGCTCACAGTTCTGCAGCTTCTTTAGGAAAGGAAAGGGAGCCGTTTCTACAGTTTCCAGATAGATAACCTAATCAGCCAGTCACATGTCTCTGGGGAAATAAAAGACCTCCATCTGCAGAACATTCAACAATGGAGACCTGGGCAAGGGGCCGGAACGGAAAGGGAGCCAGCAATCGACCACACATTCACTCCATAAGACGCACAGACATTTCCCCTTACTTTTTAGGAGGAAAAAAAGTGTGTCTTATGGAGCGAAAAATACGGTATTTCACACAGCACATAGTCAAATTATGGAATTTGCTCCCCCAGGAGGCATTGATGACCATCAAGATGGATGGCTTTAAAAGAGGATCAGACACATTCATGGAGGAAAAGCCTACCAATGGCTACTAGACATGATGTCTATTCTCTGCCTCCACGGTCCGAGGCAAAGGCTTCCAAATACAGCCGCACCTAGGATCCCGAATGTCTTGCGAGTTGAGCGTTTTGCCTCCCAAACGCTGCAAACCCGGAAGTGAGAGTTCCGGTTTGTGAACATTCTTTGGAACCTGAACATCCAACATGGCTTTTGCGGCTTCCAATTGGCTGCAGGAGCTTCCTGCAGCCAATTGGAAGCCGCACCTTGGTTTCCAAACATTTTGGAAGTCGAACGGACTTCCGGAACAGATTCCGTTCAACTTCCAAGGTACCACCGTAACAGATTTTGGGAACAGAATGCTGGACTATATGGGCCACTGGCCTGATCCAGAAGGCTATTCTCATGGAAGCAAGGATATCTCAGTTGATTAGATCATGGTGCTTATAATACCAAATGCACAGGTTGATCCCCAAATGGGACAGCTGCATATTGCTGCATTACAGGTGGTTATGGACTATGTTCTTAAGCCCTGTTTAGACAATCTAATTAGGAGCGCTTTCAGTATGTAGGAAGAGATATTCAGTTTCGTTCGCATTTTAATGCAAGCTTCCCTAAAGTTTTCTGGGGGGGAAATATGCAAAGCGAAATATAAGAAGCCTTCACACTTTTCTGAATTTTGCATTGTAGTTCTCCAACCAAACGGTCTGTACAAGAATGTATGCGTTAGAAGAAAGTGTGCATAAATGTATATATTTATGAAAATAACATGGGGAAATGCATTGTATTAGGGGGAAATGCTGTGTATTGGGGGGAAACATAAAGTATGCAAATCTGCATGCAAAAATATGTATATCAGGAATACTGTGCAATAAAATGCTGGCAAAATTTCATGAAGACTTAAGAAAAATGCACAAGCCAATATAGAAAACTAAACTGATGATTGTGAAGATAGGAAACAAGGAACCTGGAGAAACGAAAATTGTAGATTCACCTATCCCTAGGATTCCACATTGGACCTCTGGTTCACAGAAGTGCCTTTAACAGCAGCCCAGGTAAAGCACAATGGCTGTGGGAGGTTTGGGATTGGAGGGGGGGAAATTGATTCAATTCGTGTTTAAAGGCAAACTTACCTTATTTGCACATTGTGAAACAATACACGAGCTGGAACACAGCCTCCTTCAAATTTTGCGCTTCTCCACCTTTTGCAACGCAGCCTTGTAATGTGTACAAAATGGCATATACTGAGGCACAGGGTACTTATGAATTCAAGTTACTGGTGAAAACCACAATGTAAAATTCATTGCATCGGGGGAAATCGCTTTGCAAAAAGGTCTCCGTTAGCCAGAATCACATACAAACACTTGTGTATTAGGGGATATTTTCACTAAAAATGCTGATGAATTTTTGTGAAAGCGTTTTAAAAAATGCAGAAACTGAAGTGGAAACATAGAGGACTGAACAATAGACCAGAAGAAAAAAAAGAGAGAGAAACTGAGAGAAAACCAAATCGACAAATCTTCTTATTTGGGGCAGTGGACCCTTTGCTAATAAAATCCCGCTTCTGCAGGCATAAAATGCCATATCTGCAGACCGTGAGCCTCGGGTGAAGGGCAGTGTAGAAATTCAAAAAATAAATAAGATGTATGAAAGCAATTGCAAACATACATGTTCAAAGACTGGCAACAACTGAAGTATCAAATTCCATATCTGTGTTCTGCACCAGCCTTGGCCATTGATGAAAATTACAACCACTGCAAATTCCTAACTGCTAAGGACATTATGTATACAGGGGGCAGGTCAGGCTGGGTGAACAGGCATGCAGCTGTTCGCACTCAGGGGAATGCCCTCTGCAGGAGCACCTCTGTTAAAATCCTTCCTCTTTTGTTTGTTTAGGTTCTGTGTTTTTTTTCCTGGCATGCAACATGTTTGACAAACTTCACCTTTGACACCACTCATTGATGCCTTGTGTCAGCCTGTGGTTATGGCTGCCAGTTTTCCAACCAGTCACGGGAGCTGCGCTTAAACAGCCACTCAATCTGCCAGTGGCACACATGCCCATTGCTACAAATCAAGACATGGTTCCAGGAGCCTTTTCTATCAGCTGCCACCCAACTCAGGGTAGACAGGAAGTCAGTTACATTTGTGTGCTTGTGAAAGTTCAGATAGCCAAGTTTGGTCCTGTGCCTTTTAACAGGTGGAAGGGGAGTTGGCTGGCTTGCCCTGCCCCCACAACTCCACCCCCAACCTTTGCACATTGAAACTGAAGCTCAGCAGTTATGCTAATGTCCCTTGAACCTGCTATTCTCCCTGGGAGGAAAAGGCCATTGATTCCAACGGAAGCTATACTGGTGATTTACATTTATGAACCACCTGATACAATAAAAAGTCTTCAAATGACAAAATAGAATCCAATGCATAAATGCAATTTAAAACCATATTTTTTTAAAAAACGAATAATACTTAAAATGCTTAAAATGCTCATCCAGCATCATATCAATAAGGGGAAGTCCTTATTTCCCATTTATGTAGGATCATAGAGTTTGACGGGACCTCAAAGGTCATCTATTCCACCCCACTGCCAACGCAGGAAACCCATGATGTGTGAGAAGAAGATTGCTATGACCCAGATATCTGTTTATGTGCACTCGAAATGTATGAGTCAATTATAGCCATTAAGTAGTGGCACTGGTTTCCTTTAACTTCTGGACTGAATTGGGCCTATTTAGGTGGAACCAGGGTTTAACCAAGCATTTAACCAAGTTGGGAGGACAGCCTCAGATCACCCCAGCTCCAGACTGCCAGAAGGGGAAGAAGGAGAGGCAGGCTGTAAGCTGGGCTGGGCTGTTTGCAAAAAGGCTTTTAAACAGCCTTGCACTGTGCTTTGGCAGAGTGGAGGACCATGCTTCACCAGCATGTTCCCTGCAGGGGTTGCACTGGTGAAGTAGTGTGGGGGGGAAACCCTGTGTCCCCTTCTTTCCCCACCCCCTCCTCTGTGTTTTAAAAGCCCAAATAAAACGTGTGATTGGGAGACAGTGGAGGAAGAACTGCCCCCCCACTGAATTGATTCAGGGCCCAGTTGCAGGTCATATTAGCTGCAGATTAGCCCTAGTGAGGGCTGATTCAAAGTCCCAGACTGCACAGCCGTACTCCATACAATAAGGTAAAGGTAAAGGACCTCTGGACGGTTCAGTCCAGTCAAAGGTGACTATGGGGTTGTAGCGCTCATCTCGCTTTCAGGCCAAGGGAGCCGGTGTTTGTCCACAGACAGCTTTCCGGGTCATGTAGCCAGCAGGACTAAACCGCTTCTGGCACAACGGGACAGCATGACAGAAGCCACAGTGCACAGAAACGCTGTTTACCTTCCGGCCGCAGTGGTACCTAATTATCTTTTTTTTAAATAGTATTTTTATTAATTTTTCAAGAAGAGTAACAAAATATAATAAGAAACAAACAGTAACAAATGCAATAACATCCATAAACAAAGATAATTATACATAAAACCATATCAATTCCATAAAGTGGGATTCTCCGAATCCCCTGACTTCCCTCCCCCCCCATTCCTGGTTCCCTAAATTTCTTATCAACTGCATATCATTTCTACTCCAATCTTTTTCTAACCTCATATTTACTGTACTATTTCTAAAATTACAAGTGTTCTTAAAATCCTGCCACTGTTTTTATCTGTTTGCAATACATTTGCAAAAACATAATAAATATTTCCCATTCTTTTTAAAATTTCTTGTCATCTTGATTTCTGAACATTCCAGTTAGTTTCGCCATTTCAGCATAATCCATTAACTTGGTTTGCCACTCTTCTTTAGTCGGGACTGCTGCTTCTTTCCATCTTTGGGCTAACAGAATTCGAATGTGGTATCTATTTATCTACTTGGACTGGTGTGCTTTCGAACTGCTAGGTTAGCAGGAGCTGGGATGGAGCAATGGGAGCTCACCCCATTGTGCGGATTCGAACCGTCGGCCTTCTGATCGGCAAGCCCAAGAGGCTCACTGATTTAGACCACTAAGCCACATTGGCATTATTTACTCAGCTAGAGTGAAGCAAGTTAAAATGTGAGGCTGCAAATATTTGACAGAAGCCTATCATATAATGGCTGCCACATGCTAGTTAATTTTCAACACGCTGGGAAATAAAAGATCAAAGGCAAAATCAGGAAACATCACTCCACATGTTCCTAAACAGTCACAGCGGTAAGTGAATGACAGCATCTGTTTTACTAAAGTTCTTGAGTGTGGGTTTGTTTTAATATTCAAGTGTGGTTGCTGACAGAGCAGGAAAAAGGGCCATCTCAGCTCTTCTGCCTTTGACTGTGTCACTTGGCGTGCAGAAATCAGAAAACGGTGCAGCTTGCCATGGTGTGGAGATGAACACGGTCGCCTGCTAGATTTCTTCATGCCAAGGTGCTGTTGCAGGTTTCGTTACACAGTCTGGTTAAAAACTTGGCAACCCTGTTTTTGAAGGGTTCCGCCTGCAGTGCAAAATGTACAGACTCCTGTGGGTTCCGAAATAAGTGATGTTTCTGCAGATTGATTCTCTTGCTCTAGGCAGGTTCAAGCTACGCCAGGTAGCATTGCCAGGCCTAGGGCATGCCAACCTGACCTCGTTGTTGCTTGTCTCGTTCCCTGTTGTCAACTTTTTCAGATTGGTTCCATCCATCTGCTCAAAGTGGACTTGAATAGGGTGGAGGGGGGAAGAGGAGCCAGAAGGGCTTGCAATGCACCAAAATGGGACAGGTTGGCAGAATATGGAGGGGGGGGGAATCGTGACAAGCCCCCTAGAGACCTAGCCCTGATTTGAGAGCAGAAACAGTAAGAGGTAATCAAATGGATTTCCTGTTAAATGGCAACATATGAAGGCGTACCTGATTAACTAAAAGCAGTGATCAATTTACGTGTGGTTTACCCATATTTGTTTTGGAAATTTTACAGATTTTATCTGTGTTTTAGTAGTGGTTATTTCACACACACAAAATAGTTTTGCAGATCACAGCTGTGTTTTATCTACAGTTTTATTGTGCACATTGCTTATGAGAGGTCTTGATTAGGCAGCTTAGACAGTGGTACCTCTGGTTACATACGCTCCAGGTTACATACGCTTCAGGTTACAGACTCCGCTAACCCAGAAATAGTACCTTGGGTTAAGAACTTTGCTTCAGGATGAGAACAGAAATCGTGCTCCGGTGGCGTGGCGGCAGCAGGAGTCCCCATTAGCTAAAGTGGTACCTCAGGTTAAGAACAGTTTCAGGTTAAGTACAGACCTCCGGAACGAATTAAGTACTTTACCTGATGTACCACTGTATAGCTTTGCACATAAAACAGTGATAATGAGATTATGACAGTCTACTACATTTCCCTTCCCTTTCTTCTGTCTGTGGAGGGGTGGGGTGAGGCAAACATATTTGCCACACCCCACACCCCTAGAAGAAGAGGAGTGATTGGATCCTCCCATTTGCTTCGCTCACATGCCCAGACTTGTTTGATTGGACTCCTTGTTCTGGTTATGTTGACTGGCAGATCCTTCAGCTGTTCGGCAGTTCGAATCCCCGTGATGGTGTGAGCTCCCGTTGCTCTGTCGCAGCTCTTGCCATCCTAGCAATTTGAAACCATGCCAGTGCAAGTAGATAAATGGGTACCACTGCAGCAGGAGGGTAAATGGCATTTCTGTGCGCTCTGGTTTCCATCACGGTGTTCTGAAGCGGTTTAGTCATGCTGGCCACATGACCCAGAAAGCAGGCTCCCTTGGCCTGAAGAAAGATGAGCGCCACAACCCCATAGTCACCTTTGATGGGACTTAACCATCCAGGATCCTTTACCTTTTTTAAAAAAACCTTTAATAAATATAACCTGTTTCCCCACATTCCTGTTGCCCTGCATCTTCTTTTGATGTGATAGCAATAGCTGTATTTAGATGGCGGGTGAAAATGTACGTCTTTGTCCAGGGTTTTTGGAACCTGAGGGCGTTGATGTTGGTTGGAGTTGAGACTTAGAGCTCAGCTATACAGCTGCAAATATAACGTTTTAAGCGTGCTTTAAGTGCATTATACAAATGTGACACTAGATGGTGACAGTGAGCTAATGGCAAATTCAATATGTTTTTTATTTTTTATTTTTTTTAAGAAGCATTTTCACAGCATTTAAAAAAATATATATGTCTAGACTCAGCCTTAGTGTTCCTGTTTGGTCATGGAGGGATGGTTCTCTTTTATGTTTTGCATTACTGTTTATATTATACGTGGTGCTGTTAAGCTGCCATGCACTTTGAGCTGCAGGAAGGAGCAGGGGTAGAAAGATTCTGATGAAATAAATAAATATTACCACTAGCTAGCACCAATTTCTTTCTTTCCTTTCCGTTTATTATATTCATATTCTTCCCTTCTTCGCAAAGTTGCCCAGGGTATCAAACACAAAAAGGTGTATATTGGAGGGGGGGAGATAATATAATTTAAAATATTGTTATAAGGGGCTCAAAACACAGCTTTCCATAGTTATATAGTTTAAACAATCGCACACAAACAGAAAGTTTCCCAAGAGCTAATGCAGCTCCTTTAGCAGCCAAAGGTTGACACACCCCCTTGCTGTAGACTGAGGAAAACCTGCAAATAGGTTCCTTAACCTGGGAGACCACATTATGAGTTCTGCACAAAGGGATCCAGCGGAGAATTCAGGCGCCCCCAGACTGGCAGTATTTTGCTGGAAGGATTCTGGGTCATCCTGGAACTTTAGGTTTGCCCAGTGGATTAAAGCTCTGCTGCAAAGTTCAGTAAAAAACTAACTTTTTGCCATTTGGAAAAGTGATGAGGAAATGCACTGCAAAGCGTGGGACTGATGAATGATTAACAAGAAGGTTTGTAAAAAAGAAAACTTGCAAGCAAATCAGGTTGAGTTCAGGATGCAGGGTGATGGCGCTGCAACTGCTCTGTAATCAAATCAGAACGAGCACTCAGTAAAGACCAGACATAAGGTAAAAAGGTAAAGGACCCTAACATGGTTAAGTCCAATCAAAGGCGACTATGGGGTTGTGGCGCTCATCTTGCTTTCAGGCTGAGGGAGCCGGCATTTTTCCACAGACAGCTTTCTGGGTCATGTGGCCAGCATGACTAAACCGCTTCTGACACAACAGAACACCGTGACAGAAATCAGAGTGCACGGAAACGCCGTTTACCTTCCCACCACAGTGGTACCTATTTATCTACTTGCACTGGTGTGCTTTCGAACTGCTAGGTTGGCAGGAGCTGGGACAGAGCAATAGGAGCTCATTCTTTCGTGGGGATTCAAACCACCAACCTTCTGATCAGCAAGCCCAAGAGGCTCAGTGGTTTAGACCACAGCACCACCCTCATCCAGACATAAGGCCTCTGTGGACTTGTGGTTGTTTTGAGGGTGTCATCTGCAAAATGCCATTGACATCATAACAGCGCAGCAGTGGTGGATTTATAATGGACCGTCCACACACACCATTCTGCTCTATTAGTTGTTCTGCGATGCTTCCCCAATTTTATTGCATTATTGCTGTCACAAGGGAAGCTATAGCACAATCAAAGCGAAACAACGGAAAAACCTGGAACATTTGTGGTGGGACCGTTTTTAGGTTTTCAAAACAGGGGCGTAGTGTGGTGGTGCCTGAGGGTCATGCCCCTGGGTGCACAAATTTTGAGGGGATGTGAACCCGCGCCCCGAAGAAAGTGCCCCCAGTGCGGTGTGGCCCTGTGCTCTTCTCTGCCTGCCAAGGGCCACATTGACCAGTCAGATTCCCCCCTGTGTGGGCGGGCAGACGGTTCAGCTTGGCCCAGTTTTGCTCCAGTGGGGGTAAGGTTGCTCTGGCAGTGGCGACCCCCTGCCCAGTGCCTGCACACCTGCCCTGGGTGCCAGCAATGAATGCTATGCCACTGTTTCAGTAGGAAGCTGCAGGACATCATACCCCAGTCCGAAATTAAACAGCATGTATACAACAATTTTTAGCGGATGCAAACAGTGTTTTAGGGTTTTGTAAAGTTTATTATTATTTCATTTTATAATAAAATAGAAACAAGAGTTGTGAAAACTGTATTGAAAGCAAGATCGTGCATGTGCCCTGGTGCCATCATGAAAAGGATGCCTGGAGGAGTCCATAGTGGTGCCCACTCAGCTGCTGTTGGACTCCAACTCCCATCATCCCTGACAATTGGTCATGCTGGCTGGGGCTCATGGGAGTTGTAGTTCAACAGAAGGCACCATATTGGTTGCCCCTGGACTCCAACTGCTGTGCGAGCCTTATGCAAGCAAAGCAAAACAAATGCTCAGTTAAACAGTTCATCTGGAGGCACCAGTGTTCATTATCTCAGTTTCACTGTGTACATATTTTGCCTTTAATGAGCACATCAGTGCAACATTTTGGATCCTGTTAGGGGTTAATGGCAGTCGACTGGCCAGAACTCAAGGTAATCAAAGACCTGCAGGGATTAAAATTGTTTAGGGAATTACCCAGGACTCAAGTCTTTTTACAAGCTTAGCTGAAAAAGGAAGAGAGAGCAGAGGAGACATTCAGGTAGTGTGTGGTCCGATCCTGGTCTGAAATGGAAACGGAAGCCAAGATGAGTGATAGCATCAAGGTAGGCAACCCAAGGTTGTGCCTAGTTTATTGTCTGAAACACACTTGCAAGAATAGAGAGGAGAGCTGTAAAGAGAGATATGACCATGTCTTGAAATGGGGCAGTTTTCTGGGTTATTTATTTTGGCTCAAGGTCCCCCTGTTTCTTGTTTCTTTCTCCCGCTCAGCAGGTCACTGCTGAATATAACAAAAGTTTCACTTAGACTTCTTCTAAGAAAGAAGTACATTCAGTCCTGTTCTTTCCCCCCGTTGTCTTGGTTTTGTGTCTCTCGTAAGAGATCCTTTCATTGCTCCACAACTGCAATGGCTTTATCCCAAAAGAAACTCCGATATGGGTTAGATTTGAGGAGAGAAGCCAATGGATTTGCCACTAACAGGATCAACGAGGTATGGATAGCAATAAAGCCATAAAGATGCCACGAGACGGAAAGAGATGGGAGGGAAGATCAGAATTGTAAATGGGGAGAAAAGTCATCTAATGGGAATGTTAAAAATAAACGATCAGAGCTTTGGTTTGATGCAGAGATGGGATGCTTGCTTGGCACAGGGAATATATGACGTTACATTTATCTAGAAAGGACTAGAAGAGTCCTTTTTCAAGAAACATTTTAAAGAATGTTGGGATTTGCAAGATTCTAACGCGCACACACAAAGCCTTTAGGTTGCATGCCATCAAATCCTAGACTGTAGCATGTTTTGGGTTGTTGTTTTTTGTTTTAGTTTTTTTTGCTGGCTCCCTTTGAACTAACAGATCAAGCGATTAAAAGAGTCGCACTGTACAAGCATTCTGAAAATGCTGCTCCCTTTAGTGACCCGAAGAAACGTCCAAAATAATTGTGTAACCAGAAGTTCAGGGAAATAAAACACCTGACGTTCTTTTAAAGCATTCCTTGGCACGGACCTCGCAGGACTTTTGTGTATTGTATTTTCCGGCAAGCAGATTTTCATAACCGATGCTGCAATGGGGATGGTGTGTGTGTGTGGCGGGGGGTTGGGGATTGGGGGCATTATATCTCTCCCATGTTGCACCTAAAACTTTTCCTAAAGGAACAGCCAGCACTTCCAAATCACAGCACTCTGTTTGTAGACTTGAGGGTACATCGAGGTAACTAGCAAAATGCCAGTCATCATTTTTGTGTGTGTGCATGCACATGTGTGTAAAGGGGGCTTGAACCTGCTGAGAGGCAAACTGTACACCTCTGCAAGGCATTGCCATAGAATCAGAGGATCACAGCACCATAGACAACTCTCTGCACATCAAGGACGGAGTTTGGTACTATGGCACCTTCTGCTTGCCCAGAATTTGGCTCCCCCCAGTCCTTGCACCCTGCCAGGCTTTGGGAAGGAGGTGTGAGGGCTCTGGCAGGGTCTTAGAGGCCACTGACCTCCTTCCCAATGCTGGGCAAGTATCACCTGGGCTTTGGGAAGGAGATGGGTGGACTCTAGGACCTTGACAGAGCCCTCACGCCTCCTCCCTGTAGCCAAGCAAATGCTTCGCAGGTGCCCTCTCTGCTCAGCGCTCAGTGTGGGCGAACTGGTTGTGCTGCCCTAAAATTACCTCTGTGCTCAGTGTGGGGCCTTCTATGCATGATGAAGGAATGGCACCTCTAATAAACAGCTGTTCACACTCCACTTAAATATCTCGAGTGAGAGCCTTGCCAAACAGCTCTTAGCATAGGACATTTTGCCTGATGTTCAACAAAAATCTGCTTCCTTTTACGGCTCCCACCTCCATTTGCCCTGCTGCTTTCCCTCCAGGAAACTTGATCTTTAGTGCGGAATTGGAACAAACAGCAACCGGGTTCCCCCCCAGATTGCTGTTAGTTCTGATTTAGCGCTAAAGAATGGGTTTACCAGGGGATGGTGGCTGAGCAAAGGCAAAACCACTTGACCCATGTATAGAAAGTGGGAGTCAATGGGGAAAAACCACTTTCTAGGTGTGGGACAAGCCCATAGTTCCCACCCATTGGACCTAAGCTGGAAAATGTTGCCCACCCCAAGTGTACAGTGCAGATTTTTCAACTATGGCCAAACTGTTATGGTACATGTGTAATATTCCCATTGGGGAGAACAGTGTTGCCCTGCTCTCTAAGCAGTTCCTGGGGCAGCTCTACACACTTGGGAAGAGAAAGTGCCAGTGGAAGCCAGCACTGCCCTACCAATCTACGTAGCTGGGCAGGCTTGCCTAAGCAGAAATAGTTTTAGCAGGTGCGAAAAAAGAGTACACCTACCTGTTGTCAGTTGGTGTTGTGGACTGGCTGGATGCAGAGGAGTGGTGGAAGGAACCAGCCGGGGAATCCCCCAAGGGACGAAAGCTCAGAGCCTGGAGATTGGTGGTTAGAGAGAGAAGAGTTGAAGAGTTTACAGGGTTTAGTGAGCAGGGAGAATCTGTGGCAGAGAGAAGTCCAGAATCAGAAGATGAAGCAGGAGAGGAGGGAAGCCAAGAGGCAAAGATAAGGCAGGCTGCTGAAGAAGCCAGGGTGTCACCCCCTTCTGCTGAGACAATCTACCATCCCTGCCCCCAGTCTCCCAGAACCAGAAGAGGTATGAAGAGGGTTGAGCAGAGACAGACAAGGCGAAGAAGTCTCAGGTTGCTTGGGAAGGACTTGGGGAAAGAGGAGACTTAGAGAGCTGTGGAAAGTGAGGTTCTTCAGCCTCGCAACTGCCTCATTGAGGCAAGATCTACTGGGAGGATTTGCTATGCCCATTCGGCCTGAGCTGTTTTGTTTCTCTGAATAAAGAATTAACTTCATTGAGACCTTGTGAGTTATTGCTGACCTGCTCCTGACTCTTGCCTTGACAGTTGGCAGGGAGTCCCAATGTGCAGGTGCTGCCACATGGAAATATTGATTCTTTACAAAGGCAGAGCAAGTATTACTTGGCACCTGCAACCAGCTCTGCAGATTGAAGCGGTCGAGTGGGTAAGGTAAACTGGTCCCGAGTTGCTAAGAGCTTTACATACTGATAATAACACATTAAACAAGCAGCTTTCTCTCCTGCAAACCAGCAGACCTTCTCCCCAGAAATTGGCACTGCAGTCTAAAGTTGCCTTCAGCCAACATCTCTCTCTCCTCTCTCTCTCGTCTCTTCTAAAGTGGAAACTATTGTTTGATTCTCATTAACAATCCTGTGCCCTCTCCTTCCCATCACCGAGCTCTGATAGGTATCTCATTGTTCAAACTCAACAGACAGATGGCCAACTAACTCCCAACCATTAGCTCTCATCCCCTGACCATTATAGGCTATTATCCTTACAGCAGGTTTATGGGATGCCACCTCACATCTTTTTCAGGGGGATCTGAAACTTCCCCACTTCTTTTCAAGGAATGTAATTGAGCCTAACCTTAAATGAAGCTATCCCACTTCACTTTCCTCTTCTTCCTATGTCAAGCAAGCACCCAGCAAAAAGAAAAGCCAGCAGAAGCCGTTATGCTTTTGGACAAGTTCATAAGAGAATGAACTTGTATTGTTGAGAGAGAGAGAGAGAGAGAGAGAGAGAGGATCTCAAATGTATTGAGTCCAGAGATGTACATGGGTTTTGTATTTTAATCCAGAATAAAGAATCTTGGTGTGCTTATTTAGGTAAGAATCTGCAGGATCAGGGACATGGGTGGCACTGTGGTCTAAACCACAGAGCCTAGGCCTTGCTGATCAGAAGGTCGGCAGTTTGAATCCCCGCGACGGGGTGAGCTCCCATTGTTTGGTCCCAGCTCCTGCCCACCTAGCAGTTTGAAAGCACGTCAAGTGCAAGTAGATAAATAGGTACCACTCTGGCGGGAAGGTAAACGGCATTTCTGTGCGCTGCTCTGGTTCATCAGAAGTGGCTTAGTCATAATGGCCACATGACCTGAAGCTGTCTGCAGACAAATGCCAGCTCCCTTGGCCTATAGAGTGAGATGAGCGCACAACCACAGAGTCGTCCGTGACTGGGCCTAACGGCCAGGGGTACCTGCAGGATCAAGACATGGAGAAAATAGAGCCGTTTCAGCAGTGCACATGCTTTGAAGCTCAGCATATTTCCTGTCTCTTTCTGGGTGATGTGCAGAGGGTCTCTGCGCACATATTAAGATTAGTGATGAACACATTGAGCCCAGTATAATTTGCAATGTGCCTGTTGAATTACAAATCCACTGGCATAAACTTGGGTGGAAATTAGGAACAGAGAAAGCTGCCTTATACTGAGCCAGCCTGTTGTCTCATCTAGATCAAGATTCTTGTGAGTTTGGACAGGATGTGTTTGTGTTAGGCTGTATGCCTCAGCCCCTTCTAATTCCTCAATCCAGCAAGGATTAAAATCTAATAGAGGATGCAATTGTTGGAATCGCCAGGCCAGCTCCTTGGTGACTTAATGGTCCTCTAAGTATGGGTCCGTATAGTAAAAGCTATGGTTTTCCCAGTAGTGATGTATGGAAGTGAAAGCTGGACCATAAAGAAGGCTGATTACCGAAGAATTGATGCTTTTGAATTATGGTGCTGGAGGAGACTCTTGAGAGTCCCATGGACTGCAAGAAGATCAAACCTATCCATTCTTAAGGAAATCAGCCCATGTGCTCACTGGAAGGACAGATCCTGAAGCTGAGGCTCCAATACTTTGGCCACCTCATAAGAAGAGAAGACTCCCTGGAAAAGACCCTGATGTTGGGAAAGATGGAGGGCACAAGGAGAAGGGGACGACAGAGGACGAGATGGTTGGACAGTGTTCTCGAAGCTACGAACATGAGTCTGACCAAACTGCGGGAGGCAGTGGGAGACAGGAGTGCCTGGCGTACTCTGGTCCATGGGGTCACGAAGAGTCGGACACGACTAAACGACTAAACAACAACAACAAAGTATGGGTCGTTAGGGTAACAAAGGAAGTGGCTTTGTGCCAGAGATGTGTGTGAGAGAGAGCTGGGCTAGAAGCAGGATGCAGGCAGAAACCTGAGCGAGAGAGACATGCTTGATTTATGCTTGAATCCAAGGCTGTGGCTATGGGAAAAGCAAGACCTTCTTGGGGCCTCAGGGTCTTCATAGGCTAAGGTTGTATATGTGTGTAAATAAACTATATAGCCTAAAAACACTACCATCTCCCTCATTCCGGGGAAACTGAATCCTGGGTAAGTGCCTGGAAGCTCTGGAATTGTAAACTGCCTGGAGATTGGGATAGCATGCAACAATATTCTGGCAGGGTTTCAGACAGGGGGCACTGTCCACCGCTGAAGTTCCACTGGTGCAACAGACCGATGGAATGTTCTCTTCATCATTTGCCCCTTCCACCCTACCAAATCAGTTCCAGTTTCTGAAGTAGTTTGTGGAAGCAGGCAGCAGGAGGAGAGGAACTGGAGGTCTCCTTGGGCAAGCAAAACTCTGCCTTCACAGTGTTAGATGCAACCCAGCCTGACCTAGAGATGCTGGAGACCTTGAACTTGAGACCTTCTGCTATGAAGTTATTTGTTACCACCAGATTTCAAAGTGTCTGAATTATTGCACATCACTGAAGTGCATCTGGGGAATGTGGCACGCACAATGCAACATTCTTTCCCAACACATGCATCACGGTATCATGGCATTTTATGATTGGTTGTGATCTCATGTTGTTTGCTCATAATTTCGTTGTTTCAAACTAAGAAAACATTTTCTAAAATCATTGAATGAGGGCTCACAATGCTTTGAAGAATTATGAAACTACTAGAGTTGACTTATGAATGCGCTAGTTTTTGAGTGGCATCATTAATCAATGGTTTGTCGCTGATGCTAATGGCACTCAGAGTAGATCTATGGAAATAAATGGATATGGCCAACTTAAGTTCATTATTTTCAGTGGGTCTGCTTTGAGTAGTTGGATATAACCCAATGTGTTTTAGCTATATAACTCTATTTCCCTATATTGTCATATTCAGGAACAACAATTTGATTAGTTTACTCAAAGGATCATTTTACTCCATATGTGTCCACACAATCACTTTGATCTGCAGAATTGGCACTTTCCCAAGTGAGGCCCTGAGGACTGGCTGTCTTCCTTTGTAGCTTATAAAAGCAAACCAACATTGGTGGCTGCCCTTTTTACTACAATAAATAGTTCTGGTATGATTCCTTCTAGCTGGAAGAGAGTAGTAGTAGTTGTGCCCATTTTTAAAAAGAGTCAAGCCAATGACCAAGGAAATTATAGACCTATCAGCTTGCTGTCAATTATGGGTATTTATGCATGAACCAAGATCAATAGTTTCTCTGTGTCCTACATACATCAGGTGTGCCTAAGAGCCCAATGCTATGCATGTTTTCAGACGTCAGTCCTATTGATTTCACTGCAGATTATTTCCAGGTAGGTAAACTGAAAGCACCATGCATCCATAAGCAGTTTCTTGTATATGCAAGCTGTCTGACAGATGAGTCCCTGTTGCTTATCGAGAGGGAAGAGGTGGCAGGGAAGTCATCACAGTGCAAACACACTGGCGGGAGCATTGGATTGGCTTTGATGATGGGTTTGCACCTCGCTGACTTCCCTGCCACCTCATCCCACCCAGTAAACAATAGCTACCCACATGCAGGGAATGTAGTTTATTAGCTGTGTACCCCACCACCCCATCCGCAAGCTGCTTTTGCATACCACTCTATAGTATTTTTCAACTTAGTCTTGTTATGACCAGTACGCTTCTTTTCATCTTTCCCTTTAAAAGGATGCTGGGAAAGATACAAATAACCACAAGGAAGATTCTGCAGCCAATTCAAAAAGCACAATGAAAGGAGCTAAGGAGCCATCTATATTCTGTATGAGCAAGCTGAAGGTAAGAAAAATGCTATGACTCTTTTGTTGCGGATGGATCTGCGCAGACCCCTTGAGAAAGTTGCCGAGCACCTAGGAAGGTTGGTTGACTTTCCTTTTAATCCTGTAAATTAATGAATATTGACTCTTGAGTTTCCGCCTCCTTTGCAAAGGAGAGATGCCCCTTGTGTAATTTACACACAGATGGTTGTGTGACCATTATCCAAATACCTGAGCACATAGAAATTGGAACCCACGCCATGTTAAAGGGGAGAAAAGCAGACGTCTGTTATCTGCCCTCCTATCTCAATTAAGCAGCATGAAGCAGAACAGTCAGTGTGGGCTAGATAATCCAAGAAAACTTGCAGTACTCAACTCAAGGATTCTAATTTAAGATACTCATTAACAATTCAAGAGCAAAGCAAGCAAAGAAAATGGTAATTGTATTAACATAAATCAAGCAGTATTTGCTAACCAGCCCTTACATTGGATAGGTAAAGGTAAAGGTAAAGGGACCCCTGACCATTAGGTCCAGTCATGGACGACTCTGGGGTTGCGGCGCTCATCTTGCTTTATTGGCCAAGGGAGCCGGCGTACAGCTTCCATGTGGCCAGCATGACTAAGCCGCTTCTGGCAAACCAGAGCAGTGCACGGAAACGCCATTTACCTTCCCGCCTATTTATCTACTTGCACTTTGACATGCTTTCAAACTGCTAGGTTGGCAGGAGCAGGGACCAAGCAACGGGAGCTCACCCCGTCGGGGATTCAAACCGCCGACCTTCTGATCAGCAAGCCCTAGGCTCTGTGGTTTAGACCACAGCGCCACCCACGTCCACCCACATACATTGGATAGATCAGGAGTGAGGAACTCTTCTCAACCAAGGGCCACATTCTCTGATGGGTAACTTTCCCATGAGCCACATGCTGATTGTGGGCAGGGCCAGAGGCAAAAGTTGGTGGAACCTTGGCTGTGGTTCTTCTTACTTTATATGGTAAGGTAAAGGTAAAGGTACCCCTGCCCATACGGGCCAGTCGTGTCCGACTCTAGGGTTGTGCGCCCATCTCACTTAAGAGGCTGGGGGCCAGCGCTGTCCGGAGACACTTCTGGGTCAAGTGGCCAGCGTGACGAAGCTGATCTGGCGAGCCGGCACCAGCGCAGCACACGGAAACGCCGTTTACCTTCCCGCTATAAAGCGGTACCTATTTATCTACTTGCACTTAGGGGTGCTTTCGAACTGCTAGGTGGGCAGGAGCTGGGACCGAAAGACGGGAGCTCACCCCGCCGCGGGGATTCGAACCGCCAACCATGCGATCGGCAAGCCCTAGGCGCTGAGGTTTTACCCACAGCACCACCCGCGTCCCTTTATATGGTAGGCTGGTCCCATTGGGACCAATGGGGTGGAAGGCAGGGAATAGATGGAGCCAGAACCAATTGTAGATGGAGCCACCTCAACCTAGTGTTGCCTGTCTCCTTTACATGGTGCAAGACTGAAGCCAAGACTATGCCTGCCCTAGACTGGTTGTAAGTAAGACGGCAGGTAGGCATAGGCTGGATTTACTTGTGTAGTATAAAAGTTGGGCTTCTAACCATTTGTGTCCATAAGCCTTAGCTCATCTTTTAATCCCCCCCCCTTTATCCTTTAATTTGTTTATATAAGAAAACCAGAGGAAGGAGCAAAGACCACAGTTTATCCGGTTTCCTTAAGGGCACCGCTTCTCGAGATTTAAGTGCTTGGCATCGACTCCATAGGCATGGGATAAAGGAAGAGAAGGACAGCCGACTGAATTGCGTTCTGGGTGTCAGGTTTATGGTCTGTCTGTGGTCCCAAGCAGAACTAATGGGATTAAGGCTTATCAGTATTGGATTTCCATGGCCTCTTTAAGTCTTGGGATTAAACATGACACTGTTGTTTCTCACTTTGTGTCAAGTAGATCCAGGGTCCTTCTCAGCGTCCTATTAGGGAGGACAGGAAAGGGGGCAATATAACACAGAGAGAAAGGGTCAATCAGACTCAGAGAGAAGAGGTAATTTTGCATGCACACATGGAAGGGGGCGATCACACACATGGGGAATGAAGCAATCACATACCAAGAAAAGGGCAATTTCACATATACCTATGGAAATTGTTCATATGCACAGAGAAAAGGGCAATTATATACACATGCACACTCACAGAGCTTGCCAGCTGTCAGGAGCCGGAGTCAGGAGCAGGTCAGCAATAAAGCCACTGCTGTCAGTGAAGTTAACTTTTTATTCAAAGAAACACTGTGGTCACAGCACCTCTTCCCAGGAGGTCTTGCCTCAAGGAGACAGTTGCAAGAACAGAAGGACCACACCTTCCCAGCACTCTCGAAGGCTTCTCCTCCTCAGGCTTTGTCGCATTGTCTCTCTTTGCTCTGCTCTCTTCATTCCTCTTCTGGTTCTGGGAGACCCGGGAGGAGGTGAGCTGGTCACACCAGGAGGGGGAGATTCCCTGGCCTCTTCAGCAGTGTGCCTCCTCTCTGCCTCTTGACCCACCTCTATTTCTACCTCTGATTCTGAACTGCTCTCTGCCATAGCCTCTTCCTCCTCACTAAACCCTGTTGCCTCTTCAACTTCTAACACCTCCTCCTCCCAGTCTGCTCCCTCTTCTCCCTCTGGCCACTCATTGTCTGCTCCTGGTTCTAAGCCCTTCTTCCCCTGAGGGTTTCCCAGCTGGTGCCTCCCACCACTGCTTTGCATCCATCCAGCCCATGACATTGACCATCAAGATTTGCAAGTGTTGCAAGACTTGTGTGTGCATATGCCTAACTCCATTCCATTTGGCTACAATTGGATGGAGTCAAGAGGTGGAGCATGTGAATATTCTTGCCCCTCTCCATGCCTTTGCACCCTAAATTACAGGATAACATTTACGCCAGCCCTTCGTTTTGCAATTTCAAGAGCTTGACGATCTTTGAATCCACCTAACAATGTCCTTTTGACCAAACTGTGGGAGGCAGTGGAAGACAGAAGTGCCTGGCGTTCTCTGGTCCATGGGGTCACGAAGAGTCGGACACGACTAAACGACTAAACAACAACAACAAGGTCCTACTGTTGATTTAATGAGTTCTCCACATTCTCTTCTAGGTCTTTCTGGTGTCGCTATCTTTTGCTTATCTTGCCAAGACCATGTCTGGGGCTTACATGAACAGCATGCTCACACAGATTGAACGGCGTTTCAACATCCCTGCCTCGTTGGTTGGTGTGATAAATGGAAGCTTTGAAATGGGTATGCAAGTGAAAAGGTTGATGAGAATTCAACCATAGCTTAACAGGCATGTCTAAATGCATAGAACGACCAATCCAGGAATAGTAGACATCCTTAAAACCTGGCAAGGTCCACATCCCTTCTGTTGTAACCTGTTGAGGGCCACATGCCTTTGATTGGTAGAATCAGAGCAATGATAGGTGGAGCTAGAGACAAAAGTGTTCTGAACTATCTAGAATAAAGAACACTCTGCTTTTATCTTTGCCATGGCTACCTTGAATTCCCAAACGTACGCAAGTCTTTACAGAAGTAAACCCCATTGAGAATGATGGGGGATCACTCTCAAAAGTATATGCAGGGTGTATAAAAAGATTAGTACAACAGACCAATAGAGCTACTGTTCTAGAAAAGAAATGAAAGCTCACTTTAGTGAGCTATATGCTAGGACGGTGCCACTCAGAAAAGCCCAACCTTGAACTGAATTGAGACAATTTGGGATGAATCCAGATCAGGTTGAAGAAAGTCTGGATTGTTCTGGAGCAGTTTGGATTGACCCGAATCAATCCAGAGTGATTGGTAGCTCAAAACACTCTCTCTGAGAGCCAGACAGGTTGTCACCAAATTGTTACAAAGCGTGAGAATAACGCCTTATTAGGAGAACACTATTAGCTCATTCAGTGGCTAGTAGCCACGATTGCTATGTTCTTCATCCACAGTCTAAGGCAGTATGCTTCTGAATATGAATAACTGGAGACTGCAGGAGAGGAAAGTGCACTTGCACTCAGGTCCTGCTTGCACACAAGAAACAGAATCCCCATCCTGGACCCAACAAGATTGTGGAGGCAACTTCAAGGGGGGCGATTGAATGAGGTGTTTAGGGCAGCCAAATAGCTTGGACTGCCTTTGCCTAACTCTCCTACTGAGACTCATGGGACTGAAGAGTGAATAACTTTGGACGGATGATAGTCTACGTTCTCTATTTCCACAGGCAACTTGCTGGTGATACCCTTTGTGAGCTACTTAGGATCAAAACTCCACAGACCACGCATGATCGCTGTTGGTTGCATAGTTATGGGTTTCGGATGTTTTCTGATAGGGCTACCTCATTTCTTGATGGGAAGGTAAATCCCATTACTCATACTTCCGAGGTATACCTGTCTATGTGCTCCTGTTGGAACCTTGGGCTCTTCTCCTTGAAAGAACATTGAATATGCAACCCCACCCCATGCATCCCATGCACATCTGAACATCAAATTAAAGGGGAAGAATTAAGAAATAAATCTGCAGAAACAGTTAGTAAGGGGCCTCTGATTAATAAGATTTTAATTGTAATATCAGTGTTTTGATGCTGGGAGAGTTGTATGTATATGTATAAAATCAGTGTAAACATTTAAGAAATACATTTGCAGACGTTATTAGAAAGGTATCTTTAATACGAGTTTTTTGGGGGGGGAGTTGTATGCTTGTTCGTATCCGTCTCTCTTGAGAGCAATGGATTGCGCTCCCTGGGTTGAAGACAAACAGCTACGGAATCACAGCAGCTGCTGTGGTTGCAGAGACTGGTAACTCACCACTGCTGCCTCCCATGTTGTTTTTGCTGCATTAGCAGCATAGAAGCAGTTTGATCATGGAAGCAGAGAGAATGAACAATGTCCCAGAACGCAGCACATTGCAAGAGAAAATACCGTATTGGCCTGAATATAACCCTCACATTGTTTTTTTTCCAAATTCCAACTGTGAAAAGTTAAAGTGCGGCTTATATTCAGAACCGAGCTCTACATGCACACCTTCCGGCCCTACCGCCTTGAACAGGGGACGGGGCAGCTTGGGGAGGTAGTGCCAGGAAGCAGCGGCACAGCGTGGTCGGAACCAAGCACTGGCACTGGCTTGGGGAGTGGGGCACCAGCCACCCCCCATTCAGGGCAGTAGTGCCGGGAGGTGGGCCGCACCCACAAATAAGCCTTGAATTTTAAAGTTGCAGCTTATTTGTGGGTGCATCTTATATTCGGGCCAATATGGTTTATGGAATGTTTGCATATAATGCAGGGAGTTGCACAGGTGGTTTTTGAAGGCTGATGCAAAAGCATGTGGAACTACCAACAGATCATTGCAGCCAATCATCCAAAGGGATCTTCTCAGTTATGGATCTTCTCAGTTTTGCACCCCCTCGATTTGGCACCTATGGGGGTAACTGCCCATGCCATCCTAAATGCAGCGCTGGTTTTACCAGATAGGTTTCCTGGAAGATGGGCACCTGAGCATAGCTGATCAGTAAATCCAGCTTTTCCCCCTTAAGAAATGTTTAGGGGTCCTTTCATTTTGACTCAAGAAAATCACCATTTTATAGTTAAAATCGGGAAAAATAAATACAGTAAATGGACAAAAGTACAAAGATTCACAAAATGTTTAGGGGTATGCGTCCCCCCAGAAAAAAGTGCTGGGTAAATTTGTATAAAAGGGTGCTACTCTCATCACCCATAACTACTGATCTGTTTCTGTAATGTGTAGCCACAAGAACATTGGAAGCTACCTTACACTCAGTCAGAACATTGGTCTACAGTGGTGCCTCGCAAGACGAAATTAATCCGTTCCGCGAGTCTCTTCGTCTTGCGGTTTCTTCGTCTTGCGAAGCACGGCTATTAGCGGCTTAGCGGCTTAGCGGCTATTAACGGCTTAGCAGCTTTAAGAAAAAGGAAACAAACTCGCAAGAACTTGCAAGACGTTTCGTCTTGCGAAGCAAGCCCATAGGGAAATTCGTCTTGCGGAACGACTCAAAAAACGGAAAACTCTTTCGTCTAGCGAGTTTTTCGTCTTGCGAGGCATTCGTCTTGCGGGACACCACTGTATTTAGCTCAGTATTATCTATTCATGACTGGCAGGAACTCTCCAGGGTCTGAGACAGAGAATCTCTCCCTACCAGACCTGGAGGCACCAGGGAATGAACCTGGGACCTTCTGCATGCAAAGCAAATGGTCTGCAACTGAGTCACACTCATTTCATGTGTACATTTTATTCTGACTCGACAGGTACCGCTATGAAAACTCTCTTTCGGTATCTGAAAATTCTTCAACCATAGCTGTTTGCCTTGCAAATCATAGCCAGTTTTCCATGGCGACCGAACAACCCTCAGAAGGTGAGGTTCCTTCCTAGATTCATTTTTCACTGTCTTTCTTTCTACTGTATTACCTTTGTAGATGCCAGCTTTTGTAGTGTTTTTGAGGCCTACTCTACCTGTGTCTAGGGATGGCCAAATCTGCCATTTTGGGTTTCTCTCGTTTTCTCCAGCCTTTTCCAGTCTTCAGCTGAGATTTCCACATTTCTACATCCATTTGCATTTTTTAATTAAAAAAAAAATGTCCTCATGAGAATCCAGCATTTTTGTGCTAATTTCTCCTGCTATACATACACGTTTGTGCACAATTTTGCCTAATGTATACATTTTGGGCAAGCCATTTCCCCTAAAATAATGCATCGTTGTATGTTATAGTCACTGATGTATACACTTACATGCACACTTTACCACAGTAAATGCATTTTTGAACATATCACTTGGCTGGAAAACTGCCCTGCAAAATTCAGTCTATTGTTTCAGAAAATGCGAATTTGGTTAGGTCAACTTTAAATGAGAACTGAATCATATTTCTCACCTACCTTCCTGTGTGACTGGTGGCTGAGAGTTGGAATAGGTGTGGGGACAGACAGTGCCATAGCACCAGCACGTATATTTTCTTTGTGTATGATTCAACGGCTCCACTGCAGGGCTCAGGTTATTTTGCCGCCTGAAGATTTAACCCCATAAAATAACTCAGACACTCCAAGTGTCCTATTTTTCAGGGACAGTCCTGGCTTTACAGAAGCCACCCCAATTTCTGATTTCATACTGGAATGTGCAGGTTTTCCTTAGAACGTCCCTATTTTCATCAGAGAAATGTTGGAGGGTATGGAGTTATGTGAGATAAATAATTATACAACCTTTAGAAGATATCTGAAGGGAGTTTTAAAAAAAAATTAAATGTTTAAAGCTTTGTTATGTTTTTATATATGTTGGAAGCCACCCAGAGTGGCTGAGGGCAACGCAGGCAGATGGGTGTGTGTGTGTGTGTGTGTGTGTGTGTGTGTGTGTGTGTATAGGAGTATAGCATCTAGATCAAGGGAAGTAATAGTGCCACTGTATTCTGCTCTGGTCAGACCTCACCTGGAGTACTGTGTCCAGTTCTGGGCACCACAGTTCAAGAAGGACACTGACAAACTGGAACGTGTCCAGAGGAGGGCAACCAAAATGGTCAAAGGCCTGGAAACGATGCCTTATGAGGAACGGCTAAGGGAGCTGGGCATGTTTAGCCTGGAGAAGAGGAGGTTAAGGGGTGATATGATAGCCATGTTCAAATATATAAAAGGATGTCACATAGAGGAGGGAGAAAGGTTGTTTTCTGCTGCTCCAGAGAAGTGGACACGGAGCAATGGATCCAAACTACAAGAAAGAAGATTCCACCTAAACATTAGGAAGAACTTCCTGACAGTAAGAGCTGTTCGACAGTGGAATTTGCTGCCAAGGAGTGTGGTGGAGTCTCCTTCTTTGGAGGTCTTTAAGCAGAGGCTTGACAACCATATGTCAGGAGTGCTCTGATGGTGTTTCCTGCTTGGCAGGGGGTTGGACTCGATGGCCCTTGTGGTCTCTTCCAACTCTATGATTCTATGATTCTATTCTATGATTCTATATAAAATCCTGGAATAGAACATCCCTATTTTCATTGGAGAAATGTTGGAGGGTACACTAAGCCAATGGAAGCCAGATTGGCAGTGACCTCCTTAGGAGAGAGATGGATAAATTGTGGCTTCAGGATGCCCCTGCACTCCAAACGCCACCAGCCACAGTCAGCATGGTCACTGGCAATAATAATAATAGTAATTATTATTATTATTATTATTATTATTATTATTATTATTTATTTATACCCCGCCCATCTGGCTGAGTTTCCCCAGCCGTTCTGGGCAGCTCCCAATCGAGTGTTTAAAAACAATACAGCATTAAATATTAAAAACTTCCCTAAACAGGGCTGCCTTCAGATATCTTTTAAAAATAAGATAGCTGCTTATTGCCTTTACATCTGATGGGAGGGCATTGCATAGGGTGGGAGCCACTACCGAGAAGGCCCTCTGCCTGGTTCCCTGTAGCTTTGCTTCTCGCAATGAGGGAACCGCCAGAAGGCCCTTGGCGCTGGATCTCAGTGTCCAGGCTGAACGATGGGGGTGGAGACGCTCCTTCAGGTATACAGGCAAGGGATGTTGGAAGTCCAGCAACATTCTGGGAGGCCACAAGTTCTCTGCTTCTGCCCTAGCACAAAAGGGAATGGGGGAAGTAAAACAATATGCCGCTCGATCATCTGATTTAACTTCTGAATTCAGGGACAGGAACGAGTCACCTTGCCAGGAGCATCTAGTTACGGATGAATGGGGAGCATTAAAGTATTTCATTACCAGCAAAAATCCTCCATGGAGATTTTCCTTTCTTTCTTTTATGCCCAGAATGTCGAAAACAGGCTGGATCCTTGATGTGGGTTTTTGTGCTGGTGGGAAACATCATCCGGGGAGTTGGTGAAACTCCCATCGCTCCTTTGGGGATTTCGTATGTGGAGGATTTCGCAAGGACAGAAAACTCTCCTTTCTACATCGGTAAACCTGAAAAAGACCCTTCCTCAGTATTGTGTGTTGGATTTAAAAATCAAACCAAGCTCTTAGATACACTTGGACCACATGCACAGCATACATTTTAAGCACAAAGATGATGCTTTAAGCAACCATAAAAGGTAAAGGTAAAGGTACCCCTGCCCGTACAGGCCAGTCTTGCCAGACTCTAGGGTTGTGCGCTCATCTCACTCTATAGGCCGGGAGCCAGCGCTGTCCGCAGACACTTCCAGGTCACGTGGCCAGCGTGACAAGCTGCATCTGGCAAGCCAGCGCAGCACACAGAACGCCGTTTACCTTCCCGCTGGTAAGCAGTCCCTATTTATCTACTTGCACTTTGACGTGCTTTCGAACTGGTTGGCAGGAGCAGGGACCGAGCAATGGGAGCTCACCCCGCCGCGGGGATTCGAACCTCCGACCATGCGACCGGCAAGTCCTAGGCGCTGAGGTTTTACCCACAGTGCCACCCGCATCCCTTAAGCAACCATAGCTTCCTCCAAAGAATTCTGGGAACTGTGGTTTGTCAAGGATGCTGAGTGTTGTTAGGAGACCCCTATTCCCCTCACAGAGTTTCCAGAGGAGTTGAATCAATCCCTCTTCCAAGGGATCTCTGGGAACCGTAGCTCTGTGAGGAGAACAGGGGTTGCCTGACAACTCCCAGCACCCTACAGTTCCCAGAATTATTTGCGTGAAGCTTAAGGGACGTGGATGGCACTGTGGGTTAAACCACAGAGCCTAGCACTTGCCGATCAGAAGGTCGGCTGTTCGAATCCCCACAACGGGGTGAGTTCCCGTTGCTCGGTCCCTGCTCCTGCCAACCTAGCAGTTTGAAAGCACATCAAAGTGCAAGTAGATAAATAGGTACTGCACTGGTGGGAAGGTAAATGGCGTTTCCGTGCGCTGCTCTGGTTCGCCAGAAGCGTCTTAGTCATGCTGGCCACATTACCCGGAAGCTGTACGCCGGCTCCCTCGGCCAGTAGAACGAGATGAGCGCCGCAACCCCAGAGTCGGCCCCAACTGGACCTAATGGTCAGGGGTCCCTTTACCTTCACGGCTGCTTAAAGTGGCATTAAAGAGCTTTATGGTGTGAATTGGTTTCTTCCATAGAATCATTCTGGCTTTGGATCAAAAGGGAGACTACAAATGCCTTAGAAAAAGTACGTTTTGGGGGATGCTCATGGTGCCGTCCTCTGCATATTTATTCAGAAGGCAAATCCCACTCAGTGGAAGTTGATCATTTGGAACAAATGAAGATATACCTCTTTACCCTGGCTTTTAATGCTTGAGGTATATATTGCCATGACCTACCTCATTTTTATCAGTGTTAAGTTGTGTTTTAATGGTGTAACTTGCCCTGGGACCTTAAGGCGAACAGAGGGCAATAAATAAACGAATAAAGAATACATAAATGTTGGAGCCATGGATGGTGCTTTCCAGCAGATAGTGTATACCACAGATTCTGTGTCGCTTCCATCTCCCAATAGCCAGCCAGTATTCTGTGCACGTTGAGCACGGTTCCAGACTGATATATACACAGAGTCAAGAGTGGATTTCATGCTCTTTATTCAGCTCATAGTGCTGAGGAGGAATGAAAGTTCCCCCAGTATGTCTGCTTTATATACATTATTTAAACAATGGGCCCCACGTGTTTAGCTAATTCCGGGATTCACCTGTAGGCCAATCAGGTTTCAGATTCACTTCCACCTGGAGCTGGATTGGGTGGCTCCTGTGGACCAATTAGACTGCTGCATTCTGGATCCTATTGTTCTAGGACCAATCAGACTGCTGCATTCTGGATCCTATTGTTCTAGGACCAATCAGACTGCAGCATTCTGAATCCTATTGTTTTAGGGCCAATCAGACTGCTGTATTCTGAATCCTATTGTTCTAGGACCAATCAGACTGCTGCATTTTGGATCCTATTCAACTCAGTACATAACACAGACAAACTTTCGGGTTCCCCCCCTTAAGATTGCTTTTGCACTTCTAACCTTCGGGTTCCTCCAAGCCTGCAGTTGCCTCCATTTTGTGCTCTCCCCCCCCCCCATTTTGACTACGTAAGGATAATGAGTTCACTTTTAATACAGAAGATGATGGTGCATGGAGGTCTATTTTATATTTCAGTGCTGGTGAGGTCCTGCATTGGTATTCTAAAAACCAGTCCTTCAGATGTTGAGGACAGGAAGCCAAACAAATGTTGGAGAAGAAGCTGCGTGAAATATGACAATAACTTGTTTTTTTTATATTCTTCTGCCTCTCCCTCTGCTGCTAGGCTGCCTGCAGATAGCAACTGTCTTGGGCCCTCTGTTTGGTCTACTGATAGGCTCCTATTGTGCCAAGCTATATGTGGATGTTGGTTTTGTAGACCCAGGTAATGCAATGGAAATGGTCAAAACCCATAAGGGCTACTCCTGTTTCACACTTCTTAGGGGTGGGATACCTGGATGGCATCCAGTTCGGGAGGGACAAATCTGTCAATTTCAGATTCTCATTTTTAGGAAGTTCGACTCACCCCATTCTACACACAGTTGCAAAGGTGTTTTTTTTTTTTTAAAGTTGCCTTAAAATTTGTGGACAAAGATATGCATTGCTGATGCAATTTTGCCTGGAGTATGCATTTTTTATAAAAGTTTTTATTTATACTTTTCCAATTTCATTTTACAATCATTTTAACATTTCAAAGTTTGACTTCCTTCCCCCTCTTTCTGCGGTTCCTTAAATTTATTTTCTAAATATTTTCTGCATATCCAAATTCATTTAATTTGCTCATTTAATGATCTACTTTAAATATGTACTCTTACGAAACTGCAGGTTATTACAATAATCCTGCCAATGTTTTTATCTCTTTGCAATTTATCTGTAAAGATTCAATAAACCATGTCCATTCTTTTATAAAAAGTTTGTTATCTTGATTTCGTATTCTTCCGGTAAGTTTTGCCATTTCTACATATTACATAAATTTTTGTATCCATTCTTCCTTTGCTGGGATTTCAGCTTCTTTCCATTTTTTTGGTGAGTAGCATTCTTGCTGCTGTAGTAGCATACATAAATTTCTATACAATTTAGGTTCCGTATTTTTCGCCCCATAGGGCGCACCGCCCCATAGGACGCACCTAGTTTTTTTGGGGGGGGGGAATAAAGAAAAAAAATTATTCCCCCCCAGGCACGGGGCTGACGCGGGGGAAGCCTGAGCTTCCCCCGACCCCAGCCCCCAGAACAGCCTGCTATCCGCAAGCCTAGGGAGCCGCGCCGGTCTCCCCAGGCTTGCGGAGAGCTGCGCGAAGCATGGGAGTGCAGGCAGCTCTGCGCAACCCTTGGGAGCCCGGCGCGAGGTCTCCCAAGGGTTGCGCAGAGCTTCCTGAAGCCTGGAGAGCGAGGGGGGTCGGTGCGCACCGACCCCTCTCGCTCTCCAGGCTTCAGCAAAAGCCTGCATTCGCCCCATAGGACGCACACACATTTCCCCTTCATTTTTGGAGGGGGAAAAGTACGTCCTATAGGGCGAAAAATAGGGTAGTTCTGTCCCGGTAATTCCCAAAAGAAAAGCTTCTTCTTCTTCTTCTTTTACAAAGGTTATTTTGAACATTTTCAATTCATTTTCAATTCATTATATATAACGGAGTATGCATTTTTGCAAGAAAAGAAAACATACATGCTTTTCGATTGACAAATTGCAACGCAAAATATGGGAAAGGACGGATTTTGAAGGCTATCTGTATTTTGGTTTGCACGTTAGTTTGGGAAGTGTGCATTTTCCCCTTATCCCTACATCCTTCCCCATTCTGCTTTGCTCCAAGCACTAGCCAGCAGAACCCAGTCTCTTGAATCTGGTTTCCAGATGTCCCAGGTCAAGGGGTTCAGCTGTAGGTATTTCATGCATGTATTTCAATTTTTAAAATATATGCAATTGTTCTAACCATATGCAATGGTTCTTAATTTTTTCATATATGGAACGGCTTAACTGGTTTTATAGATGCAATAGTATTATTTCTGCTTTTATTGTATTGCGAAACCACTTTGAGATGCTTCATCCAGACCTGAGTGTCCGGGACAGTGACTAACTTCTACTGTTTGAAACTTGTAGAATCTGCTCAAGTTTACCACTCATGCCTTTAAAAAAATCATACACTTGTAGAGTTGGAAGTAACCTCAAGGATCATCTAGTCCATGGGTAGGCAAACTAAGGCCTGGGGGCCAGATCTAGCCCAATTGCTTTCTAAATCCGGCTCAAGGACGGTCCTGGAATCAGCGTGTTTTTACATGAGTAGAATGTGTCCTTTTATTTAAAGTGCATCTCTAGGTTATTTGTGGGGCCTGCCTGGTTTTTTTACATGAATAGAATGTGTCCTTTAATTTAAAATGCACCTCTGGGTTATTTGTGGGGCCTGCCTGGTGTTTTTACATGAGTAGAATATGTGCTTATATTTAAAATGCATCTCTGGGTTATTTGTTGGGCATAGGAATTTGTTGAATTTTTTCCTCCAAAATATAGTCTGGCTCCCCATAAGGTCTGAGGGACAGTGGACCGTCCCCCTGCTGAAAATGTTTGCTGACCCCTGATCTAGTCCAACCCCCTGCAATGCAGGAATCTCATCTAAAGCATCCATGACAGCTGGCGCTATGGGTTAAATCACAGAGTCTAGGACTTGCCGATCAGAATGTCGGCGGTTCGAATCCCCGCAACGGGGTGAGCTCCCACTTCTCGGTCCCTGTTCCTGCCAACCTAGCAGTTCAAAAGCATGTCAGTGTGCAAGTAGATAAATAGGTACCACTCCAGCGGGAATGTAAATGGCGTTTCTGTGTGCTGCTCTTGTTTGCCAGAAGTGGCTTAGTCATGCTGGCCACATGACCCGGAAGCTGTACGCCGGCTCCCTCGGCCAATAAAGCCAGATGAGCGCCGCAACCCCAGAGTCGGCCACGACTGGACCTAATGGTCAGGGGTCCCTTTACCTTTAACAAGTGTTTATAAAGGCATCTTTTTATTTAGTTCCAGAAATGCAGTGTTCACATTCGAAAGTAACCCTGCTTATTGCAATCAAACAAGCAAGAAGGGGAGAATCTACCACTGAGAATGATGGCTACCTTGGCGCTACTAATACAGTCCTCTCCATTAATCTCTTTCTCTCCAGAGGATGTGACTTTGAGCCTCCTTGATGCTCGCTGGGTCGGGGCCTGGTGGCTGGGGGTCTTGATCTGTGCTGCCGTGAGCTTCATCGTCGCCATCCCTTTCTGCTTCCTGCCCAAGTCTCTTCCGAAGGAAGGAGAGGAAAACAGTGCCGAGTTAAACACAAAGGGCAACAAAACTTTGCTACCAGCAGAAAATGCAGCTCATGTCAGCACAACAATTCGAGAAATTGCTAAAGGTGAACGGATTTTTTTAAAACCCCTTTCCCCACCAATGTTTTGTAATACAGTCATACCTTGGGTTAAATGTGCTTCAGGTTGAGCATTTTCAGGTTACGCTCCGCGGCAACCTGGAAGTAACGGAACGCGTTACTTCCGGGTTTCGCCGCTTGCACATTTGCAGACGCTCAAAATGACATCACACGGATGCGCGGAAGCAGCAAATCGTGACCCGTGCATGCGCAGACATGCGGACGCAGGTTGCGTTCGCTTCAGGATGCGAACAGGGCTCCAGGACGGATCCTGTTCGCATCCAGCGGTACCACTGTACTGTTGTACCTCCCCTTATGTATCCCTCTAGATACATAAATTTCAGGATGCAAACGCAGCAAACCCAGAAGTATTTTTCCGGATTTCGCTGTGCATGCATGCGCAGAAGTGCTAAACTGCGCTGCCTGCATGCGCAGAAGCAGTCCTCTGGTTGCAAATTCCTCAGGATGCGGCCAGACCTCCGAAACGGATCCTGTTCGCAACTGGAGGTACCACTGTATAGTTTTATGATATATGTTTTTTAAAAAATGTTTTTAATAACACACCATAATTAAAATGCACAAAACAATCCCATTATAACAGTAATATATAAATGTCCATAATTAAGATTGCCCATAGAAAAATTCCACCAGCATCTTTTGTAAACAGCTTTGACAGAGCTAGCATCTGGGTACGTGCATATACAAACCTAAAATGTATTTCAAAGAGCCCAGTCCTCCATTGTGGGTAAAATAATTGTCACAGGGCCTTCTTTTTTTGCCGTTGCCAAGGTTGGTCCGGACAGTGGCTCATGGGAGGAGGGGTCTTTCCTGTGGTGGCTCCCTGCTTATGGAATTCTCTCCCTGGGCAAGCACAGCTGGCCCCATCACTGTCCGTCTTTAGACACTGGATGAAAACATTCAAATGTCTCTCGTTATTCCTTAATTTGTAAGCTTCTTTGAGACGCTTCAGTGTAAAAAGCAGTGAAATAATGTTACTACTAGTAGTAGTAGTAGTAGTACAGTGGTACCTCTGGTTACGTACTTAATTCATTCCAGAGGTCTGTTCTTAACCTGAAACTGTTCTTAACCTGAAGCACCACTTTAGCTAATGGGGCCTCCTGCTGCTGCCGCGCCACCGCCACGCGATTTCTGTTCTCATCCTGAAGCAAAGTTCTTAACCCGAGGTACTATTTCTGGGTTAGCGGAGTCTGTAACCTGAAGTGTATGTAACCTGAAGCGTCTGTAACCCGAGGTACCACTGTAGTAGTAGTAGTAGTAGTAATAATAATAATAATAATAATAATGCAACTGAGACTAACTGTTCTGGTTCTTTGGTTTCTAGATTTCATCCCCTACCTGAAAAGTCTGGCTTACAATCCAGTTTACATGCTTTTTCTTTTGATCACTGTGATCCAGTTCAGCGCTTGGATTGGGATGATTACATTTATGCCAAAATATATGGAACAGCAGTATGGGATATCTGCGGCAGATGCCATCTTTTTCATAGGTAAAATGTGTGTATGTGTGTGTGTGAATAAAGAATAATAAAAAATGTTTATTTTGAATGAAGGGCTGATTATGAACTTTATTTATTTAATATTACACTTATACCCTCCTTGATGAGTCCTACAACCATGAGCACACATGAATAGGAGGGGCCACACCTTGAAGGTAGGTTTGTTGTCCTTACACTCATGGACAAGGCCATACCTCAACCTGTTGTTTTGTGTTTTCTCTCTAGGTGTTTACAATTTACCAATTATATGTGCTGGTTATTTCTTTGGTGGCCTCATGATGAAGAAATTCAAGATAAGCACCTATAAAGCTGCCCACATTGGTTTTTGGAGTTCTATAGTGGAGTATCTCATCTACTTCTCTGCTTTTTTCATGGTCTGCAAGAATGCTAAGGTTGCTGGCTTAACCATGTCCTACGAAGGGTATGTTCTTGCTCTTACCTAAGCCTGATTTCCCCCTATTGGGTGGTGCTGATTAGTTTGCATAAAGACAGGGATTTGGGCGGAACCTTGCATTCATCCCTGCTGAAATTAATGTTGTTAGTTTGGGCCCAGAACCCCAATCGCTTAGGATCATCTTGGATCCTGATTCTGTCTTCTGTGACATTAGCTACCTCTCCCAGTTTGGTGTCACCTGCAGATTTGATGGACATCCTCTCAATTCCTTCATCCAAGTCATTTATAAAGAGTTTGAACAACAATGGGGCAAGGACAGAACTCTGTGGTATGCCACTTGTCTAATAATAATAATAATAATAATAATAATAATAATAATAAATTTATACCCCACCTCTCTGGCTGGGCCTCCCCAGCCACTCTGGGTTGTTCCCAACAGAATATTAAAAACATGATAAAACATCAAAGATTAAAAACCTTCCTAAACAGGGCTGCCTTCAGATGTCTTCTAAAAGTCAGATAGCTGTTTATTTCCTTCACATCTGATGGGAGGGCGTTCCACAGGGCACGCGCCACCACTGAGAAGGCCCTTTGCCTGGTTCCCTGTAACCTCACTTCTCACAACGAGGGACCTGCCAGAAAGCCCTCAGAGCTGGGCCTCAGTGTCCGGGCTGAATGATGGAGGTGGAGACGCTCCTTCAGGTATACTGGGCCGAGGCTGTTACCTCATTCAATCCACATTTCACCAGCTTCCTTGCAAGAATATCATGGGGGGCTTGGTCAAAAGCCTTGCTGAAATCAAGATACACTATGTCCACAGCATCCCCCTGATCCACCAAGCTTATAACTTTGTCAAAAAAAGGAAATGATTCAGATTCAGGCATCTCTTCCAGCCCTACTTGGAGATGACAGGGATTAAAAACATAAGAAAGTAAGAATAGCCTGTTAGATCAGCATCAAGGCCAGCATCCTGTTCTCACAGTGGCCAACCAGATCACTGTACGAAGCCTGCAAATAGGATTCGAGCACAATAGCACACTCCCCGCTGGTGGCTTCCAGCAACTGGTATCTAGAACTGTTGTTGCCTCTGACTGTGGAGGCAGTGAGCATAGCCATCATTGCCAGTAGCCATTGATAGCCGTCTCCACCATGAATTTATCTAATCCTCTTTTAAAGGTTTGCAGTTCGAATCCCCATGACAGGGTGAGCTCCCGTTGCTCGGTCCCTGTTCCTGGCAACCTAGCAGTTTGAAAGCACATCAAAGTGCAAGTAGATAAAGTACCTTCTCCGGCAGGAAGGTAAACAGTGTTTCCGTGCGCTGCTTTGGTTCGCCAGAAGCGGCTCCCTCGGCCAGTAAAGCGAGATGGGCGCCGCAACCCCAGAGTCGTTCGCAGCTGGACCTAACGGTCAGGGGTCCCTTTACCTTTACCTTTTAGGTTGGTGGGAGAGTTTAACTACGTGCTATGTGTGAAAGAGTAAAAGTAAAGGTAAAGGGATGCCTGACCATGAGGTTCAGTTGTGGCTGACTCTGGGGTTGAGGCGCTCATCTCTCTCTGACGTGCTTTTGAACTTCTAGGTTGGCAGGAGCTGCTGGGACCGAGCAACGGGAGCTCACCCCGTCGCGGGGATTCGAACCACCGACCTTCTGATCAGCAAGTCCTAGGCTCTGTGGTTTAGACCACAGCGCCACCCGCATCCATGTGAAAGAGTACTTTCTTTTATCTGTCCTGAAACTTCCAACATTTGACCTCATTGGATGTCATCGAGTTCTAGGGTTATGATAGAAGGCGAAAAAACTTTCTCTATCCACCTTTTCCCATGCTATGCATCATTTTATCTGCATAAACTTCGCCCAAAGAATCCTGGCACCTGTAGTCTGTGAAAAGGTGCTGGGAACTGTAACTCTGTGGGCTAAACTACAGTTCCCACGATTCTTTGGGGTGGTGGTGGGGAAACCACGTACTGTAATGTACGGTGTGTACGCAACTTCAGACAATCTACAAATAAACTCCTTTTGTGCTGGGTGGCCGCCGAGTTCTCCATCTCGAAGAGGGGGCTCTGGGTTTGTTTATTCATTTTTCTCATTGTTTGCAGACTCTTTGCACACCTTTCTGGGTATTTTTCAGGCTCGAACAAGTCTCCTACATGGAAACAAACTTGTACGCAGACTGCAACCGCCATTGTGGCTGCTCCACTAAGGTGTGGGACCCTGTTTGTGGAGAAAACGGCATAGCGTACATTTCAGCATGTCTTGCAGGATGCGACATCTCAAACGGAACTGGGAAAAATACGGTAAGGCAGGTGTTCCAGGCAGCACAAAACTGTTCCCCACCTCCCTCTCTCCCTCTCTCTTTCTAGTACCACCTTCTCGTCATCTCCATCCACACCCACTTTCCCCCAATGGGCTGTTTGGGCAAGGAAGATAACAATAACAATAATTTATTATTTATAGCCCGCCCATCTGGCTGGGTTTCCCCAGCCACTCTGGGCGGCTTTCAGCAAAATATTAAAATACAATAATTCATCAAATATTAAAAAGCTTCCCTAAACAGGGCTGCCTTCAGATGTCTTCTAAAAGTCAGATAGTTCTTTATTTCTTTGACATCTGGTGGGAGGGCATTCCACAGGGTGGGCGCCACTACCGAGAAGGCCCTCTGCCTGGTTCCATGTAACCTCACGTCTCGCAGTGAGGGAACCACCAGAAGGCCCTTGGCGCTGGATCTCAGTGTCCAGGTTGAACGATGAGGGTGGAGATGCTCCTTCAGGTTTATTGGGCTGAAGCTGTTTAGGGCTTTAAAGGTCAGTGCCAACACTTTGAATTGTGCCCAGAAACATGCTGGGAGCCAATGTAGGTCTTTCAAGACCGGTGTTATGTGGTCTTGGTGTCCACTCCCAGTCACCAGTCTAGCTGCCGCATTCTGGATTAGTTGTAGTTTCCGGATCACCTTCAAAGCACATTGCAGTAGTCCAAGCAGGAGATAAGCAGAGCATGCACCACTCTGGCAAGACAGTCCATGGGCAGGTAGGGTCTCAGCCTGCGTACCAGATGGTAGACAGCTGCCCTGGACACAGAATTGACCTGTGCCTCCATGGACAGCTGTGAGTCCTTCAGGGGCCCAGTTGCCCTATTCAATAGATCACTCACAGAGGTCAAGCATGCGACCAAAAGGCCACAGCCTGCCCACCCTCTTCCTTAACTGATTTCGTCTTATGTTTTGGCAGGTATTTAGAAACTGCTCCTGCATTTCAGCCTTCGGAAATGACACGGCGGTCCTGGGCCAGTGCAACAGAGAGAACTGTGGGACAATGCTGCAGTATTTCTTGATTTTATCCTTAGTCTGTTGTTTAATTTATTCCTTCGGAGCCATGCCAGGTTACATGGTCCTCATAAGGTACTAACTGAAGAGAGGTGGGAATAGCAGGATATATAGGTCTTGGGAGACAGGCGAGTCCCATTTGCGATGTTGCTGACTCAGAACGGCGCATTTGTCTCCTCCTCCTCAGAGTGTCGAAGTTTATATTTCATAGCAGATTTGGTCAGCTTAGTAAAACGATCTTTCTGCCCGCCTTCGGTTTTGGCGAATAATGCTCTGTGCAAAAGACGAGGATTTTCTGTGTGACAATGAGGAGCAAAAGCTGAAGTCCAGGTTGAAGTACCTTTTCTGTGGGAAACAGCCACACAGATGCCCTGAAGTGTGGTCACGTTATTAATACATGTGCCCTTTGGAGCGTGGGATCACACTGTGCAGAAACAGCTCCCAAGCTCTCCCCATATAAACCGTCCCAAACTTTTCGTTCATCCTCTGAGGCCTTTCTTTGTGTGCCTCCTCCATGAGAGGTCTGAAAGTGGCAACACGAGAACAGGGCCTTTTCTGTAGTGGCTTCTGAAGTGGGATTCTCTCCCCAGGGAGGTCCACCTGGCGCCTTCATTGTATATTTTTAGGAGCCAGACGAAAACGTTCCTCACGCCTTTGGCTGATTTATATCCTACAGCCTTTTAAATGTGTCTGTGAGATGGGGAGGTTATGGTTATGCTGTTTTGTTTAGCCAGTGTGGTATAGTGGTTAAGAGCAGTGAACTCATAATCTGGTGAACCGGGTTCGATTCCCCGCTCCTCCGCATGCAGCTGCTGGGTGACCTTGGGCCAGTCACACTTCTTTGAAGTCTCTCAGCCCCACTCACCCCACAGAGTGTTTGTTGTGGGGGAGGAAGGGAAAGGAGAATGTTAGCTGCTTTGAGACTCCTTAGGGTAGTGATAAAGCAGGATATCAAATCCAAACTCTTCTTCTTATTATTATTATTTTCATGATTTCCCCTGTATTTTATTATGTGAACCACCCTGTGACCATATGGCAAATAAACTAAAAATTAAAATAAAAGCAGTTGGGCAGGGGTAGGAAACTAGATTCAGTTGGGGGGCTGCATTCAGATGCTGCCAACCCTCCTTGAGGCCACTCTGACATATAGTTCTCATATTATTGTAATTTCATATGATGCCATAGGACTGCAGCATCAGTTTGCAGCTGGAAAGGATGAATCTTTGGGCTGCAAAATGTGCCCCTTGCTCACATACGATTAATGGAGCCTAAGAGTTAATTGTTTAACGCTGCAGTTCAACAGCAATGTGATGCATAGCACCTTTTCTCATTTACTGGCTTCATGGAAAATTCTCTTCTTCTCCAGGTCCCTAAAACCCGAGGAGAAGTCATTTGGTGTGGGTCTCCACTCCCTGGCAGAAAGAGTTTTTGGTAAGGTGCTGGTTACTTTAAACTGCACTTCAAAAAGAAGAGCAGGCACATCCAAAACATACATTTACAGCATTATTGTTGTTGTTTAGTCGTTTAGTCGTGTCCGACTCTTCGTGACCCCATGGACCAGAGCACGCCAGGCACTTCTGTCTTCCACTGCCTCCCACAGTTTGGTCAAACTCATGCTGGTAGTTTCCAGAACACTGTCCAACCATCTCGTCCTCTGTCGTCCCCTTCTCCTTGTGCCCTCCATCTTTCCCAACACCAGGGTCTTTTCCAGGGAGTCTTCTCTTCTCATGAGGTGGCCACAGCATTATTACATCACTTTAAACAACCATAGCTTCCCCAAAAGAATTCTGGGAGCTGTAGTTTGTTAAGGGTACTGAGAGTTGTTAGAAGACCCCTGTTCTCCACACAGAACTACAATTCCCAGAGTGTTTGAGCAGTCAATTCCTCTTCCCAGGGAACTCTGGGAATTGTACCTCTGAGAGGCAAATATGGGCCTCCTAACAATTTTCAGTAGTCTTTCAAACTACAGCTCTCAGGATAGATGGATTTTAGGATATGGTAAGCCAACAAATGGATCACTTCATAAACCTAGACAGCATCTTAAAAAGCAGAGACATCACCTTGCCAACAAAGGTCCGTATAGTTAAAGCTATGGTTTTCCCAGTAGTGATGTATGGAAGTGAGAGCTGGACCATAAAGAAGGCTGATCGCCGAAGAATTGATGCTTTTGAATTATGGTGCTGGAGGAGACTCTTGAGAGTCCCATGGACTGCAAGAAGATCAAACCTCTCCATTCTGAAGGAAATCAGCCCTGAGTGGTCACTGGAAGGACAGATCCTGAAGCTGAGGCTCCAATACTTTGCCCACCTCACGAGAAGACTCCCTGGAAAAGACCCTGATGTTGGGAAAGATGGAGGGCACAAGGAGAAAGGGATGACAGAGGATGAGATGGTTGGACAGTGTTCTCAAAGCTACCAGCATGAGTTTGGCCAAACTGTGGGAGGCAGTGGAAGACAGGAGTGCCTGGCGTGCTCTGGTCCATGGGGTCATGAAGAGTCGGACACGACTAAACAACTAAACAACAACAACAACAAAGCCGGCAAATTATGCAGAGGTTACATTCCAGGGACCACGCCTAAAGCCAAAATTGCATCTAGTCAAAACACACTGGGTGCAATAGCAGGTGGAACGGTCACAGTCCCCCCCCCCCCGGATGCCCATCCCCTTTCTGCCCCTTTTGAATTTCATTATTATTATTTTTGCTAAGCTCATAAAGCTGAATGCACACAAATTAAATGTGCTTAAATTGCGGTCTTACTGTATATGGTTCTATTTACACATATATACAGTCTAGGCAAAAGATGGAGGGGCTCACAGCATAAACATTTCAACGGATCTTGCCATAGCTTTATGGCCAGCACAGAGCAAGACATGTCTCTGTGTCTCCAGCTTCCAGCATCAATCAAAACTCACACACACATGCAGTCCTGCTTGGCCTGTTGTTCTCCATACTAGCATGGCATGGCATCTAGCCGGGTGAAGTGGGAGCAGCACCCCCTTTGTTTCCATGGCAACAGGGCAACCTCTTTGGACATGTAAATGGCAGTACTCAGCTGGCCAACTTGGGCCGTTGTTTTTCAAAGAAACTTGTCTGACCAGTTCAATGGCCTCTTCTGCTAGATTGTAAACCTCCTTGGTGCAGAATCACAGGCCTGGGCGTGACCCCCCCAACCCCCCCCTATCGTAACAGTGTACTGTTTACAAAAGCCCCCCAAATGACCCTTCTTGTCTTCATGTCGTATTCCATGTAGCTGGAATCCCATCACCTATCTATTTTGGAGCGATGATTGACACTACCTGTTTGAAATGGGGAACCAAGAGCTGCGGTGGTGAAGGAGCCTGCCGGATGTACGATTCTGACACATACAGGTATCGCTGGAAAATCCCTGTCTCTTTAGCTTTCTGCTATCTCTAGAATATTGTAGAGCAGCTGCGAGGGCAGCCTACACAGTAGCTTCTAGGTCAGGCTTCCTCAACCTCGGCCCTCCGGATGTTTTTGGCCTACAACTCCCATGATCCCTACCTAGCAGGACCAGGGGTCAGGGATGATGGGAACTGTAGTCTCAAAACATCTGGAGGGCTGAGGTTGAGGAAGCCTGCTCTAGGTGTTGCTGCACTTACATCTCCCATCACCCCAACCTGTGGCCATGCTGGTTGGAATTGCCTCCAACAACATCTGGAGGGGCACAGCTGCAAATGGATGCAGCTGATGCCTCTGGGTTCAGTCCAGTTTATTCTGCAGCATCACATATCAGGCTGAGTGAGTGAGTGAATGGGTGGATGGAGGGGTGGGAAGCCTGTGGCCTTGCCCAGATTTTGATGGACTGCAACACCCAAATCCCTGACCATTCTAGGTCTGATGGGAGCTGTACGGGCACTGCATTGACTAGGTCTGCCCCAGAGCTTTGGAAGATACCTAATCATTCTTTGGTACGGTGCCTTTTGGGGATATAAAGGAATCTGGAGTTCAGAACAAGCAGGGAGAGGAGAGGTCTTTGACCCTTTTCCTGCCCACTCCCTTTCTGCCGCACCATACCACCAAAATGGCCTTGCCCACTTCGCTTTTCAAGTTTCCAAAAGCCCCTCTGAAGTTGTAAAATTCTAGAATGGCAATGATTTGGAATATGAGCCCCAAAGGTTTTCTTCCAATATGTTTCCCACTCATTCTGGGTGCCACATAGGGGATTTTTCACCCTTTAGCTCTAGACTGGAAGGGTGTTTCAGATTAACCTCTTTTTGTATTAAAAGCATATCTGAAGAGTGTGCAGGCAGCAGGGGTTAAGCCCTGCCTCCTGTCACTTTCCCTATCAACACCACTGTCCTTGGGAGCCATTGGGAGCCAGTGTGGTGTAGTGGTTAAGAGCGGTAGTCTCGTAATCTGGGGAACCGGGTTCGCGTCTCCGCTCCTCCACATGCAGCTGCTGGGTGACCTTGGGCCAGTCACACTTCTCTGAAGTCTCTCAGCCCCACTCACCTCACAGAGTGTTTGTTGTGGGGGAGGAAGGGAAAGGAGAATGTTAGCTGCTTTGACACTCCTGAAGGGGAGTGAAAGGCAGGATATCAAATCCAAACTCTTCTTCTTCTTCCTCTCACAACCATATTTGGCAACTGTGAGAAGGCATACTACGTTCATTCCGATGTACACACATAGTGCTCTTCCATGGGACAAATGATTTTCTTATGATGATTGCTAAATGCATGGCTGTGGGTGGGTGTGGTCAATCGGAACCACAGAAACGGAGGTGTGGCTATAGTACACACAATCCTGCAGCACCCTCATATATGCTTTGGATGGGGGAGGGGGTTTGTCTGGAATTTCCCAATGCGAGTGCTTCCGCAAGAGAGTTGTAACAAATCAACAAGTTCTCTGGTGGCACCAGTGGCATGGAATGTTCTCCCCCTTCTGAAATAAGAAAGGCTCCATCAGCATTGGCATTCCGCCGGCTCATGAAGATGCATCTGTTTAGACAAGCATTCCCCTGATCACCTGACTTGAATCTCCTGTTGCTGCTTTAAGTGCTTCAGTTGTTGAGCTGGTGAGTTGCTGCTGCTTCCTGGGAAGGGTGAGACAGCAAGGAGAGTGGCGTAGTGAATACACCCCAACAAAAGCTCCCGATTGGCTCAAATGGTGTGTTTGCACTGCACTAACCTCACTGCCTCCTTGCCCTTCTTTCCTCCTTCGCCCAGTAAAGGTAAAGGGACCCCTGACCATTAGGTTCAGTCGTGACCGACTCTGGGGTTGCAGCGCTCATCTCGCTTTATTGGCCGAGGGAGCTCACCCCGTTGCGGGGATTCAAACCACCGACCTTCTGATTGGCAAGTCCTAGGCTCTGTGGTTTAACCCACAGCGCCACCCGCGTCCCTTCCTTCACCCAGTAAGCAGCAGCAAATCACCTGCCAGGTGGTCAGTTGAGCATCCCCACCCCCGGCTTCTGCCTGTTTTAATGGGCTCCTCCTTTCATTTTTGGCAAATTTTAATTGTGGATGTTTTGATAAACTGCTTTTATTGTGAGTTTTAATTAGGGGGAGTTTCTTGTCATTGGCTTTACACTTGGAAATGGCTTTGAAGCTGCCACAGCCACTAAGTGGTGTATGGATCTTCTTTGGTGATCACTCGTAGCCGAGTAAGATTGTCTTCCATGAACACAGTTTTAACAATAAGTCCGTAAGTGACTGTGGAGGCCAATTCTGGACCCACACGTCCTTCCACAGTGGGGACATTGGTTCCCGGGCAGGAGTTGATCATGGTGTGGATTTGCCAAGCATACCTTCCTCTTAGCACATTTCTCCCTTGCGTTCTGAGTTTGAGTGTCTTCAAAGTCCATGACACCTTTGGTAAACAAATAACAAATACATAACACACTGTTTCACACAAACACTGGCACACACATAGAAGTGTGTATCTGTGTTCAGTGTAACATGCAAACAAGCCTTAGGTTACCAAGAAGGCCAAGGAAAATATGCTCCATCAGTGCATGGAGGCGACTTGATTCTCCTTGGGAGAACTTCTGGAGCATGAGAACTTCTGGATACAGTGTTCTATGGCTGCTCTTTACTGATGCTGTCCAAATTGCATTCCAGGCAGCTGTACCTGGGTGTGCCCTCAGCCCTCCGCGCCGTGTCCTACATCCCGTGTGTGCTTGTGCTCCTCATTTTAAGGAAACAGAACAAGACTTTGGTGCAGGATGACAAAGAATTGGAAGCCAGAGAAGAGGAAAATGGGTCAGTAGAACAGAAGGATGTACCTGCAGCCCAGAACAGCACACATGTACATCAAGAGACAATGGACTTGTAAAAAGCAGACTTTAAAGAGGACTGGTGGCTTTAAGGTTGTACATCAAATGTAGGTCATTATCACTTTTCCAAGTCACCTCTAGAGATCTTTCCAGAATACATATATTACATACAGCAGAGTATGGGGTGACTAGTGTGGCTCGTTCTTCATGACTAAAGTTGTAAGTACTGTGTGTTCTATACTATCATAGCTGAGCCTCTGGGTTTGTGCTTTTTTTTTTGGTGTGCACGTGTTTCTGTAATAATTGTTCCCACATATCATTTCAAAATTTCTACAAAATAACGGAAAGGAGAGAAGGGGCCATGGCAGCTTTCGTTCGCTCCAATTTTTCACTTAGGCTGGATCTAGAACCATCCAAAAAACATTTCAGGAAAACGCGTTGTAAACCTCGTTGGCGAAAGATGGAACTCTACAGCGCCATTTGGTGTCACAGTGTGATAACACGTTTAAAGCGCTTTTTCTTGACTAATGTAGCCGAGTTCTTAATACAGTGGTACCTCAGGTTAAGTACTTAATTCGTTCTGGAGGTCCGTTCTTAACCTGAAACTGTTCTTAACCTGAAGCACCACTTTAGCTAATGGGGCCTCCTGCTGCCGCCGCGCCGCCGGAGCACAATTTCTGTTCTCATCCTGAAGCAAAGTTCTTAACCTGAAGCACAATTTCTGGGTTAGCCGAGTCTGTAACCTGAAGCGTATGTAACCCGAGGTACCACTGTACATTTGTTGCTCTGTCCGCACTGTACATTTTAAGCAGTATGATACCACTTTAACACAATCATGGCTTCCTCCAAAGAATCCTGGGAACTGTGCTTTGTTTGGTTTTTAAAAATAATTTTCACTAAGTTTTCAAATTTTACATTTCAAAATAGGCATCTTTCATTATACCCATGCATTCAACGACTTCCCTCTCTCCCCTTCCAAGATTCTATTGATTTGCTCACACTTCCTGCATATTTTTATATATCCATCTTCATTCAATTCTCCCCTCTTACATCCCTTTTAAATAGGTTATACTGTCGAATTTACCTTAGTGCTGCCAGCGTTTTTGGAAACTGTGCTTTGTTAAGGGTGCTGAGAGTTATGAGGAGACCCCCGTGACTCTGCGAAGAGGATTTACTTGTTAAACCGCTCTGGGAATTGTAGCTCTGTGAGGGGAAGAAGGGTCCCCAATAACTCTCTCTTAGCACCCTTAACAAACTACAGTTCCCGGGATTCTTAGCTCCCCACTGCAATGTCTGTCTAAAGTGGTATAACAGTGCTTTAAATGTATAGTGTAGATGGGGCATTCATTCAGGATGGATCTCAAGAAGACATACAGAGGATTCCCAGGTGGTGGAGACCCAGACCTGCTTGGCTTCAGACCCGCACAGCGCAGAGGCAGGAGATGCTACATGGAGCTTGGCTTTCAGCAAAGCTGATGGAATGAGCCCTGCTTTCAATCTCAGACCCTCCAAATGTCCCTATTTTCCAGGGACATCCCTGATTTAGTGAAGCCGTCCTGGTTTCTTATTTGATCCTGGATTGTCCCACTGTCCCTTAGGGTGTCCCTATTTTCATTGCAGAAATGTCAGAGAGTATGGCGTTATCTAACCCTGAGACCCACAGGTATAGGGCGGTATATAAATTCAATAAATAATGATAATAACAACCCCCGAGCTGTCTGAAAGCAATCCTGTACAGTGAAGGTTTTTATAACTGTCTTATTATGGTTTTATATATGTTGGAATCTGCCCAGAGCGGCTGGGGCAACCCAATCAGATGTGTGGGGTATAAATAGTAAGGTTATCATAATGGAATGGGACGTCCCTATTTTCATTGGAGAAATGTTGGAGGGTATGCCATCTTTCCTACTGAGGCAGCCTGATGGAATGGTTGCATCCAGGTGAGAGGAAGCCTGATGGAGCTGGCCTGTCACACTTGAGCTGATGGAGGATGCGGGTAGCTCTGTGGTCTAAAATACTGAGCCACTTGGGCTTGCCGATCAGAAGGTTGGCGGTTCGAATCCCCACGACGGAGTGATCTCCCGTTGTTCTGTCCCAGCTCCTGCCAACCTAGCAGTTCGAAAGCATGCCAGTTCAAGTAGATAAATAGGTACCGCTGTGGCAGGAAGGTAAACAGCGTTTCTGTGCGCTCTGGCTTCCGTGATGGTGTCCCATTGCGCCAGTAGTGGTTTAGTCATGCTGGCCACATGACCCGGAAAGCTGTCTTTGGACAAACGCCGGTTCCCTCAGCCTGAAAGCGAGATGAGTGCCACAACCGCATAGTTGCCTTTGACTGGGCTTAACTGTCCAGAGGTCCTTTACCTTACCTTTTACCTGATGGAGTGAGCTTGGCTTCCCAGCTCTCCAAATAATGCCAGGTGCTGACACCAGGCCTGCTTTCAACACGACAACAAGCATAGCACAGTGTCCTCACTCAAGAAATGCCAGGGGAGCCGTCCACCTCTTCCTAAGCAAGAGTTAAGAACCTCTTCAGCGTTTCTCTCAAGTTCCTCTCCTTGCGCCAAGGTAACTGGGGAAACCTGAAAGGATACACTGCATTCAAGTCCCACAGTAGGGAGAAAACAAGAAGCCTTTGTTAGTTAATCAGTGGATTTGAATATCATCCTGTGCTCTCTCTCTCTCTCTCTCTCTCTCTCTCTCTCTCTCTCTCATTGCTAAGTGTTTCCAGACCTACTTAACTTGCATTTTTCATATCTTAATGGCAGGGAGGAAATTCATTGACCTCTCCCCCCCCCCCCCTTGGATCCAAGAGCACGAGACTCTTAACCTAAGGGTTGTGGGTTCGAGTCCTAGAGATTCGAGGCAAGAGATTCCTGCATTGCTGGGGGTTGGACTAGATTATCCTCGTGGTCCTTTCCAACTCTATGAATCTGTGCTATGCATCCAATAGCTATGGGAAGACAAGTGGGAGCTGCAACGCAGTGTTGCAGCACATCCCCACTTGCTTGGTGGAGTGTTCTTGTTCAGGGCTTCAGCTGTTCTGGTGTAGAAGCCTTGCCATGTTATTCAAGTCGCTTCAGAAGTTGGGAAAGGACAAATGATGCCTTTCCCCCCCCTCCCCTCTCACCCCCCTCCTCTCAGGGACTTCCCTTGCTCTGCTATATCCTGTAGGTATCCTGATTGGAATAACAGGCTTGATTAGGGACCTGCAAGTTAAACTGACAGCTCAGGCCTCTCACACACATCTGTTCTTTGCAGGAACATTTCCAAAGCGGAACAGGGCAAGCACAAAGGACATGGGACAGCACCACCTAGTGGTAGACCATAGGGATGGACAACTCTGTCAGTTTCAGCTTCTCGTTTTTCCTATTTTAAGAGCGTTTCACTGCGTTTCCACATCAGTTTTTTATTTTTTTCACCATTTGCGAAGCCAGCTGTTCACTTCCACTATTTTTCCCTCTCTCCCTGGGCCACGTCGTTCAACTGGGAGGACAGATGAGATGACAATTTGTGCATTTAATTGCTTCAATTTCCTGCCCAGAGCCTCGTAGTCTCTTTTGATCTTCTGGAGGCTATTGCTTGCAATGTCATTGGTTCCCACATGAACCAAGAGGAAGGGGTATTTGTCTCCAACACTAATTCCACCACCCCTTTTAGGATACAGTGGTACCTCGGAAGTCGAATAGAATCCATTCCGGAAGTCCGTTCGACTTCCAAAATGTTCGGAAACCAAGGCGCGAAAGCTCCTGCAGCCAATCGGAAGCCGCGTAAGCCGCGTTGGACATTTGGGTTCCAAAGAATGTTTGCAAACCGGAACACTCATTTCCGGGTTTGCGGCGTTCGAGAGCCAAAACGTTCGATTTGTTTCTTTTGCGAACCAAGGTATGACTGTACTAACCACAAGCAATCATAGCTTTGAGCGGGTCAATGCATAATAATAATAATAATAATAATAATAATAATAATAATTTATTATTTATACCCCGCCCATCTGACTGGGTTTCCCCAGCCACTCTGGGCGGCTTCCAACAAAGTATTAAAATACAGTAGTCTGTTAAACATTAAAAGCTTCCCTAAAGAGGGCTGCCTTCAGATGTTTTGGGACTACAATTCCCATCATCCCTGACCACTGTTCCTGTTAGCTAGGGATGCATCTTGTCTCTTGCCCTTATCCTTTCCCCCCATCATCCTGTACACAAGAAAAGCTGCAGCAACGTTCAGCTGCAGCAAAGTATTCTGGATACAAACTCCATTCTGGAGCAGGGCCCAGGGTTAGATGAGCTGGCCCAAGCCCTGGGGTGGGGCGGGGCAGGAATTGCACACCTTTGTGCCACGGTGCAAAAAGGGCAGGGAGCCTCTCTCGCATTTGATCTGGCGGTGGTGCATCGCCACAGAGATGCAGTTTCTGTGAACCGCCCTGAGACCTCTGGGTATAGGGCAGTATAAAAATTCAATAAATAATAATAAAACAATAATATACACAATACACTCCTATGTTAGGAACATAGGAAGCTGCCTTCTACCAAGGCTGGCCATTGAGTCCATCTTCTATCTACCCTGAGAGGCAGTAGCTCTGAGAGGATACAGACGGGTGATATTCCCAGCCCTACCCAAAGACGCACAGGGCTGGACCTTCTTTATGCTAAGCCAGGCACCCCCAAACTCAGGCCTCCAGATGTTTTGGGACTACAACTCCCATCATCCCTAGCTAACAGGACCAGTGGTCAGGGATGATGGGAATTGTAGTCCCAAAACATCTGAAGGGCTGAGTTTGGGGATGCCTGCTAAGCCTGGGGATGTCCTTTTGCTTTCCCCCAGGGAAAACTGCTCTTTAGCACTCTGTCAGAGCAAACAGCCACTTGGGTTTTCTCCGGATTGGCGTTTGCTCCAATATACCACTAAAGAGCAGGTTTTCCAGGAGAAAGAAGCGGCGCAAGGAGAAAACCGCTCATTGCTTTCTAGGCACGGGACAAGCAGGCGCACAGATCAGCCCTTATGTTCTACTACTGAGCTGTGGCCATATCTTGCCATGAGTTCGAAAACTGCAAATGTAAAACAAAAAACAGAAAGCTGGCAAGAAAGGGATTCTAGAGACGGGTGGACAAAATGGAGAATTATGAAGAACCAGAACCTTGAGCAAAACACACACACACACACACACACACACACAAACGTAAAGGACCCCTGGTGGTTAAGTCCACTCAAAGGTGTCTATGGGGTGCAGTGCTCATCTCGCTTTCAGGTCGAGGGAGCCGGCGTTTGTCCACAGACAGCTTTCCGGATCATGCGGCCAGCATGACTAAACCGCTTCTGGCGCAACGGGACACCGTGACGGAAACCAGAGCTCACGGAAATGCCATTTACCTTCCTGCCACAGTGGTACCTATTTATCTACTTGCACTGGTGTGCTTTCGAACTGCTAGGTTGGAAGGAACTGGGACACAGCAAAGGGAGCTCACTCCGTCGTGGGGATTCAAACTGCTGACCTTCCGATCGGCAAGCCCAAGAGGCTCAGCGTCACTCGCGTCCCTAGAGCATAGAACCTGAAGAATGGAATGCGTCGCTGGCATCCAGGGCGGGACATGTTTTGTGCCCCCTGGATGAACTGGGCAGCAGTTAATCTCTTTGCCAGCCAACGTCTAATTGAGGGAGTCTCTTTTTCCAAACTAGGACCAGCCCTGGAAACAAGGGTGAGAAAGACGAAGCCAGGAGCACTGCTGCGTCACCCCACTCTCCTGTCCTTGCAGTCTGGGCAATGTAAATAATAATAATAATAATAATAATAATAATAATAATAATAATTTATTATTTATACCCCGCGGCTTCGAACAGAATATTAAAATACAATAACCAATTAAACATTAAAAACTTCCCTAAACAGGGCTGCCTTCAGATGTCTTCTAAAAGTCTGCTAGTTGTTTCTTTCTTTGACATCTGGTGGGAGGGTGTTCCACAGGGCGGGCGCCACTACCGAGAAGGCCCTCTGCCTGGTTCCCTGTAACTTGGCTTCTCGCAGTGAGAGAATCACCAGAAGGCCCTCAGCACTGGACCTCAGTGTCCGGGCTGAATGATGGGGGTGGAGATGCTCCTTCAGGTATACTGGACCCCCCAGGTATACATGGGGGCACCCTCGCCTTCCCCCTCTTGGCTGGCCCAGGGGCAGTGTGTGCCTGGGCATCCCTTTGCTGGCCACAAGGAGGAGGAGGCAACGCTGCCCCAGCCCCAAAGGCCTGGCGTGGGCACAGTTTGCTTCCCTGTGGCTCCATGCCCATCATGGGGGCATCTGGTTGCACTCCCTTGAAAATTTGCACCCAGGGCCATGGTCCCCTGACCCCCCTACTATGCCACTGATCTGAACTCACATACTAGGAATCCATTTTAAAATATGAAGTTTGTCTAATCACTGTTCCGTATCAAAGTTTAGACGCCGTTATTTAAATGAGCACAAATATACTGCCCATTTCATCCTGATCGATGGGGAAGCGGAACAATGCTGTTTGCAATGCATCTTTTCTATGGGCTCATTGTCCCGGCGCAGTTTTCTGGAAAGTTGGATCAACAGGTAGGACGGTTGCTACACACTGTTTACGGTTCGTGACCAAGCCTTGCCTCTGCAATACTGCTGACAGAGGCCGTTCCTCTAGCCAACTCCTGCCTTGTTGCTTTTAAAATTTCAGAACTTAAAACATTCAGATTTTAAACACCTGATGCTGACTTCACATTTTCAGTTTGGTCCACATTTGTTTGGCAGTGATACTGATGAGGAGACAATTCACTGTTAACCATTAAACACCTGTGAAGGAACCCAGACTTCTATTTATCAGTCCCTTTCACTGACACTGTGCTGTGGGATTAGCAGGGGATTAAACAGTAAGCACATCAGTTATGTCACTGGTTTAAATGAGTTGATAATTTAACACATTTCTGAGGTGAGGGTGGCAAATGTGGATCTAATGCTACATGGGTTCAGATTCATGTGACTGAAGGTTTCTGAGGCTGCGCTAACACTTCTGTTTGCAGTGCACTCTCAGCCCTGGGGTTTTATTTATACCAGTGAGAGCCAGTGTGGTGTAGTGGTTAAGAGCGGTAGACTCGTAATCTGGGGAACCGGGTTCGCTTCCCCGCTCCTCCACATGCAGCTGCTGGGTGACCTTGGGCTAGTCACACTTCTCTGAAGTCTCTCAGCCTCACTCATCTCACAGAGTGTTTGTTGTGGGGGAGGAAGGGAAAGGAGAATGTTAGCCGCTTTGAGACTCCTTCGGGTAGTGATAAAGCGGGATATCAAATCCAAACTCTTAATCTGTGTTCACACTTCCAAAACTCATATGTATCCTTTACCTTGTTGTGAAATGCTTCTGTTTCATACCTTGTTCCACAAACCAGTTTCACACCGATTAGCATCCCTAATTCATCTCTGCCAAGGTGTGAACATATTTGCATGAGGCAAATGCCTCCTGGTATGTGCACAAACAGAAACAAATCGGTACGCATTCGTTTGATCTGTATTTTGATCATATTGTGTGCCAATCAATTCCCCTGGGTCTGAGAGTTTTTCTTGCTGTTCCATGGCTATGCTTTGCAAAAAAATCCAATCTCACTCCCTGAATTGAAGCTCGGTTAAGCAATACCTCTCTTTGGATTTTCTGCATATCTGGTAAGATCTGATCCAGCTGGTAAGATCAGCAGCTGTGGAACACAAATGGTACACATTAACTGTTAAGTTGTGGGTGAACATATCAGACGACACAGCGATTCTTCAAACAGCTCTTCTTTATTCTGAGGCCAGAACTGAACTGAGCTGAAGGGCTCAGTCAGCCTGCTTATATAGAGCTTCAGTACCTTGTTACTGTAACAGTTTTCTAAAACTATCCAATCACTGAACATCACTTTCGATCCTTCATTTGCATACAAACTATCCAATCACTGAACGTCACTTTCGATCCTTCATTTGCATAACTATCTACAGTATCCCCCTGCTGGCCCAGGGTGAGAACTTCAGTACATAACAGTAACATCAAAAATTGCAAAAGCACAGTGGTACTTCGGGTTACATACGCTTCAGGTTACAGACTCCGCTAACCCAGAAATAGTACCTCAGGTTAAGAACTTTGCTTCAGGATGAGAACAGAAATCGTGCGGCGGCAGTGGGAGGCCCCATTAGCTAAAGTGGTACCTCAGGTTAAGAACAGTTTCAGGTTAAGAACGGACCTCCAGAATGAATTAAGTTCTTAACCCGAGGTACCACTGTATTAGAAAATTTTTGCAAACTCTATTTTTCCTGTATTATATAATACAGGCTATGCACATGACACAAAACGTTATACAGTTACATATACCAATATCGATCTATTGATTTCAGGGTGACCTTTTTTCAAAAGATTTGGAAATGGCAGTTCATTCCTTTGTTTTTAGGCAAAAGTTCATCTAACTCAGCTACAGGAACATGAGGTTGTAAAAAACAACAACAGTTATAAACCCTTTTCTACACAAGCCCCCATGCAGGCAAGCAAATCCAAATCCACTTCAAGGACACATTCCAGCCAGTAAATGACAGTCACAGAGAGGGTGAAGCAGGAGCAGTAAGGGGTATAGCTGAGGAGGGGACTTGGGGGGGGAGCAGGAGATCTCTAGCGCCAGATAGAAGGGCTTGGGAAGTTGCATTCACATCCCAGGTCTCAGTTTCCCAATCCATGGCTTACTATCCAAAACAGACACTGGGAAGTCACAAAAGAGGTCGGGGCTGTTTAAGTGCGCAAGAATGCTTCTAGATCTCAGATGGAAAGATGGAGAAGTACTGACCAGAGAAGAGTGGAAGACGAAACTGATGGAGTATGCAAAAATGGCAAGACTGTCAGGAAAGATCAGAAACCAGGTAGACAAAGTATTCTTAAAAGATCGGAATAACTTTTTAATATACAGTGGTACCTCTGGTTGCGAACGGGATCTGTTCCAGAGGCCTGTTTGCAACCTGAAAGGAATACAACCCGCGTCTGATCGTGCGCAGGTTGCGATTTGCCGCTTCTGCATATGCGCGTGACGTCATTTTGCGCATCTGCGCATGCGTGAGTGGTGAAACCCGGAAGTAACCCTTTCTGGTACTTCCAGGTTGCTGTGGGACGCAACCTGAAAACGCTCAACCTGAAGCACAAGTAGCATGAGGTATGACCGTATTTCAAAGACCACAGTTGAAATCATTGGCAGGGATAACAATGACACTTGTAAAGTGAAATGAACTTTGGTTAATGTGGTTATATAATAGACTGATAACGGTAAAAGATGCAGGAAGAAAGGTTAAACTTTTTGAATAGGAGCCCATGGAGGGAAGGAAGGAGGTCTGAAGGTTCGAAAGAACCTTCTTTTATTTTTATGTTTTGGAACAATTATGGCAATTGAATAACTTTATGTAAAATCAATAAAAATTTATTTAAAAAGGAAAGAAAGAAAGAAAGAAAGAAAGAAAGAAAGAAAGAAAGAAAGAAAAGAAAAGAAAAGAAAGAGGTGGGGCTGGAAAGGGGGGGGGACAATCATCCACCTCCCCATTATACCTTCTGAAACTGGCCCTGCAGATAATTCTTCCTTCCAAAAAAATCCAACTGCTGACACATCAGATTAAACCATAATAAGGGAAGAGTTCATTTCAATGGGTTGTAAGCGATTTGATAAGATAATAGCCCAAACAATGCCGGTATTTGAACATGGCAAATCCTGGCGCAGTTTTATTGCTACGTATGACAGGCAAGACTCTGCTCCCCCCTCCCTCTTGTTCAGCATCTGTCTGGAGCCACTGGCGTTGTAAGGGGTTAGGGCGTCCGACTAGGATCCAGACATCCAGGGTTCAAACCCCCACTTGGCCATGAATTTCACTGGGTGACCCTGCCTAACCCACTTTGCAGGGTTGTTGCGGAGCTTAAATTGGGGTGGGACCACGTACACAACTTTGAGCTCACTGGAGAGAGAAAGGTGGTTTATAAATCCAATAAATAAATAAATCTGGAGCAAGGGCCCATCACAATGCATACACCCGGAGCTGTTTCTCTGGGTCATCTAAATCTGTGCAGACCCTGGAGCGGTACTTGCATCCACCCAGTAATGGGCTGGATACAGAACAATAAACTGAGGCAAAATCCCAACAAGCTGTGTCTCACACACCAGGGATTGACCTCAGGAACTAGGAGCCCAGCCTTAGGAGATACAAATCTCTCATGAAAGGGGAGGTTTGGACCTCCAGCCAAGCCGAAACAAACCACAGTAAGCACAGAGAAACAGACTTGATCCTGAGAAGAGGGTGGGCAGCGGTCCAAAATCAATATCACAAGGAATTCAGTGACAAGGGAGGTATTAGCTTCAAGTGGAGGGCTGTGTTTTTCCCAAGACGGGAGAAGGCTCAAGAGGAGAACCTCATACATTCTGCTCTCCCAGGCCACACCCGAAAAACAGCTGCAGGTAATGAAAGAACCTCTGGGGTTGATTACTCTCAAGTAGACATCTCTCACACAAGTCGCATGCTGACTCCATGTGTGTAGACACATGCTCTTCAGCCTGGGGGCTTGAGGGCCTTCTCAGGAACTGTGGCCCAGCTCCACCTCCTGCTCTGAGGGTGTCAAGAATTCTTCAGCAGGAGCACCCATCCAGGAGATACTCAAGAGGTCATGTCTAACTCCTCAAGACCCTTGCCCTGTGAGGTGTCCAGTTTGTCCTTGGAGGACTCCAGACCAGGGCTAGGTGCGATGATGATCATGACGACAAATAATATTAATGATACAGTGGTACCTCGGGTTAATTTGTTCCGGAGGTCCGTTCTTAACCTGAAACTGTTCTTAACCTGAAGCACCACTTTAGCTAATGGGGCCTCCCACTGCCACCGGAGAATGATTTCTGTTCTCATCCTGAAGCAAAGTTCTTAACCTGAAGCACTATTTCTGGGTTAGTGGAGTCTGTAACCTGAAGCGTATGTAACCTGAAGCGTATGTAACCCGATGTACCACTGTATTAAGTTAATACCCCAGAACTACAGCCCTTCCCCAAAATTATTGGGAGTGGGAACAGCTGTGTTCTCTAAAGTGGTGTGAATAAAATATACGTAGGGACGTAGGCAACTGTCACATCACAGGTCCCTGTACCTCATGGACCCCTGAGGGTCATCTAGTCCAACCCCTGGCAATGCAGGAATCTCAGTACAGTGGTACCTCGGGTTACAGATGCTTCAGGTTACAGACTCCACTAACCCAGAAATAGTACCTCAGGTTAAGAACTTTGCTTCAGGATGAGAACAGAAATCGTGCGGCGGCAGCAGGAGGCCCCATTAGCTAAAGTGGTACCTCAGGTTAAGAACAGTTTCAGGTTAAGAACGGACCTCCAGAACGAATTAAGTTCTTAACCTGAGGTACGTTCGTGGGATTTCAAGAAGCTCTGTGAAAGGTTGAGGAGTATTGTAAAAAAGAAAATAAGATTAGGAAGGTATATAAAAAGGCAGTATTAAATTTAGGAAATGCGTAACTAAAATTTAATTACGGATGATTGGCAGATAAGCTGAAGGAAGTCCATAATATATAATTTGTGATAAACCTTTGATATGGTATTATATGTATATTATATTGAAAATTAATAAAAACTTTTATAGAGAAAAAAGTTCTTAACCTGAGGTACCACTGTATTGTCTTACGCTGACTGGCAGTGGCTCTTCAGGGGTTTCAGACAGGGCCTTCTCTGCTCTGCTGGAGATCAAACAGCAGACCTTCCGCATGCCAAGCAGATGTTCTGCCACTCAGCCGCCGTCCTTCGATTCCCACATTACAGGGGGTTGGGCTAGATGACCGCTGGGTCCCTTCTAACCCTACAATTCTATGATTCCATTCTCTCCACCTGCTTCTCTCTCTGATAGGGTTCGGCTTGCTTTGAGGTTCTTGGCAGGCGTCTCGCAAGCCACAATTGGGTCACATGGGCAGCGTGTTAAAACATGCTGGAGAAAAGGCTGTGTCTTGTTTCTGCTTCAGATATAATTTAGTAAGGTCATATGCAAGCTTCATCTTACAAGCCGCAATTGATTCATGTGAGCAACAAGGCATGCTTGCATCTCTCCTGAAACCACATGACCTCTGGCTCGCAATGTACTCTAGCAGTGTGATAAGCTCCCCAAACTCTAGATGTGAGTCTTTCTGCAATACTTCTGCCTACTTAAATTTTGTTTGCTCGTTTTTTTCTGCTCTGGCCTCCAGCCAGGGTGATGAATACACCCGTTCTCCGTGGATTTCATGAGACGATCACCTGTCTTTGTAGAGGGAACAGTTCCACCTTCTCTTCCACCTGATGCCCTCAGGACTGAAGAACTTCCAGGATCCCACCCCTCCTTCTATTCTCCTTTCCTTTTTCAAAAAGGAAAGGAAACGTTGAAAACATGTGGTTTCTTTGGAATAGCTTGGCTTGCTAACTTTGAGGGCAACTTGCCAGCTTAGCAGCCATGCGATAATCTGCAGTTCATTTAAGCAAGCAAGCAGCAGCAACAACAACAGAAAATGCCTTTGCGTTGGTGGTTATAGGGGAATTTGGGAAGCCAGCCGTGTTGCAACACGGTGGGCCGGTCTCCACCTTTTAAAGGAGGCTGTTCCCTGACAGTGACGTTGAGCTCTCTCCTCCTTGCTCCAGAAGCAACAAGGAACATTGCTTGACTGACCAGGGGTCCAAGTAAGTTCACTCTCTCTGCTTCTGCCCAGCTCTTTCTCTTGCTTCCATTTAATGCTCTGATACTTTGAGGAATGTGTTGCTGAGCAAATGCACGATGACCTCTTGACTGAGCTTTGCTTTAAATGGACAGGGGACTGTTGTTCTTTTCATCCCGCAAAAGCCTCTTTTTTTAGCACGCTCATGAATTGTGACTTGTTCAGGCCTCTCGGCCACTGTTTGTTGTCTTATTTTTAAATGCCTATTTTTATGTTACTTGCTCAGCAGGGGCAGAACCCTTGCCTTGCATGGAGAAAGTCCCAGGTTGAGTTCTCAGAGACCCTCTGCCAGTCAGTGCAAGCAATATATAGCTGGGTGTTCTCTGTATAAGGGAGCTCCCCATGTTCTTTGGAGGGAAAGACCTGCAACTCAGTGAGAGAGAATGCAGGAGATCTCAGATTCAATCTCCGACACCTCCAGCTATGACTCAGAATGTCCCCTGCTGGAAACCCGAGAGAGATGCTGCCAGTCAGTGTGGACAATACTGTGTTAGGTGGACCAATGGTCTGAGTCAGGATAAGGCAGCTTCCTATGTGAATATCAATGCAAAACAGAACTGCCCCGGCTTTCAGTCCGTTCAATTCAAAACGTAGGTGCTTATCTTTGAACCTGAGACCCAGAGACCTGCCAGTAGGGCTGTGTTGAGGAATTGCAATTCTGTGGATTGAAATGCACAAATCTGCAGATCCGGGATGGAATCATTCTTCAGATTTTGCACTTGTTTGCACTTTCTGATGCAGTTCTTGGTCGGAGAGCATGCGCACAAAAAGGAGAAAAATAAATAGGCAACGTTTTGAAGAAAAGAAGGAGAAAAACCGGCTGAGTTCTGTTGGCCAATCCCCTTTAAATCATGCAGGATTATTCATTGACTGATAATCTCTAGATTCAGGGGTAGAATGACCCTGGAACCTGATTGTTGGGGCACTGGCATGATCAGGTAAGGACTTTGGGGCAGGTGTCCAGAGTCCAGCACAATGAGTAGGAAAGCCACCAAATTAATTGGTTCTGGTTTAGCACTTTTTGGAGTAAGTTAAAAAAAACAAAACCCAACTAAATCAGGGGCATGAAACCATGCAGACCAAAGTTTGGAATCATAAAGCAAAGGGGGGAGGAGAGAAAGGAAACCAAAGGTGGTTGAACCAGGCTTGTGCTAGGCAGATGTAGGGCAGAGCAGTATTTCATCTCCTATTTATTTATTTCATGAGATTTGTATCCTGTTAGATTGTAAAACCAACCAACCTCAAAGCAAAAAGAGTAGAGCGATATTATTAATTGAAACAATCAAAACGTTCAAATAATTAAAACCAGCAATAAACAAAAAACACATCAGCATTGTAAACATCCAGATAGGTTTGTCTAAACCAAAAAGTTTTTAGCAGGCACCAAAAAGAATCCAGTGAAGGCTCCTGCCTACTATCAATTGGCAGTGAGTTCCAAAGCGCTGCTAGGCTAAAAGATGGGTTTCTTATAGTGCAAAATGACTTTTGAACTCCTTTCCCTTTCCAGGGATTGTGTGCAGTGGTGTCCATTGGGAGGGTGGAAGGTAACAGTAGGTGGAGCCAGAACCAACGAGAAGAAAAGTCAACTGATTTTAGTCTTGTCCCCATCCTCCTCGCCTGCTGAGTTCTGCAGGGGGCAATCTTGAGCCTGAGGAGGGGGACGTTGACAGGGAGGACTCCATCCCTGGACTTGCTGAAATTAAGAAGGCAGGCAGCAGTTGGTGGGACAGAACCTTGTTCACCCAAGTAGTCTAGCCTCCATGCAATGATTTCCTCCCCACTGGCAATGGCGGAAGAGATATTCACTATGCCAGCTCCAGGGTTGCTGTGGTTTCCTTCTTGATTTGAAGGCAGATTTAGGGGAAGTTATAGGTACTTTATAGAATCATAGAATTGTAGAGTTGGAAGGGTCATGTAATCCAACCTCCTGCAATGCAGGAATCTTTTGCCCAACGTGGGACTCAAACCCATGGCCCTGAGCTTAAAAGCCTCATACTCTACCAACTATCTGCTTAATTTCTTTTTCTGCATCCAAGGAGGGAGGTCTAATGCTACATTTGGCCCTTGCAACACCCTCTCAGGAACCGTGGGTTGAGTTGCCTAAATGTATCACCATTTGGAAAGCACTCACATGATTATTTGATTAAGCGGTATACAAATCTTGCTTGTGTTTGGGTATTGCTTGCTGGCTTCCCACAGGCAATTGGTTTGTTATGGTGAAAACAGGATGCTGGACTAGATTGGACCGGTGGCCTGATCCAGCAGGGGTTTTCTTATTTCTTATTTTCTTACCAAAGGGTTGCACCAACAAGTACAAAATAACCCCTCTGCAGCACCACAAATCCAACTCAATGGTGTAATGCTGGAAAATGTCAATCACTTCTCCTACCTAGGCAGTTATCTTTCCACAAGTGCCAACACTGATGCTGAAATCCAGCATTGCCTGAGCTCTGTGAGTGCGGCTTTCTCCCGATTGAAGTGCAGAGTGTTTGAGGACCAGGACATTCATAGGGAAACCAAAATGCTTGTTTACAAAGCTGTAGTACTGCCAACCTTACTATATGCTTGTGAAACATGGACCACTTATAAACGCTATATCCAGCTCCTTGAAAGATTCCATCAACGGTGTCTCCGAAAAATTTTACACATCACTTGGGAAGACAGGCCAACTAATATCAGTGTACAGTGGTACCTCGCAAGACGAATGCCTCGCAAGACAAAAAACTCGCTAAAGGGTTCTTTGTTTTTTGAGCTGCTTCGCAAGACGATTTTCCCTATGGGCTTGCTTCGCAAGACGGAAACGTCTTGCAAGTTTGTTTCCTTTTTCTTAACACCGTTAATACAGTTGCGACTTGACTTCGAGGAGCAACTCATAGAACGCGGTGTGGTAGCCTTTTTTGAGGTTTTTAAAGACTTTGGTGATTTTTGAAGCTTTTCCAAAACTTTCCCGACACCGTGCTTCGAAAGACGAAAAAAAATCGCAAGACGACAAAACTCGTGGAACGAATTAATTTCGTCTTGCGAGGCACCACTGTACTGGAAGAAGCAAAGATCACCAGTGTTGAAGCAATGATTCTTCAACATCAACTTCGTTGGACTGGTCATGTTGTGCGGATGCCTGATGATCGTCTTCCAAAGCAACTACTCTATTCTGAACTTAAAAATGGAAAGCGTAATGCTGGTGGTCAACAAAAGAGGTTTAAAGACTGTCTCAAGGCAAATCTAAAAAAATGTAGTACAAACACTGACAACTGGGAAACACTGGCCTGCGAGCACTCCAGTTGGAGAACAGCCTTTACCAAAGGTATCATGGGCTTTGAAAACACTCGAACTCAGGACGCAAGGGAGAAACGTGCTAAGAGGAAGGCAAGCTTGGCAAATCCACACTGTGATCAACTCCCACCTGGAAACCAATGTCCCCACTGTGGAAGGATGTGTGGATCCAGAATTGGCCTCCACAGTTACTTACGGACTCACTGTTAAAACCGTGTTTATGGAAGACAATCTTACTCGGCTACGAGTGATTGCCAAAGAAAGAAAGAGGACACTAAATAAGAATAAGGAAATAATATTATCGACAGGGGGAAGCAAGCAGCAATGGGAACTCTCACTTCATTTAGAGAAAAAAATAGAAACTGCTTAATTGATCGAACGAACCAACTTCTACGTGGTTGACATAAACCAATTATTAATAATACACAAATGCACCAATAATACACAAATATTTAAAACAAGCATAAAGAGCTAAATTATAATACTTGCCTTTGTGCCCTCCTTGTGGGAACCCCAGAGGCATTTGGATGGTCATTGCTGGAAACTGGATTAGAAGGGCATTTTGTCTCATTTAGCTGCAGTTTTATAAGTGCAAGAGGTTCCTCCTTGTTTCCCCCCCTCCACACCATTCATGATATTTATAGAGATTTTTACAACTTGACAACTGGGCGAAGAGGAAGAATGACTTACAAGGCATGTTGGAGAATTCTGAAGAAAACAGAAAGGGAAGTGGACGTTCTTGATGTTGGCTTATTCTTTCTGAAGGCAGCCCTGTTTAGGGAAGCTTTTAATGTTTAATAGGTTGTTGTAATTTAATATTGTGTTGGAAGCCACCCAGAGTGGCTGGGGAAACCCAGCCTGATGGGCGGGGTATAAATAAGTTGTAGTTGTTGTTGTTGTTGTTGTTGTTGTTGTTGTTGTTGTTGTTCCCAGAGCAGAAATCAGTGCAGGGAATATGAACAGTATTTTCTATGGTGTTGCTTTCAGTCTGCAAATGGTACAGAGTTGATTGTGTTCCCCAACCCGACCCCAAATCTGCATTGTTCTTCCTTTGCATTGTGTTGAAAGGGGTGCAATGACACAAAGACAATATAACTTGCACAAATCGCGCCATTTTGCCACAGTGGACAGCGAGATTAAGAATGCAGGTTTTTGGCCTAAGACGAACTGCAGTGGAATGCAAACGGCGCTGCATGCAACAAGTAATTGGTGGGATGGAAACAAAGCCTTCATACATGCCTGCTTAGGAAGCTACAGGCAAGTCTTAGCAATGGTCATTTGGGTCATCCCAGTCACACATGCAAGCTATTTCGCAATGCAATGGCTAACCTGCATGTGCAAAGCTGGTCTTGGCTTAGGCAGAAAAAACGTTTGTTTTGATCCAGCAAAGCCTTTGAGGCTGTAGTATACACAGGCCCACCTAGCTCTTGGCTGCAGTGACTTTCGCATCCCCTATTTAATCCCACTTGCACAAATGCTCTGCTTGTGCATGAAAGGTTTTAGGATCTGAAGCAGTGACTTGACCCAGGCAGCTTGTAAGAATTGGCTTGATAGAGTACACCAAGCGCAGCCTTCCAGATTTTGCTGGATTCCTCAATTTCCATCACCTCCAGCCAGCATGGCCAGGGATGATTGGAACTGGAGTCCAGCAATATCTGGTGCCCCCATTGGCTACCTCTGGATTAGAAGAAGAAGAAGAAGAAGAAGAGTAGTAGTAGTAGTAGTAGTAGTAGTAGTTTGGATTTGATATCCTGCTTTGTCACTACCCGAAGGAGTCTCAAAGCGGCTAACATTCTCCTTTCCCTTCCTCCCCCACAGCAAACACTCTGTGAGGTGAGTGAGGCTGAGAGACTTCAGAGAAGTGTGACTAGCCCAAGGTCACCCAGCAGCTGCATGTGGAGGAGCAGAGACGCGAACCTGGTTCCCCAGATTACGAGACTATCGCTCTTAATCACTACACCACACTGGCTCTCCACATCAGTCTCTATTTAGCTCAGTCCTTCTACACTGACTGGCAGTGACCGTCCAAGATTCCTGGCAGGGGACTTTCCTCTCCCTCCTTGGAGATGCCATGGAGTGAACTGGGGACATTTTGCATGCAAAGCACGTCCTCTGCCTCTAAAAGAGATACCCACTCCTTATTATTTGCATCTAGGACTGTAAGGTACATTGCATCTGAATGAGGAGGTTCTACCTAGGACTCCCGTACCTACAGGACCGCCTCTCCTGGTATGCCCCGCGGAGGACCTTAAGGTCCACAAATGACAACACTTTGGAGGTCCCAAGCCGCAAGGTGGTTAGATTGGCCTTAACTAGGGCCAGGGCCTTTTCAGTACTGGCCCCGATTTGGTGGAATGCTCTGTCACAAGAGACTAGGGCCCTGCGGGACTTGACATCTTTCCGCAGGGCCTGCAAGAAAGAGCTGTTCCACTTGGCCTTTGATTTGGACTCAGTCTGACCCTTATGTTTCCCTCCCCTTAAGGTTTGGATCTATGGACTACTTTTAAAATGAGGCTGCATTTTAAATTGTATTTTAACCTGTATTTTAAATTGTTTTTTTTCTATTATATTTTTATTGTAATTTTGCTGGTGTTAGCTGCCCTGAGCCTGGCTCTAGCCGGGGAGGGCAGGTTATAAATGAAATTTCTTCTTCTTCTTCTTCTTCTTCTTCTTCTTCTTCTTCATCATTATTACTGAGCAAGACGTTTTGCTGCCACTGGGCTGGCAGCTGAATCTTTCTGGCAAGAGGAGGACATTCTCCACCGCACCTGAAGCAAAATGCTAGTTTTTTGTTGTTTAGTCGTTTAGTCGTGTCCGACTCTTCGTGACCCCATGGACCAGAGCACGCCAGGCACTCCTATCTTCCACTGCCTCCCGCACTTTGGTCAAACTCATGCTGGTAGCTTTGAGAACACTGTCCAACCATCTCGTCCTCTGTCGTCCCCTTCTCTTTGTGCCCTCCATCTTTCCCAACCTCAGGGTCTTTTCCAGGGAGTCTTCTCTTTTCATGAGGTGGCCAAAGTATTGGAGCCTCAGCTTCAGGATCCGTCCTTCCAGTGAACACTCAGGGCTGATTTCCTTAAGAATGGATAGGTTTGATCTTCTTGCAGTCCATGGGACTCTCAAGGGTCTCCTCCAGCACCAGAATTCAAAAGCATCAATTCTTCAGCAATCAGCCTTCTTTATGGTCCAGCTCTCACTTCCATACATTACTACTGGGAAAACCATAGCTTTAACTATGGGGGGGGGGCAGACTGACCATGTGACATTCACACCTCTGTTTTCCTACAGAGGAACATCTTGGGGTGGGGGCATTCAGGAAAAACAGCTAGCGGGGGCTGCCACCCACTCTCCTCAGCATCTTCTGCTTAAGGCAGGTCGCTTCACTTTGGCTAATGGTAGGGGAGGCCCTGGTTATCATGATCCTGAGCCGATCTAATCCCTCCCAGTCCCATCCCATGGAGGGATAAACCAGTCCCTCTGCAAGTCACCCTTCTGAGTTGCTGCAAGGGTCAGGGCACTTAGCACATGGTGCTGTTACGGGAATGACTGTGGGTGTTCCCTGGTGAGAGCAGGGAGGTCCAGGGGTGGGGAGAGCTAGCCTTTCCCTCCTTTTTAGCCTGAGCTTCATTTGGGAGCGAGAGCAGCAGAGGAGAGAGCAATACTACTCCCTATAAATACATACTTGGCATAATTAGTAGGTAGAAGTGGTTCTCTCTGGAATTTCTGTATTTCGGGTCTATGTTATTCCCCACATGTTTTCTGCTTCGGTTTCTATTTACGTTTAAAGAGATACTTATCTAATTGTAACCTGTGGGACTTTAACATGTGGATTCTTTTGCTTGTACTTTGTGTATTCTTTGTGATTTTCTTTTTAGGGTGTTGCGAATCCTCTCAGAGATTTTCTGTGCAATATGGAGCAGATTCCTAAATAAAGAATCCTGCTTTTTTAATCATAATAAAAAACCCCATCCAAGTCAGCAGTCATCATATAACATCTTGCGTCAGTTGTTACCATTTGTTAGATGTAGCTTGTGTTTTTAGTTGTGATAATATTTTGTTTGCTTTTGAAACGTTTAGAGTTTGTTTAATTTTTTTAAAAAATACTGAGTTCCTTTGGAAGGAGGGGCGGGACAAAAATCTAACGAAACAGAAGTGCTGAAGAGTTTTGTGAGGCATCTGAACCTTGCCAATTTTTTAATTTTTTATCTTGAGCAGAATTCGGTTGCATTCCTGCCCTCTGCCGAAATGCAGCGACAATTGTGCTGTCAAGCCATTCAAAGAAGGGGAGGAAGGAATTGAAGTGGGAAGAAGAGGAGGGCTGTTCAAAACGTTAAAAAATTAAAAATTTTAAGAGGTCAGATTCCCTGGCTGGTTAATCATCAGCAGGAGATAAAGGGACCCAAAGTGTGTTTGCTCTGCATTGCAACTGAAGTTTGTTTAGAGATCTTGAGCATGGCTTGCTTAAAAGGTTAAAACTCTTGCATACAAAATGCTGACATGGCTGATGTTTGAGGGCACTGAACTGTGGAGTCAGGCCTTTTTTGGCTACAAGCGGAATTATAAATAGTTGGGTTTTTTTTAAGAGATCTACTTGGCAACAGGAGCTGGTCAAAATAAACCCCAGCTCCAGAGCTGAAACTGACACAAGCTCAAAAAAGAACAGTTGGTATCTTGGGAACTTGCTGCTGCGGGATACTTTAATGGCAATTTTTAAAGCTATCCTATGCAGAACTGAGTCTTGACTTTTAGCTATTGGTATGAGGGTTTTTTTTAAATGTAATGCATCATACAGTGTTACCTCAGGTTACATATGCTTCAGGTTACATACGCTTCAGGTTCTCCGCTAACCCAGAAATAGTGCTTCAGATTAAGAACTTTGCTTCAGGATGAGAACAGAAATCGTGCTTTGGCAGAGTGGCAGCAGCAGGAGGCCCCATTAGCTAAAGTGGTGCTTCAGGTTAAGAACAGTTTCAGGTTAAGAACGGACCTCCGGAACGAATTAAGTATTTAACCCAAGGTGCCACTATACACCCAAAGGCAGAAGAGAAAAGAGAGTACAGTGGTACCTCCAGTTACGAACGGAATCTGTTCCGGAGGCACGGCCGTATCCCAAAAATTTCGTAACTGGAGGCGCCCTTCTGCACATGTGTGTGGTGCAATTGAGCGCTTCTGTGCACATGCACGGTGTGCAGAGCGCTTCTGCGCATGTGGCAAAAACTGAAAGTATACACTTCCGGGTTTGCCGCGTTCACACCCCAAGGATTACGTTACCCAAAGGTAACATAACCCGAGGGTCCACTGTACACTGGCAGCATGTGCTGATTCTATTACTTGGACATCAACATACCCATACTGTACCGTTAAAATAATTACTGTACCACAGAGTTATCCAGAGTTGCAGTTGTATCTCAGGAGGCAAACTCGGTGAGAGAGAGCAATCAAAACAAATTTAGTTGGAATTAAGGGTGGCAAACAATTCTCCCTTTCCCATAAAATTTTGTGGAAGCTTTTTCATAATACAGTACAGTGGTACCTCAGTTTTTGAACGTAATCCATTCCGGAAGGTGGTTCGACTTCTGCAACGTTCGAAAACCGAGGCGCAAAGGGTGGTCTGCAAATTTAATTGAGAAAATTGAGAAACACTCAGCGGAAGCCATTTGACTTCTGGGGCACGTTTGAAAATGGAAGGATTAACTTCTGAGTTTTCGGCGTTCGAAAACTGAAATGTTCGACTTCCGAGACGTTCGAAAACCAAGGTACCACTGTACTAATTTAAATAAAAACAAAAAGGAAAGAGAAAAGAAAATGCAAAGTCTTAACTTTTGTCTCACACAGAAAGGGGTGGAGCCTCACAGCTTTCACTTGGGAGTTTCCCTTTCTTCTCCCGGTCTCCCACCCTGGAAGATCTTCCTCTTCCTTGCATCTCACAAAGGGTCCTAAGGGTGACAGACAATTAAACTGAGCAATCAATAACAAGATTCCTTTTGTGCCAGGGATTCTTCCAGGGTCTCCTTGCCACTGGGGAGCAGGGCTTGAGCAAACGGCGAGAGGGTCTGCAATCAAAAAGCAAGCAATTGCAAAAACAGACAATGGGTATAGCTCTTACCTGTGTCCAGTAAGCTACATTCCAAGCCACCAAAAAGTGGCTGCACATCTCTGTGTTCTCTATCCAGGCAAGCATAAACCTGGCACTACCAGGACCTCTGACGGAGGCAGCCTGTTGATGTGACATTGCTCTGTGTAAACAGCTGAGGGGGCTCAGATCCAAATCCAGATTGCTGGTTCTCCTGTTTTGCATCCTAAACCGAAGCCATGCTGAAGGTTGGGACTCAGTCCAATACATGAAGTGCTATCATTAAGGAAATGACATAGCTGTTGTTCCTGTTTCCCCCCCAGACAGAACGGTCTGTGTTCCCGAGCTAGAAGATTGGCATCATGGATGGAAAAATGGTTCTGCAGCAAGCTAAAGACAACCCCCCATTCTTGGACAAAAGCCTGGTGAAGAGAGCATGTCTCCCTGTTTCAAAGCTAAAGGTAAAAACCTCCCTTTCTCTGCAACAAATGGCTACAAAATTCCAGATGGTTCAAAAGCATGGTCCCTAGCCTTGTCTCCCTCTATTTTCCTTCCGCATATTAAATTGTAAGCTCCTTGAGGCCAGAGACTTGTCTGTTTCTATCTCTGTGGTTGAGATGTTATATTATTTTGAGACAATAGCTCCTTTGTCAACTCACGTTTTCCTTTGTGTTCACCCCAGATATTCCTCGGGGCGCTGTCGTTTTCCTTCTTCTCCAAAGCATTTACGGGAAGCTACATGAAGAGTGTGATGACTCAGATTGAGAGGAGATTTGAAATCCCATCGTTTGTGGTCGGACTGATTGATGGAAGCTTTGAGATAGGTATACCCGTTTCCTTCCCCTCACCCCTCACAGGAGGTAACCTACCATAGTTTCGCAGTGGAAAGGCCTTCTGCCTCTCCCTGAACCACCCCCACCCCGCAATTCATCACATCTCTTCTCCTCATGTAGGAAACTTATTGGTGCTGATCTTGGTGAGTTACCTGGGCCCAAAAGTTCATCGTCCAAAGGTGATTGCGGTTGGGTGCCTCATCATGTCCCTGGGGTCGTTTGTGTCAATTGTGCCTCACTTCATAATGGGGCGGTAAGTACAGCATTAACAATTACCAACATTAGCATCCTTAGGGAAATGCCTGTCACCAGGGAGGGTGGTCCATGGGCTAAGACAGATGAGCATCAAAAAGAGGACCAGAGTGTTGTGAATGCTTTGTAGAGGGAAGGACTATAATTAAGCAGCAGATCAATTCTCAACATCTCAAAGTTGGACTGAGTGGAGTCAACCGTATCTGAAGCCTCAGAGAGTTTCTGCTGAGCAGCGCAGACATTTGTTTTGGTCCTGTGTTGTTGGCAGGGGATGTTTGGATATCACACACTTCATTGGGGCTCTGCTGGAGAAGTTTGGGCGTACCAAATATCAAGGATAGCCATTGGGCATGGCAGCGTTTGGGCTGTTGTCGAGAAGCCTTGGTTGTGACGTTATGGGCATAGGCCCCAAAGTCTGGTTGCGATGGCACTGCACCCGCAAGGAATCCAGGACATAAAATTAGTAAATAACTAAATAAATAACTTTTCCTAACTTTTTGGAAAAGAGCAGTGCATCATTCTTATGACATTGCACCATTTGCCATGAAGCAACCATCAATTGTCTCATTGCCTCACAAAGCAGCTGCCAATAGGGTTGTAGTAGACCATCTGCTTCGCATGCAGAAGATACCATGTTCAATTTTCAGCGGCATTTCTGGGTTGGGCTGGGAGGAACACCCTGCCTGCTGAGCTAGATGGATACAATGCTTTAACTCAATATAAGTCAGCTCCCTTTGCTCCTATGTACCACTCAGAATTAAAGGGTATTAATAGTATCATCATCATCATCATCAACATCATCATCATCATCATTGTTATTATTAACAAATATTTTAAAACCCTTCCACATTTCCATCACACGGCATTTGTTTCTTTCTTCTTCTTTTTAAAGTTACAATTACAAGAGCATTGCGGTTTCTGTGACCAATTCTTCTGCGAGTGTGTCGGCTTGCTCAACAACCATTCCTTCCCACCATGTGATAGACGACTTGGAAAGTTTTCAAAATGCAAGTGCTCTTGGTAAGCAAACCTTTGGTGGCTCCCAAGGTGAGCTGTGCCCCCGTCTCTTGGTGTGCACATGAAGAGATGCAGGGCATAATTTTATCATGTAGACTTATTAGTCTCTCTCATGCCCTGACACCTTTGGGGCAGGTTGCTGTATGGCCTTATGCCACCAACACCTCTTTATGTAGCAACTGGTACTGTGATTTTCCAGGCTGAACAATTCATATTCAGCCCTCTAATATCAGTCTCTATTGTAGCCATAAGAGAACTACCCCTGTATGAAACGATGGTTGCATATGCACCATTCATTCAAACCAAACACCTCCCAACCCCTCAAAATCAAGGGATCTGTAGTTTACCCCATAAAGCTGCAATTACCAGCACCCTTAACAAACTACAGTTCTTGGAATTCTTTGGGGTGTATGTGTGTGTTTTGAATGTGCTTTAAATGTATTGCTGAACGCACACTGATCTCTGAGCAGCAAGAGACTTCAGCGGTTTCTGTGCTTACCCAGGTGAAGGCCAATGGAAATGCGGGTGTCTTTGGGATATATGCCTTTATTTGCACATCTATACAACCCAAGCATGCTATGGAGGGGCTCACAGCATTCACACCCTAACTGATCTTGCTTCCTCATCTGGTTAGCCCCAAGCCTCTACTTTGGGTATCCAGCTTCCAGCTCCAGCCAAAACTCACACAGCTCCACTTGGCCTATTGTTCTCCATCCTAGGATTGACATGGCTTGAGCCAAGTGAGGTGAGGAAAGGCCCACCCATTTGTCTCTATGGCACTCTGTGGTACTTAACTGGACAGCTACAGTATGACTATTCCCTTAGCAAAGGAACTAGATAGACCTGTTTACCAGGTTTCCTCTTATACATCCTACCTGCACAGGATATAGGATTGCATCTTTGGAAAGGACTGCTGGGTATCATCCAGACCAGCAGTTACAATCGATTTATGCCCTCCACTGCTGCTACAGTTGCTATTACAGTTTCTCTTCTTCAATATTGCTTGCCAGACCAAGGATTTCAGTTTTCAGTGTCCAGATTTGGCTGGCATTGAACATCTGTAGCTGAAACATCTGTTTCCCATCATCATTCTCTTTAACTGAGAACTCAGCTGGTCGAGTGTCCACAGTGCATTTTACGAGCTCCCTTTTTCTAACAGCAAACTTAGATGGCTGAGAGCTGGCAGGATTTAAGCCAGAACCAGGTCACTGGGGAACAAGCAGACTTATGGGGAACTCCAAGGTTTCCAGGAATATAAAAAACCAAAATAAAAAGTCGGGAAACAGTTCTGCAGGGGGAAACAAAAGCAAAAGACTCAATGAACTCTCAGCACATTCAGTGCTCATGGAATAGTGATAGTACAAGCAGCTTTTCTTCTTCTTTATCTCTTTGACTTTGTTTTTGTAGTTGTTCTTGCTGCTGTCCCAGCCTTTGGTCACTAAGCAGAAGCATGCAATTGGGTGGGTGAGGCAAAAGAGGGCAGAACAACAAATGCTCATTGCACCTCTGTACAGTAGGCTAGTTTCTACACGCACACCAACACACGCCTGTATCCTCCACCCAGGCAAGCAAGAAGCATGATCAGAGTTCAAGGACACATTCCACACAGGCAAAAACACCCATGGATGATGCAAGGCAGACAGCGATGGGTTGTGGCCTGGGGAGAGTCACTTGGTGGGCCACATTTGACACCCAAGCCAGTCATTTCCCATTCCTGCCATTAAAAAATGTGTATGCACTCTATACCTGCTGCCTTGAGAGACATCATCAGGAGAAGAAAAGGCTAAGGAGCTAACTGTGCGCCAGGGGTTGGCAACCTAAAGCCCATGGGCCCACAAGCTGCCCCCAAACCGAAGCACTCACTCGGCAAGTCCCTGCGCACTGCACTAAACTGGTGCAGCATGGCACAGGGACTGTCTTCCGTGGCTCCGGAAATCGCTTCTGTGCATGCCCAGATGCCAAAAATCACGTCTGCACATGTCCACAGTGCCAGAAATCGCTTCTGCGTATGCCCAGATGCTGAAAATCGTGCAGGTGCGATTTTTGGCACCGTGGACATGCACAGATGTGATTTTCAGTGTTGCGCTGTGCTGGTCCGGCCCATGGTTTTTAACACTTGATTGGAAGCTGCCCAGAGTGGCTGGGGAAACTCAGCCAGATGGGTGGGGTATAAATAATAAATTATTATTATTATTATTATTATTATTATTATTATTATTATTGAGGATCGCCACAGGAGTGATCCAGCCCATGCCCGGTAAGCTGTGCCGACCCCTGCCCTACGCAAACCCGAAGTCCCTAAGCTGGTTGGATGGCATCTTGTATGCCTCCTTCCGGCGACTCCTGCAGCCAAGCTGGTGCCAAACATCTTGCTCTGCTTTCCTTTGGACCACATCACTGAGGCTGAGAGGGGAGTCTTGTCATCTGGGCAGCCCAGGACCTCCATACACACTGCCCAGGCTTGCGCCCTGGGGAGGTCACTTTGGTGATGCTAAGGCAGCAAAAACAACACAGGAGGCAGCAGTTACGAGTTATTGGTCTCTGCAGCCACAGCAGATGCTGTGATCCATGGACTCCCCTTCCTTGGATGTTTTTAAGCAGAGGTTGGGTGGCCATTTGCCATGGGTGCTTTAGCTGAGATTCCTGCATTGCCCCATGGGGTCCCTTCCAGCTCTACAATTCTGTGAGACAGGTGCTCTAGATTTAATTGGTGCAATGGCACGGCAGTGGCACTGGTGGTGGAATCTATCCACCTTTTGCTCTGTGCCACCTCTACAGTTTGCATCTCTGCCCTCATGACCCTTTGAAGCTGCCAATAGCCCTGCAAGGGAAAACGAATAGGGCACAGCAGATTCGTTCACCAAGCTGTGTGCCATCCTTTGCCCGCAGGTTGTGAAAAATCGACGAGCTCCTACCTGTGGCTGTTTGTCCTTGCTGGGAATATTCTTCGTGGAATCGGTGAAGCTCCCGTGATGCCCCTGGGGCTGTCGTACATCGATGATTTTGCCACGGAACAAAACTCGGCCTTTTACATAGGTAAAATAAGCCAGGTGATCCCACCCCATTAAAGATCAGAACTGGGTTGAAAAGCAGCCTTCTGAATGTCTGCATTGTCTTACCAGCTCTTGGCTGTTTCTTGGTTGCTTTAAAATATCTTAAGGCTGTTTATGTTCTGGTTTAAAATATTTGTGCCTTCTCACAGCTTAAGAATGCATATCAGCCACCAAGGCAAACTGAACAGATAAAAAAGTGAGCAAAATTTGTGTGAAGAGGAAAGGGCCTCCTCCCTGCCTCATTTGCAGGTTTTGATCAAAGAAAGCATTTTGTCAGGTTTTGGAAGAATAAAATTGGGGGAACTATCATTGGGTAGCAGTGGAGAGCCTCACAGTGGCCTGCAATTGCTAGCTGCCATCCTTTCTATCCCAGAATGACACATGGTTTCCCCCAAAGAAGCAGCCATTCCCAACACATTGAAAAACTGCTTCCCTAAAAATAATAATCAAGGGAGGAGTAATGTATGGTGCGGATTAGATCCGAGTCATGGCATAGCATTGCTCCAAGGTGGGGTACCTGGGACTGGAGCGAGATGATGGTTTTTAGTGGAGACTACCATTCTTTTTAGGGATGTGGGTGGCGCTGTGGGTTAAACCACAGAGCCTAGGACTTGCTGATCAGAAGGTTGGCGGTTCGAATCCCCGTGACGGGGTGAGCTCCCGTTGCTCGGTCCCTGCTCCTGCCAACCTAGCAGTTTGAAAGCACATCAAAGTGCAAGTAGATAAATAGGTACCGCTCTGGCGGGAAGGTAAACGGTGTTTCCGTGCGCTGCTCTGGTTCACCAGAAGCGGCTTAGTCATGCTGGCCACATGACTCGGCCAGTAAAGCGAGATGAGCACCGCAACCCCAGAGTCGGCCACGACTGGTCCTAATGGTCAGGGGTCCCTTTACCTTTACCATTCTTTTCCCTCAGAACCCCAGTTGCAAAAAAACACTCCCCGTCCCCAAAACACAACAACACCTGTGTAATTGGATGGAGATTCACTCCACTTTTGAAGGTCTCAACACAGCCTTTCCCAAAGACTTGGGGCTGCATTCCCACTCTCACTTACCTGGAAGAATTGATCCACTGAACTTCTAGGGCTTCTTTCAGATGAGACATATATAGGATTGCATTCTGGGTCTTTGATCAGGTTGGGATTGCATTCTGGTAGGGCAGAGAGGGGCCCTGGCAGGCCGCTCTGGTTCCCCACCCTGTTCTTCTGCAATGCAGACAGCAGATGACCCAGACTTTTGCCCATCCTTCTACCCTGGCAGAGAGTAGCATGCCCAAAGATCGCCTCTTCTCTTCATAGATAATCTTCTTCACCATGCGCTGTAAATAAGTCACTGTGCTGCCGTGTGATATTTTACAGGAATAGTGAGAGCACTGGGAATGTTTGGACCCTCAGCTGGCTTTCTGCTTGGATCCTACTGTGCTAATCTGTGGGTTGACATTGGACTGGTAGATACTGGTAAGGAACAAATACCCATAATCGTATCCAGTGTTTCGTCTCTGTTAACGTTGACTCTCCTGTCCAGCGAGTGCTGAGTGCCAATTGTCCTCTTCTGCTGTGGCTTGGTAGCAATTGTCAGGCCAGACCCTAGACAATCCCCAGTAGGTCCTTCTGGAGCCCTGAGCTCTGGAAAATATTGTCTCAGCAAAGGACCACAGCCATCAGAAGACTGAAGAAGGTGGGCAAGGCTTTGGGTTCCAGTGACTTCATCCCATGATGCAGAAAGGGCCTATTAGGAATTCACAAAATTAAGGTTCTCAGAGAGCTTCTCCATCTGCAGAACCAAAATGTGGATTTGCACCTCTTTTCTCTCACCATTAATGTGGGGGGATGTAATCACAGGACGCTCTTCCCCATCCCAGTTTTGTCCCAGGCCTTCCTGGGAATGTGGGCTTTTCCTATCCTTGGAAGATCTGCAATGGCCAAGATTGAAAAGCCCTGCATTTAAAGGGTGGAAGTTCCAGGACAACACTGGGGTGTGTAGGATGTCTTGTGGATGTCCTTACATTAGTGGGGAGACAGGAAGGTGCAGTTCCACATTTTGCTGTGGTGTGGACAAGCCCAGCATCCAACCAGCTCTCTTCCATCAGAGGAAAGCTGTGTATTATCATCCATAGACACTTCCTAGAAGATTTACTATTGCACACAAATAAATTTCAGGCTTCCTGCCCAGACTCCCTGTTAAACTAAACTAAACTCCCATTTGTGGTTTTAAGTACATTCTCCTACAATCTCTCCAGCTGCTGGATATTACCCTCTTAACCCTCCTCTGGCGCTAACACCCTCCATCTCCTAAATTCCTCACTTCCTACAGTGTTACCTCCGCTTAGCTTGTCTCTTAGGCCCCATCTGCCCCATGCATTTGAAGCAATATTATAGCACTTTAAACAGCCATGGCTTCCCCTAAAGAATCCTGGGAGCTATAGTTTGTTAACAGTGCTGAGACCTTCATTCCCCTCCCATAGCTACAATTCCTATTGTGGCTGAATGGTCAATCCCTTTTCCCACTGAGGCACTGAAAGAATATTTCTGAATATCAGTTGGTATGGATCACCGCTGGAAGGGTGCTATTGCATTTGTGCCTACGCACCCAGAGACATTGGGTGGGCCACTGTGAGAACAGGATGCTGGACTCAATAGGCCCTTGGTCTGATCCAGCAGGATTTTTCTGAAGTTCTTACAATATGCCTGAAAAATCACCCGTGGTTTTCATGACTGAGCTGTGATTGCAGTTTAGATCTTTTAGGTCCACATCTAACTTTTTATCAGCTGGACCATACAGTGGAGAGGTGAAAGGTCAAACTGGGAGCCAACTGAGAACTGCAGCGATGAATAAGCAAAGTAGAGCAAAATATGTAGATCATCTCTTTTTTTTCCATTTAAAGAGGCTAAAAGTTCAATCTCTGTCCTTTTCTCCCAGATACATTGACAATAAATTCTAAGGATGTGCGTTGGGTTGGTGCCTGGTGGCTTGGAATACTGTTATGTGGAGCCATCAGCGTTGTGGCCTCCTTCCCTTTCTGGTTCCTGCCTTACTCTTTGCCAAAACAAGGAGAAGAAAGGATAATTAAGAAGACGGGTGATGTTTACGGAAACTCCAAGGATAGCTGTGGCAAAACAGAATCTCCAAAACCACCACGGCTGAAGATCTCCAAAGCAACAAAAGGTTGACTGCTGAATCTCCTCCTCCTCCTCCTCCTCCTCCTCCTCCTCCTCCTCCTCCTCCTCTGGCTCTCCTTCACTAGTTAATGCCGAGCTTCCTAAGAGCAATCGGCTCGGTGGGTGGCCCACTTTTGCAATGTGCTCATCTCCTTAAACAAAATAGAACAGGACTAGGGAAACTTGACTCTCCAGATGTTTCTGGACTCCAGCTCCCATCAACTCCCACAGCATGGCCAGTGCTCAGGGATGATGGGATTTGTAGACCAGAAACAGAGTGTCCTTATTCTGGGGTGATTGCAATTTAAAGCATAAACATACACCCCAATATTATTGGAAGGTTACGATCCCTTTTATTAACAGCTGGCACTCACCCCTACTATTTTGAAAACAGATGTGATCTGTGGTGAAAAATGTGTGGTGATTCAGATAATTGGTCTCCATGGTCTCTTTTTGTAGGCAGATGTCCATGTAAGCATGTCAGGAAGGAACACAGGAATCTGCCTTCTACTGAGTCAGAGCACTGATCCACCTTGTATTGTCTACACAGATTGGGAGTGGCCCTCCATGGCTTTCTTCCTGCCCTATCTGGAGATGCTAAGGATTGAACCTGGGACCTTCTGCATGTAAAGCAGATGCAGGAGCAGTAACTTGAGTCAGGGTACATACAGTCACCCAGTTCCGCTGGTTTCTTGGGTGGGGTACCTTCATGAATTGTGGTCCCAGGATTCCTCTCAAGTTGCCCTGGTTCCCGGTACATGCTGGTATCTGCCATGGGCTCCATCCTCCAAGGAGGTCTTCTCAGATTTTGACCACAGACCTAGATCATATCCTTAACATTTTTTACTTAAAACTCATTAAGAAGAGCTAACTAACAATTTGCTGAATGGGAACCATTTTACACACTGCGTTCCTCTCTCCCATCTGTACAATTCGCAACTACAGTGGTACCTTGGGTTACAGACGCTTCAGGTTACAGACGCTTCAGGTTACAGACTCCGCTAACTCAGAAATAGTAACTCGGGTTAATAACTTTGCTTCAGGATGAGAACAGAAATTGCGCGGCAGCAGTGGGAGGCTCCATTAGCTAAAGTGGTACCTCAGGTTAAGAACAGTTTCAGGTTAAGAACGGACCTCCAGAATGAATTAAGTTCTTAACCTGAGGTACCACTGTAGATCTGAAGTTACAAATCTGAACACACACACACAAATCTAGGCAATGTAAATTAGGCTCAGCAGTAGACAGAATCAGCAATGGCTTTTGATCCCATGGGTGATGATAGAGATGATCATAAGCCTTTCCTCTGCGAATACACTTGCTGATGTTTATTTTAGATATGGATATATTATATTTCCTTTCCAGATTTCTTCCCCACTTTGAAGAAGCTACTTGGAAACACCATCTTCCTGGTCTATTTACTCCTCATTGTCCTTCTGTACAATTCTGTCGTTGGCATGATAACATATGAGCCAAAGTTTATGGAACAGCAATTTAACATACCTGTTTCAAACGCCATCTTTTATATTGGTACGTAAACTCCTCTCTTTGTTGTTGCGTTTCTGGCTTGCTGGGGTAAGAGTGTGTGTGTGTGTGTGTGTGTGTGTGTGTGTGTGTGTGTGTAAGCACATGCAACCTATGTCAATGTTCCCTTTTCTTTTTCTAGGTGTGTTGCTTTTACCTGCTACAATTGTGGGACTGTTCCTTGGAGGTTTTATCATCAAGAAGTTCAAGATGCAAGTGACAACTATGGCGAAGTTTGCCTGTGTCACTTTTCTGATTACCTTCCTACTTAATCTGCTTTACTTTGCATTCAACTGCAATGACCTTCAGGTGGCTGGCTTGAACATCAACTACTCTGGGTAAGTTGCCTTATTTATTTTTGGGACTGTGGGGTGGGAGATTCAATATTATACTGACTCAGACCGTTGGTGCATTTTATGTTGTGAACTGCCCTGTGATCTTCAGATGATGGGTGATATACAAATTTAATAAAGAATAATGATCTAACTGAGTACCATCTGCTGGGGATGTCTCTTCATGCCTGCTCCTCTGCTGTCTACTTATTGATCATCTACTCATCTACGGTCTCCTAAGTTCACATTTAATGGTGAATCTACCTGGCTGGAACTTACCCAAACATACACGAGAACTAACATGCAGCCATCATAGTGCCACTCTGAATTTTACAATGCATTTCAGTATTATTATTATTATTATTATTATTATTATTATTATTATTATTTATATCCCACCCTCCCCAGCCAAAACCAGGCTCAGAGCATATAGGAGGGTAAAATGTGCATAAGAATGCATGCTAACTATCTTTTACTGATGTTTTGCTTTTTTGTCAACCACTTTGCAGCCTTTCCCAACCTGTGGGTCCCCAGATGTTGTTGGACTACAACTCCCATCACCCCTAGCTAGCAAGGACAGAGCTCGGGGATGATGGGAGTTGTAGTCCAACAACATCTGGGGACCCACAGGTTGAGAACTGCCGAGGTTTCATTGCTATCAGGTGGTATATGAATTTTGTTGCATAAAATAAATTGGTGAAACTAACATGCAAAAATGGGTTATACTTGAGAAAACATGCTTTGCCAAAATGCAGATATAACAACAACAACAGCAATTTATTACTTGCACCCCACCCACCCAACTGACTGTGTATATGTGTGTGTTGGCCTTGTTTTCCTTTTCCCTGAAGGCTTTGCTTCTGTTCCCTTTAGCATCAAAGAAGCATCCTTCTCTAAGGAAGTATCGTTAGCTGCCTGCAACTCTCACTGCAGCTGTGATGCAAGCCACTGGGATCCCGTTTGTGGAAGCAATGGGGTCACCTACATGAGTGCATGTTTAGCTGGCTGCAAAGCATCAGTGGGAAGTGGAAAAGATATGGTAAGCGCAGATATCTGTTTGTAGGTTTGCTTCTTAAGAGGTTCATGTGTTCGTAGGATTGTATAGAGTTGGAAGAGACTACCGGTGTCATTTGGCACAACCTCCTGCAACGCAGAAATCACAGCTAGAGACTCCCTGACAGATGGCCATCCAACCTCAGCTTAAAACCTTCCGATGAAAGAGACTCCGCCACCTTCTGAGGTGCAGTACATTTGACTGCTAAACAGCTTTTGCTGTCAGAAGGTTCTTCCTAAAGTTTGGTCGGAAGCTCCTTTCTTGAATTTTGAATCCTTTGTATTGGATCCTACCCTCTGGCAGCCCTGCTGACTTGCACCATAGTGAGGGTCACTTGGTCCGGCATTCCGGCATGAGGACTTGTGCCAGAATACCAGACCAAAAAAAGGGGATATCTTGGGATGCAAACAGAAGCTGGGATTGGCTTCTGTGATTAAAACAGGACAGTTGGCAGATATGTTGTATAGTTCTCTCTATTTTGGCTCTGGAATATGTCAAATATTAACTTTCACCTTAATATCAGCAACACAAAGGAGATGGTGTTGGACTTTTGGAGGAAAAGAGGAAAACTAGCCTCACTGTACATCGGGGAGGGCTGTGTGGAGAGAGTCTCTTCCTTTAAATTCCTAGGAGTTTATCTCAGTGAAGACCTTACTTGGAAAATCAGTACAACCCAGGTGGCTAAGAAAGCCCAGCAGAGACTCCATCTCCTCAGAGTATTGCGGAAGAATGATGTCAATCAACATTTGATTATCTCCTTCTACCGATCCACAATAGAAAGTGTCCTTTCATACTGCATCACGGTGTGGTACGCTGGTTTGACATCAGTTGATAGGAAGTGCCTACAGAGGGTGGTGAATACAGCACAAGATATTATGGACTGTCCCGTGAATCCACTGGATGACATTGCAGAAGAACGTTGCCTCAGGAGAGTGAGGAAAATTCTAAGGGATGATTCACACCCTGGCTGGCACTTTCTTGATTTCCTGCCCTCGGACAGAAGATATAGAAGCATGATTAGTCGCACCAACAGGGCAAAGAACAGCTTCTATCCATGGGCTGTTAGGCTGCTGAATGAAAAGATAACAACAGGGCAACTGACTTTTGGGTTTGGTGGGTGTGCGTCGGTAAACGAGGGGAATTAAGACTAAGAGAGCTGAATGGGGGGTGCTTGTGTAATCTCACTGTATACAAGTTGTACAAGTGACAATAAAGTATTTCATTTCAACTAGATAGACTGCAGAGGGTTCAGGACATCTTGTACCACATGTTTTGCCCACAGGGGAAAATCCACAGGGAGCGGAGGTGCGGAATGTGAAAAAATGCAAGACACCCTGCTAATGACGCACACCCTCTTCTCTCTCGCAGGTATTTCACAATTGCAGTTGTGTGGGAGTTTCGGGTCCTGGAAATCTATCGGCAGTTTTGGGTCAGTGCCCAAGGGATAGTTGTACTAAAAGCTTCCCTTATTTCTTAGCCTTGACGTTCTTATTTGCGTTTGGTTTTTCCTTGGGAGGAACTCCGACGTACATGATTATGTTCAGGTGAGCACATTTTTTAAAAAATCCCCCTGTTTGTCTCCATCAAGTTTTGGGGCAGGTCAGCTCCGCAGCATAGTTCATCAAATCTCCTGTATTTCAGCGGTTGCTTTTGCAGAATGTCCCTGGATTGCAAAAAAGGTGCCAATTTCTGCTTGAAAATAATAATAATAATTGTAGCCAACATTGGCGGGGGGTGCATCACTGAAAATCTGAATGCTTGCAGCTGAAATCTAGGACAAAATAAAGCCGTTTTGCTAGAAGAAAAGTTTGGATTTGATATCCTGCTTTATCACTACCCTAAGGAGTCTCAAAGCGGCTAACATTCTCCTTTCCCTTCCTCCCCCACAACAAACACTCTGTGAGGTGAGTGGGGCTGAGAGACTTCAGAGAAGTGTGACTGGCCCAAGGTCACCCAGCAGCTGCATGTGGAGGAGCGGAGACGTGAACCCGGTTCCCCAGATTACGAGACTACCGCTCTTAACCACTACACCACATTGGCTCTCCTTTTCCTAAAGGCATTTACAATCAGGATTCCTAAAATCTTCTACAAAACTACCAGGGCCCCAAGGTTCATATTCAAAGGTGCTCTTTTAGAGCATAGGATTGAATTGCTGTGGAGCGCATCTTCTTCTGCCACGCACAACTGAGTGCAGGCCTCCCCTTCCCAACTGGCCACTCGCTCACCTCTTGCTACCTGTGTGCTCACAAGAAGTTTTTGCCTGCTTGCCTGCCTCCTGCCCCCACTGCATGCTTCTCCTACCTGTCTGTCTGCCTGCCCCAGCTGCCCCGGCTCAGACATGCTTGGAAATAGCACCAATAGTTAAGAGGCAAGTCAGGAGGCTTACGACATGAGACAGGGCCTTTTCAGTGGTGGCTCCCAGCAAAGAGGCCCACCAGGTGTTCACTTTGACATCTGTCCTGGGCACTGGGCAGAGCCTTTTGCTTCAAGCCTTGGAATGATTTTAACATCTTTTATTTGCTACTGCTGCTGGTGGTATTCTTCAGTCTGGTTCCACTAATGTTGGCTGTCACCATGGTGCTTAGGCCTGTGGTGGGGCTTCCTATTGCTGTTTTGGCTGTTTTAAGCTGCCGGTTTGCTGTGTTCTGTTTTTTACGTTTACTTCTATTCAAGTACGTATATTGGGTGCTTTGGTCATTTTTAGTTGTGTTCTTCAAGGCTCTGGCACAAGGCAACGGCTAAATTGTTCTCTGTTCCATTACACTTGGTCTGGAAAGTGTAGTTAGCGTGGAAGGCTGCAGTGGGAACATATTACATCTCTGCTCTCAAAGATTTGCAGTGTCTGCCAATTTGCTTTGTTGCTGTTTAATCGTTTGGTCATGTCCGACTCTTCGTGACCCCCTGGACCAGAGCACGCCAGGCACTCCTGTCTTCCACTGCCTCCCGCAGTTTGGTCAAACTCATATTAGTAGCTTTGAGAACATTGGCCAACCATCTCATCCTCTGTCGTCCCCTTCTCCTTGTGCCCTCCATCTTTCCCAACATCAGGGTCTTTTCCAGGGAGTCTTCTCCTCTCATGAGTTGGGCAATTTGCTACTGAGCAAAATTCTAGACTGGCTGCTGCTTTGTTACTGGGACAAAATCAAGATGTTACTGCTAATGTATAAAGACATCAAGAGCTTGGAACGAATGTGCTGGAAGGATTGACTTATCCCACACATGCCTCTTAAAGCACTTTGATTTGTGGAATTAACACTTTTACAAGTACCACGTAATGTATGTTCCAAGCCTGGGAGGAATCTGTTTGAAATTTCATCATAGACCTTTCTTCTCAAAGCTGTAGATTTTATCTATATTTTGATAATTTCATTACGCAGACTTTTTTTTTATAAAAAAGTGTTTTATTTTATAATAAAATAAAATAATAAAAATAATTTTATATTTTATAATAACAATATTATTACCATTTTGTGTAAACCACTTAGAGTTGGGTTTTTTTTTAAATTAAGCATTATATAAATCTTGCTAAATAAATACATGGAACAAAACAACAACAGCATTATCGAAATAATTTCTGTGGATTTTCAAATTCTGCACATTTAGATCAATCTACATTTGGGCCTCTTTAATTCCAGTGGATTGATTGGTTTTTAACGAGAGAGGTGTAAGTCTTGCCCTTGAAAATTTGCAGTTCCAGTTATTTAACGCTCTGAAGCTTGCACAACCCCATATCCTTTTGAGCCACGACATTCCGTTTATTTCAATGTTTCTGGACTGCAGCCATTGTAGCAAAGTGTATCTGATTAATGTCGAAGGGAATTTTTTGAACTTCTGCATCCTGTTTTTTCCCCAGATCGGTTTCACCAGAATTAAAATCCCTTGCTGTCGGCTTCGAAGCTTTCTGTGGAAGGACACTCGGTAAATATTTCTTCCCTTTCCTTTTGTTTGAAGATCAGAAACATACGAAGAACAAAGGGAGCTGCCTTCTACGTTGGTCAATATACCTCAGTATTGTCTACACTGACTGGCAGCTGCTCTCCAGGGCTTCAGGCAGGGGTCCGACGTCCTACAATAGACTGCTTTTTGGAAGGCTAATTCCGGGGGGGGGGGAGAGACGGAATGCTGTGGGTGCCAGGCAAGGCCTCTGAAGGCACAAACGCACCCATGGGTGGTGACCACGATGGCAAACACTGCTTTAAACAGGCTTCCAGGTAGCGTGTTCTAAAGTTAAGGGCAAAGATGACACCAAGTCTGTAGAGTAGTGGGGATGTTTTTCCATATACAGTCGTACCTCGGGTTACATACGCGCCAGGTTACATACGCTTCAGGTTACAGACTCCGCTAACCGAGAAATATTACTTTGGGTTAAGATTACTGAAGCAAAAAATATTACTTTGCTTCAGGATGAGTACAGAAATCGCGTTCCGGCGGCGTGGTGGCAGCAGGAGGCCCCATTAGCTAAAGTGGTGCTTCAGGTTAAGAACAGTTTCAGGTTAAGAACGGACCTCCGGAATGAATTAAGTACTTAACCCGAGGTACCACTGTACCTGTGGATGTGAACGGGATCCGTTCCGGAGCCCCGTTCGCATCCTGAAGCGAATGCAACCCGCGTCCACGCGTCTGTGCATGCGCGGGTCGCAATTCACTGCTTTTGCACATGCGCATGATGTCATTTTGAGCATCTGCGCATGCGTGAGCAGCAAAACCTGGAAGTAACGTGCTCCATTACTTCCGGGTCGCCGTGGAGCGCAGCCCGAAAATATTCATCCCTAAGCTACTTTAACCTGAGGTATGACTGTATATGACACTCATATCAAAGATCCCTTCTCTTCCGGGGCAGCCTCTGTGGTACTCTATCCCTCTTCTTCTTGTTGTTTTTAAAAAACTGGATAAGTCGGGAATTAAGTCTCAAGACTTTCTGCATGTGAAGTTCTATCATGAAGCCCTGGCCGTTTTCTGACTCTTGCTGAAAAAACCCACGTTGCCAAGATCGAGCCAGGCTCATGTCACTGCTGGTGGTTCTTCTTTTCAGGCGGACTTCCTGCCCCTCTTTATTTTGGAGCTTTGATCGATACAACCTGCTTGAAATGGGGTGTGAAAAGCTGTGGTGAATCGGGGTCTTGCAGAGCGTACAGCACAGAGATGTTCAGGTGAGTCTCAACGGGAGCTGAGCTGAGATTCCCTCTCAATTTTCGTGCAAGCGTTCTCAGCTTTCTCAGGGGGAGAGGAAACTCCTACGGCATTTGTTTGAGACGTGAGGGTTGGTTCATCTTACTAATATGCAAGGCAGTTGAAGTTAGTTTCCCTCCCTGTTTCTAAACCTCTTAAACGGTCTCAATCATATAGCTTGCTTCTCCCAGCCTGTCCCAAGAAAGAAGCTTAAAAAAGAAACAAACACTTTATTCTCATTTATTTATTGGGAAAATATATTAAGATGCTGCCTTTCATACAACTTCACAATGCAGAGAACAAAAATCCTCATTTTATCCTCATAACAACCCTGTGAGGAAGGAGAGGTTGTGAGTGAGCAGTAGGTAAAGGTGACTCAATGAGCTTCATGGCTGGGTGGGAATTTGAACTCTGCTTTCCCTGGTCCTGGTCCAGCACTGTAACCACTACCCCACATTGGCAGCTGCTGGGTAATTGCATATAGAAGAAACCAACTGGTCATTATAGAATCATATTGTAAAGCTGGAAGGGACTCTGATCATCTAGTCCAACTTCCCTGCAATTCAGGTATATACAGCTGTCCAATAAGGGGATTGAACCTGCAACCTTGACATTATGAGCACCACGCTCCAACCAACTGAGCTATCCAGAATGAGTTCCTTTGGCACCTTCCCTGCCCCACTTTCTTCGGGGTAGATTAACCATGAACTGCTTTGAATTCTTTTAATTCTCAAGTATGTCACCCCTCTCCCCAAAGTGCTAAATGGCTTGTTTTGTTCTTCCTTAAGTTTTGTTGCACTCTTTGTGGGTCAAGGCCCTGTAACCACCCGGTTCTCTGGGAGTTAAATAACTACACCAGACGTTTTCAACCTTTTTGAGTCTATGGCTCCCTTGATCAACTACATTCTTTCTGCGGCACCCCTGTGGGGCTCAGGAGCCCAGTTATGTCACCCCTTGTCTGCAGAGCCGGCAGCCCCTCACCCTTTTTCAAACGCCCTAGAGCAGGAGTCAGCAAACTTTTTCATCAGGGGGCCGGTCCACAGTCCCTCAGACCTTGTGGGGGGCCAGACTATATTTTGGGGGGGGGGGAATGAACGAATTCCTATGCCCCACAAATAACCCAGAGATGCGTTTTAAATAAAAGGACACATTCTACTCATGTAAAAACATGCTGATTCCCAGACTGTCCTCAGGCCGGATTTAGAAGGTGATTGGGCCAGATCCAGCCCCCAGGCCTTAGTTTGCTTACCCACGCCCTAGAGTGTTCCCTCAGTCCCCTCTCTTCTCCCCTCTCCTTGGGAGTCCTCTGGGCAGCCGCTGCTGCCACCCCTGGTCTCTGAGCTCCCCCCCCACCCCAAAGAGAGGTGCCTCCTCACACTGCCCCACAAGGGCCTGGGAAGCACCCCTTGGCCAGCCCCAGAGGCACCATTCGCCTAGCGAGCTTGTAGCCAGGGCTGCTGCAACAAACAGCCAAGCAAGCCTTTGGGGGGCAGAGACATAAGAGGGCATCAGAGGAGGGAGGGAAGGAAAGAGGGATAGAGGCCAGCATTGCCCATGGCAGCTCTGACCATCATTCAAGGCACCCCAGGGTGCCACAGCACATTGGTTGAAAACCACCAAACTAGACAGTACACAGGATGTTGGTTTTATGGGATCAAATGAGGCCACAACTTTATTGGTTACAGATGTGTGGGTTTTGGCCATAGGCATTGGGATAAGCCACACAGTTTCTCTAAGGGTGAAGCCAACGAGCAGGAAACACCCAAGACATACGTCAAATTGGGGTGTCCCCCAAGTGATCTCCATTGGAGGAGTGGAATGACCCTAGCCCGGCTAAATGACTTCTTTTGTTCTTCCTTACGTTCTGTTGCACTGAGCTGTTCTGTCTACCCTACTCCTAGGAACGTCTACGTGGGATTCCTTCTTTCGATAAGAGGTGCAACCTGCCTCCTGTACATCATCCTCTGCGTTTTAATTGTGAAGCGATTCAGACGAGGCGGGGAAGAGGCAACGGCAACCCAAAACTGTGAGCTGTCTGCCGCCAAGTTGCCAGTGCCTGAACTGAACAAAGGAGAGACCTCTTGCGTAGAGGCGTCCGTCAACAGTGACACCCGCTTGTGAGAAAGGAAAGCTGGTTTGGACCGTTGCACGAGCGGCTGCTGTTTGGGCGTTCAGGAGCAATCCATAGCATGAGCCGTTCCTCACCCAGGCTAAAGCCCTATCTGGCGATCAGAGCTCGATACATACAGCCCTGCTCAGATCACGGGAAACTGCACCAATCGCTCTCAGGCAAAGGCACCAGTTATTTGTAGCAGATCATTGTGGCAAGAGCACCAATCACCTAGAAGATGGGCAAGAGAGAACTGAATGGTTGGTGCTCTTGCCAATGATCCACCCAAGACTGTGATGCAGCTGCTTGTTTGTGTTTTGTAACGTCAGGAAACCTTAAGTGTGGCACCTCTTTACATGTGAAGTTCCTCATGCAGCAGAGCACTATGGAAGCCGGAAAGGAGGCTGGGAGTTTTAAAATACAGAGGAGAGACTAATATAAAACATTTGCTTAGGAACAAAGGGAGCTCGCTTGTACCATGTGGGACCACTGGTCCATCTAGCCCAGTACTGTCTGCGCAGACTGGCAGCAGCTCTCCAGGGTTTGAAGGCAGGAGATGTTCCCAGCCCTACGTGGAGGTGCCAGGAACTGAACATGGAACATTCCTCATGCCCCGCCACTGAGATACCGCCCTTCCTTCTACAGTCCTCAACAGGGTTGGAGTGTTAACGCCCCCCCCCATCAAACCTAGAGGGAAAGCTATATTTATCTTATTAAGCTAAAGAGCTGGTGGGTAGGATTGCGTGACCCTGTATTTGGGGGGCATTTTCCTCCCCACTCACAAGCGCTCATTGAAAGTCCACAAACCAGTTCCCTGTTATCTCTGAGCAACCTCTGCGTGCGTGGGGTTCTTCTTTTTAACTTTGCCACTGGGGCGAAAACTCCTTGTGCTATCTGTTGCCGTTTATAGCACAGATTATCTGTGCAAATCGGTCTCTTGGCTTGACTATCCAGCCGCAGAAGTTTGATGCTTTTTCTTTCCTTTTCGCTTTTTGGAAGGGAAGCAATTTCCTGCCATATTCAAAGCATTCTCCAGAGATCAGCAGTCATCATTCAGCCTCATTACAGTGATGGGAAAGAGGGCCTCATAAGCCGTATTATAGTGACCCACTGGAAAAGCAGCTGCTTCTGTCAAGAAACACCTCCATTTCCTGACAAATTACCGCCATGTGCTAAAAGCTCTCCAAATAGACCAGCTTCCAAAAACAAGAAGGTCTACCGTACAGATAGAGGCTTTTTACTTCTTGTTATGGGGCCGGGGGTGGGAGTGGGGGGCAGGAAGCCCTCCTCACTTTCGGAAAACAGTGAGCCAGATAATGACAGGAACACGCCCCTGAAGCCACAAAAGAGAACGTCTGTAGCTTTTAACGGAGAGTGGATTTTACTCACATGGTAAATGCTTAGAAATGGGTTTCAAGTATTATCTCACGCAGTTACTTGGTTTGGGGTGGGGTGGGGGTTGGTGTTACAAGCTCCCAGTTCCAGTGTGTTTTTCTTTTTAAATACCATTGCCTCCTTCAAGGCAGTAGGCACCATTCTGTCCTGCAAGGATTACAACATTGGACCCACCTAGTCAATTCCACACACCCCAACCCTACCCAGCTAGATAATGCCAGCCACAAAGGTTTATAGCTGATTCAGTGTTGATCCTCTCTGTGGAGGCTTCATGGTGCATTGCAGGAGTGCTAACTCGCCCTCAGGGTTGTGGGTGCCCACCACCATAATGTGGACATGCGGCGTCACATGCACACACTTGCACATGCCTCTGCCTCCATGTCTGAGCCCCCGCTACTCCCGGGAAAAGGGTGCCTCGCTCACTGGCTGCGGAGGGCACAGCTGAACTGCTTCTCTCTTGGAGACAGCAGTGCTGCCATTGACTTTGTGGGTGCCCGGCCCCCACAATTATATTCATGTGGCTTCTGAAGCACCCATGGCTCCTGGAGTTAGCGCCTATGGTGCAGTGTCCACACAGAGCCAAAATATTTTGAAAACGGGTTATTGTGTGAATACCTTCAAGCACAGGTTTCCACCTCCTTTTGACCCTGTAACTTCTGTACGTGCGTAATCGCCTCCTCAATCGCTGATCTCTCTACCTGACCTGTTTCTGTTTATAATACGCAACCGTGTCACAGTTGACAGCCACTGGCCTAGTTAACGCTAGCGTCAGAGAGAAATGCTGGACAAAATTGCGTCTGATCACTGAATTATATGAGAAGCATGGGGAATGGATTTCCATGTGCATGATTAACAGTTGTTGGAGATAGAAACTGCTGAGATGCTAGACCTAGGTCCAGTGTTTTTTATATAATATTTTGGCAGAGTTGGAAAATCTGTGGACCTTCAAATGTTGTTGGACACACACACACAAAGCTACTACTTAGTTAGCCCAAGTCACCACTACTAAAATGAGCTTCCATCCTTCAAATAGAAGACCTCCTTGGGATAACTCAGTCGGTAGAACATGAGACTTTTAATCTCAGGGTCATGCGTTCGAGTCCTGATCTGGGGCGAAAGATTCCTGTGTTGCAGGAGTTCGGACTAGATGACTCTAGTGGTCCCTTCCAGCTCTACAACTCTATGATTCTGTGAAATAGAAGACTTCTGGGGCATGACTGCGTCCTTTTTCAAGGCTATGCAGAACTGCCTTATATGGAGTCACACCAATGGTTCTTCTAGCACAGATAGCAGGGGTGATAAAGACCACCTGAGTGAGATCCTTATAGCTAAAGGGAACAGGAGTTCAGCCTGGGACCTTGCGTATGCAAAACACATGACCTACTCCTGGGCTTTGTCCCCTCCCTCAAGGAGAGACAGGAGGTTGCTAGAGTAATGAGCAGGCTTCCCTTGACTCATCCCACCCAGAATCAAAGCTAAGGACCTGACTATGCATCAGAGAGGACATAGGGATGTTGCCCAAAATGGCAGCCCTCAATTGGAATTTCCACCACAATGGGTATCAGTACTTTTCCATGTTCTGACTTCTTCACTTTCACCATTTTGCTGTCCCCACGTCACATCATGAAAATCGAGCTGTTATGTGTTCAGTAAACAGGAGTGGGGAGCAGGATTGCATCCACTGGCATAAGAACACAAGAAGAGCTTGCTGGATCCGGCCGATGGCCCATCTAGTCCAGCATCCTGTTCTCTCGGTGGCCAAACAGATGCCTGTGAGAATCCCGCAAGCACAAGAGCACTCTTCCCCTTCTGTGAAGCCTCCTTTGTCTTGCTCCTGCTAAGCAGATGCACTTTATTAAAGAGCAAAATATGCGCATGAATAAAACCCTTTTGGACAATATGGGGAATGTTGTTTGCATGGGTTTGTTCTAGTTTATGCCAAAGAAGAATGCATCTTGAGCATGCCTTTGCACCGAGAACAGAGTAAGCTGAAAGATGATGTAAAGAAGACCAAGAAAGCCTATCATCAGGATGTTCTTGAGTTGCTTCACCAGAGAACCAAAACATGGGAGGTTTTTAGTAGGAGGCAGAAATCCTACTCTCTCTGCTGCCTGAGTGGCCTCAGGAAGGGTGTAAGTGCCACCTCCTCACTGCTGAACTCTGATTTCTCCAAAGTTGTCTTCCCATCTCAAAGAGGCTTTCGGCCCTTATCCATCAAAGGTGCAATCTTTTCAGAATTTCAGTCCTTGCAGTGTTTGGAATTTGGCTTCCCATTGTGTGGTGGCCGAATGTGAGTGTGTGTGTTTCTTTCCATTGAACTTTCTGTCCGGTGCTCTGAGGCCTCCCCAACTGCTCAAGCTTCCTGAGTTAAGAGCCCCATGGGAGGAATTACCTCATCATGACATTCTTTCCTGAGCTTTCATCAAAGCATGGGCACCTAGGAAGGCTGCAGAGTGCAGAGGACAAGAAAGAGGCTTTGTAGAATGAAAGGACACCCACAAACACCTCCCAGCCACCGAAAAAGGCAGCAAGGTGAAACAAAAAGCTTGCATGCCACCCATGAGACTTACACTGAAATTTTCTCCTCCCTTTGATAATTTCCTAATGCATTTTTTTCTTGTTTAATTGATGGGGAACGGTTAGGGAATAAAATTCTGTGATTTTTACACTTAATCGTAGCTGAAAAGCTATTGAAAAGCAGTGATTTTGCACTCTAGGAGAAGTCTAGAAAGCCATAAAACTAGACTAGATAAATGAAGGTGGGAGATGTGGCGGGCCAGAAATATGTTGTTTTTTAATAGCTTATGCTTTTCTCGTGCCATATTGCAGCACGCATGGTTATCAAAAAAATGAGTGTCTCGTCAGATGAATGTGTCCTAGCCTAGACATTGCAAATAGTGTTCCTTTGGCCTTAGCCAGAATCCAACATGGCGGCAGCAACTTAGCTGTGACCCACCTGGTGAGGCCTCACAGCCCACCTGTGGCTCCTGAACCAGCAGCTGAAGACCTAGGCCATTGAGGGCATTCCAAGAAATATGATTCAACCATTTTATACTGATATTGAACCTCATAATCTGATGTTTTAAAGATGGGTGCGTTTGATTCTGCCTACTTAATTTTTACTATATATGTTGTTCATTTAATATTTTCCTCACACAGTGCTTGGCAAACATTCATTGGGAGGCAGTTTATAAACGCTTGAATAAATAAGAGGAATAGCGCAGGAGGAGATGCCTCCTTAAATCTGCTGGACTGTGCTGGTAACGGTAAGATTGTGGAGTGAGATTTATTAGCCTGGAATCCATCCAGGACAAAACACAACTATTGGAACCAACAGTCATATTTATCTAGGGAATGTTGCAAGAAGGAACATGCAATCATTCAATAAGGAACAGGAGATCATGTTCCCGACTCAACGTACCCAACTCCTCTGCCTACTGCCTAACTGTCTTGACCTCCTCCCACCTTTCCCCATGTCTTTTTGAGGGCCTCTTCTAATTCTCCTTCTCAGCAGACCCCCCCTCATCCCTTCCCTCTGACCCTGTTCCCCCTCTCAGGGGCGGACTTTGGTATAATGGCACCCTGAGTGAGGGCAAAATTTGGCACGCACACACAATATTTCTTATTTTCACAATAATATATTTTGGTACAGTTGCTTTTTAAATGGTCTAGTAGTACCTCAGCAGGTACTACTTTTGATGTTGTTGTTTAGTCATTTTGTCGTGTCTGACTCTTTGTAACCCCATGAACCAGAACACGGCAGGCACTCATGTCTTCCACTGCCTCCCAGTTTGGTCAAACTCATGTTAGTAGCTTCAAGAACACCGTCAACCATCTCGTCCTCCTCCTTGTGCCCTCAATTTTTCCCAGCAACAGGCTACTGAGGAAGAACGGAGGACAAGTACAGGTACTACTACTACTACTAATAATAATAATATTTTGGGGCCCCTTGGCTTGACTCCCTGTAAGGAAACCACTTGCACTGCCCTGAATCCAGCACTTTTCCTTTCCATCTCCTCTTCCTATAGTCCCTTTCCTTCTATCATTCATTAATTCCTTCTTTTACAGATGCCTTAAGAGTTGTTGTTTTTGCGGGGTGGGGGGTGGTATCAGACAGTTGGAACAGAAATGTTAAAAAATAAACAAGGGTTGAGTTCCAAAAGGTGTCTTGAGCGATTGGAAAAGGACTTCTGCACTGCTCACACAATGCAGACCCTTGGAGGGCTTTAAAAGAGGATGAGGCCAAATAGAGAATTCACCACAAGCATCTCCAAGTAGACATAGGGGAGATTCCTGGTCCGAAAACATGGAAAGCCGCTGCTAGTATGATTCAAAAATTGCACTTCTCTGAGTTTTGTTGTGCAGTTCTCCATCCGAGTTTTAGGGGAAATTGCTTTGCAAATATGTATTATGAAAAATTGGGATTAGGAGAAATTCGCTCAAAAATACTAATGGGTTTACATGAAAACTTTTTTTAAAAAAATCACCAGCTGACATGGAAATGAACTGAAATTAATGTTGAAAAAAATGAGGAAGTAAGAGCAACTGAAATTGACAGATCCACCCCTCCCTGTAAGACCCCAGAATGCCCCACAGAAAACACTGTAGTGCAAATGAAACGTCCTGTAAAATTACTTCTGAATGTTGTTTTTTTTTAAATGCAACATTGTACGATGTGCACACAGTAGGCTGAATGGAATGTATCCCTCTCATTAGTAACTTGGAAGAATGAAAGAGCCTGGAATTTCCTCTTGCACAAGAGATGCCGGCAGGAGAGCTTGAACCGAGGGGCAAGGAACAGCCTTAGAGAACATTTATTCATTGGTTCAGTTTCTAGCCAACCTTTGTTCAGTAGCAACCCAAAGAAGTTACGAATCCAAAACCAGAAACTGGAGCAGGATACAAAGGGTGTGAGACCAAAGACAGTTGTATTGGTTATCTACCACTTTACCAGACACAGCTCCCCTCCTCACATTGTGATGTATTGCAGTTCTTAGAAAGGCTTAGAATGGCCAGCTGCAAATTGAAAACTTCCTTTGCAACACTATGACCATTCCCAGGATTCCTGTGGAATGACAATGACCCAGTAGCGTAGCATGGGTTGCCAGTGCCCGGGGCCACATGGAAGTGGGGACGAAGGGAAACAAACAGAGTACACATGTGCATTCAACTGCCTAGCAGTGTCTGCATCATCCAGGAGACTGCAGCAACAGAGATAAGAAAAGAAGAGTCGTTCCATTGTCTGAAGAGGTCACTTCCTGGTTCCTATGGAGAAGCCGTTTTCAACAGAGCCCAGCAACGGAAACACACAGCTATATTGAGGCAGTACTAGATGTTTAGATTTTGCACCGCCTAACAATTTTATGCCCTGGACAACCACCCCTGCAACCCCTCCCATGCTACGCCACTTGGTGGACCCAGGCTCTCTTCAGACTTTGTGTGAGTGCTGTTAGTAGCACATACATCCCAAAGAAAAGTGAATTGGCATGTGTAAAAATATAACCTCCCCAGTGCTATTTTGGAGCAACCATCAGAAGACTTTTTGAATTCTAACTTGACAGTCTGATGGCTTGTTTCTGAAGCTATCCTGGTGCTCTGATAGACGGAGCTCATTTCAAATCGGGATCAAGGTCTATAAGGAGGTAAAGCTGCTTGCCGAGAGTGTGACTTCTGTCTCTAGTCTGCAGAGAGGTATTTTTCTTTGTTTAATGTTATTGTGGATGTTTCCTGCAGAGGATCCTAGTGGCTCATTAGTGCTAGTGCAGAAGACAGAAATGCCAGGATGTCAACTTTATCATCGGATGGAAGTTACTCATCAAAATAGATAAGCCTCCTCACATAAGAGCATTAGGCTACAAATTTAATTGACAAGCCCAGGTGAAGCAGTCCAGATTCCACTGAAGGAGTTGCCTGACACATGTGACTAAATTAGAACAGGCATGTGGGGAACCTTTGACCTTCCAGATGCTGTTGAACTACAGCTCCCATCATGCCTGGTCATTTGCCAGGCTTGCTAGGGCTGGTGGGAGATGCTGTTCAGCAATATCTGGAGGGCCAAAGATTCCCCACACACATGATCCATCCTTCCAAGGTGTCCTAAGAGAACTCAAAAAGATAACCTTACCATGGGGGAGTGGGAAACATTTCCCAAGGTTTTGTTGCTTTCTTTCATTGCAAATTGTAGGTGGGTGTCTTCCTAGCACGTAGATGGAAAGAATCTACTTTGGGACGTTTAAAAATCAGTTCACACTTTGCATTTTTAGCGATACACCAAATATATAATTCCAAATGTCTGCCAAGACCGATGTATGAGAACAACATGCATGCATTTGCCAACTAGTTTTATTATAGAGGTAGACTCATAAGGGAGACCCAAATGGCTGCAGATCCCTATCCAAAGTGCATCGGTAATCAACCTGGATTTGCTGCATTTCATGTGTGAACTCAGCTCAGATGTACTGGTTAGTAATACAGGGGTGTACATGGGCTCTGCAGAGGGCCAAAATGAGGCAAGTCAGGGTGATTTAGAGTTATTACCACCCTTCTAAGTAGAAGCTCGGTGTGACGTTAACATATGAGAGTGCTGGAGTTGAAATAGTTAAACAGGTTACCCAATCAGAACCCAGGGGGTGGAGTCAGAGGGACTATAAAGCCAGCTCTGGGAGGGGCAAAGGGGGGAGTTTGTTGGGAGTTGGGTGGGTGGTTGGTTGGAGTGGGAGTGAATTGGGACAGAGTCTGTGGGTAGGTTGAGTGAGTGTAGAGAAAGAAGCTGAGTCAGGAACAGTTAGGAGCTAGGAAGACAATATCTGAGAGGTGGTTTAGTGAGAGAGAGCAGGTAGCAGAAGTTATAGGTCCGGATAGGCACCCTATGATTGTAATTGACTGATACCCTTTATGAAACCACACGCTTGTTAAACTGCAATAAATAAACAGAAGTTTATGTTCCAATTTAAACCTGACTGGACTCAGTATTGTACCAGGTAGGGCCTGGGTGGTGGCGAGAAATCAAGTGGTGGCACAGGGATCAATAGACGGTGAAATGTCCAGGGACCCTGTGTGATCGCCACACTCGATGCTCAAAAAGCATCATTTTGATCTGTTGCTTCCATCCTTTACTGTTCCTTATAGCTCTCTATATAGCTGTTCCCCCCCATACGCCCTGCTTTGTGGGCTTTGCATAGGGCTCCCCCACCCCCAGCTGGAATTCAGTTCCGGCACCACTCAGGTGGGCACCATTGCCATTATAAGAGAACAAAGGAGGCGTTCATGGTGAGTTCTGGAACCTCTTTTTCTGGGAAAATAGCACTGGATATCTGGATAGCCATTGCGACAACAGAATGCTAAACAGGACATTGGTTTTATCCAGCAGGGACAGTCTTATGCACACAGATGCTCTCTCTCTCTCTCTCTCTCTCTCTCTCTCTCTCTCTCATACACACACACACACACACACACACACACACACAAGCTCCTCTCCAAATTTTAGTTGGCGGGATTCCCCCCACCCCCAATCTCATGTTATTATCAAACATAGAAAGTAATGACAACAAATGCTATTAAATAATGCACTGCTGTGTTGGACGGTTTAATCTTTCATATAGTCAAGATGCCCCCCCCTCCAATGGTCTGTGCATGATTGCCTAAGTACAGTGCGATGGTTCATTTGCGCTAGATGCAGGTGTCCATTTCTGCATCTGAAAGGCCTGCCGTATGTTCGGCGCCATTAAGCTTTGTTTCCCCATTCAGAGCATCTTCTTTCCTCCTGGTTTCGGGGGAATCATCCTGTTTTGCTCCAAAATGTTTCTTCACGAACAAGAAGAAGACTATGCCCAGCAGATACGATGGAGCTCTTAAGACAAATGTTAGACCGAAGAAATAATGTCTGCATAAGAGAAGAACCCACAGAGGAATTGTGTTTATATTTGACTTTTTCATTCCTGCTTTTTCTATCTATCTATATATCACAAACACACAAAAAATCCTAAGAGCGGCTTACGGTGTAAGTTGCAACACAACATCATCATAATAATTTGAAATTGTAGTGTGATAATGTGCAAAATATTTAGCAGAAAGCAAAACAGATAGTAGCAGCCACAAGGTTCAATTGCTAAACAAAACAAAAGATCACTGGAATCAATTAGTCTTGATTAGGGGGTGAACCCAGTGCTCCTCCAAATATTACGGCCTCATTAAAGCAGCAAAGTGGGGGAAACTTTGCTAATTTTGAGAAAATGCATTTGTCAGATTCATCTGCCAAGCCCACTATTCAAATCAGCCTATCCACGGCAGTCGGGGGTGGGGGTGGGGTGCAGCTTGGGGAGCAGACCTGAGGGACGGAGCCTTCCCTCAGGTCCACTCCCCAGGCATAAATAAGCTTGCTGAGGCAGCCCTTGGCAGCGCAGTCGGACAGGAGCATAGAGCCGGAAGCGGGTGGCTAAAGGGCCATAGAGCTTCCTCAACTCTTAGGGTCGGGCCATCCGTGTAAACCTGTGTTTTGCCACGACCGCTTCTCTTCCCCCTCCCCCCCGCCCCAAGCAGACCCTGTCATACTCCATACCCCCACTAGGAGGCTGAGAGGGCTACACGTCCAATACCTATGCCTACCTACCTCTTTCTGCCAACCTAGCAGTTCGAAAGCACGTCAAACTGCAAGTAGATAAATAGGTACCGCTCCGGCAGGAAGATAAATGGCATTTCCGTGCACTGCTCTGGTTCGCCAGAAGCGGCTTAGTCATGCTGGCCACATGACCCAGAAGCTGTACGCCGGCTCCCTTGGCCAATAAAGCGAGATGAGTGCTGCAACCCCAGAGTCGGCCATGACTGGACCTAATGGTCAGGGGTCCCTTTACCTTTACCTTACCTATTTCTTTAACCAATAAAGTTGTGGCCTTTTAATCCCAGACAGTTGTGGTGCCCCTTTATTCATATACCCTAGTTGGGCACGCTCAGTGGGGATGGGGACTCTGCGGCTGGGCACACAACTGGTCCAGAAACTACGGCCAGTACAGAATGCAGTGACTAAACTGCTGCTGTGGCCAAACAGTGTGTGTCATCTTTCCTAAGACATCTACCCTGGCTGTCCATATGCTACTAGGTCAGGTTAAGCGATTCCTCCTCCAACACCAGAGGGGGAGATAAGAACATAGAAAGCTGTCTTATAATGAGACAGACCGTTGATTACACTGCCTGGCAGTGACTCTCCAGGATTTCAGACAGGCGTCTCTCCTAGTCCTGCCCAGGGGTGCCCAGAATTGAACCTGAGTCCTTCTGCATGAGACCTTTCAATTCTACGATTCTATGGTTGCACCCCAAAGCTCTAGTCCATTAATCAACGTAATTTAGCCAACTATAACTTGAAGCCCTGTTGTTCTCTTAACAAATTGCCCAAGAGAGATGGATCCTGGCGCCAGGCATTAAAATTAATTGACAGAGAGATGGCTAGCCTCAGAGGACTCCACCTGGATGGCTGCCAGGCAGGAAGTCATCTAGATTGAGCCCAGCCATTGCATTAAGTTAATGAGGCAGCTGCCCTTGAGATGACAGAGAAGCTGTGGGATTCCAATGGAGCTCACCTGTATACTGTCGCATCATAAAGCATGCAAGCTCCTCGCTTGCCACAGCTGCTGCTTGCCCACTTCAAGCAAGCCCTGTCTATCACTGCTCCAAAATAAACAGGGGCTGGAATTCCAGCTGAAAAACATCAAGCGCTAAATATAGGTTGTCATCTAAAGCACATTTTTAGACAATATTCTTGGGTAGGGTGATAGTAGAGACAGGGTGTTTGTATGTGTGTAAGTCTTAGAAGCCCAGTAACCCAAAATACTGAGCAGGTCATTGCAATAATGCATGGCCTGCCTTGCTCAGGTCATTTTCTTTCCAGCAGTGGTCAACTAGTTGCCTTTAGCAGGGAATTGATGGTCCTTATCGGCTTATACATCCACAGTTCTGAGACAGACACGCCCCTCCCAACCCCCTACCACCACCTCTGAGCATGCAGGTTTCATAAGCCACTTGGGGGATTGCTCAACCGAATCATCTTAACAGATAACTGACAGCAAACATTCTTCAGGTATGGAGCAAAACTGGCAACAGCCACAAACAAAGGGAGTGATCTCAGTTAGATAGGGGAAACCCCAACATTTGCAAAAGTACAGAAGTTCGGGGGGGGGACCAAAATCAGCCTGATGAGGAGCAATCTCAGTGGCATGCACAGACTGTGCACACATACCTCCCTCTCCCACCCTTCCCTCACCCCCCCCATACATCTCTTTCACAGAGAGACCAATCCAAATCTTCTTTACATTGGACTGGGTCCTTCTGCCCAACCCAGCTGGCCTACATCAGAGTAATGTCAGTGTCGCTCCAACAGAAGCCTGCCCCACATACTTCTTGCTTACTTGCCTGTGTGAGTGTGAGTGTGTGAAGAACTGGGGCGGGGGGGGGGGTGTCCAGTGATATTCAAAAATGACCAGAATGGTGATGTTTCTTACCCAAAGCTCTCAAAACAAGCATATAGAGTCCAACTGCAAGTGACTTCAGTTCTGGATCTACGCACCTAAATGATGAAAGAAATCAGCATTAGTGGAAAATATGCTTCTATACATTCCTGCAAGTCTCTATAAATTATCTGTCATGTTACTAACACAGTGAGCAATCCATTGCTAGTGCTTTGGCTGTGTTATCATCTATTATTATTTGCTTTCCGCATAAGCGTCTCAATGTGATGCTCAGTAAACCAACAGCGGATTCTTCCCTTCCTAGCATTTAAGCAGCAATTGTGGGGGGAAGCTCATTGGAGGAGAGCACAATTTGCATTCTGATGGTCCCAGATTCAATTGTGAGCCTCTCCAGTGTAACGCAAGGGTCAGCAAGACCTCCAATCAGCGTGGATAATCAGTGTGGATAATAGCCTGACTCAGAATAAGAGAGCTTCTGATGTTCCCTCCAATCTAATCGACGTAGTCACTGCAGAGCATGATGGGATGTTGGAAAAGTGTGACAAAAGTGAGCCTGGTGCAAAAGGTGAGTTCAGGAGTGTGCCTGATTCAGCAAACTTTATGACCATGGAGGAAGGGTAGCTATGTGAACTCAAGCCTTGCCTCCAGTGAATTTAGACAGCTCTGAAAGGCTGGGATTTGGGGTAAAAAAAGAGGAATTGCAGTGTATTATTGGTACGACTCCCTCTAATACTGAACTCGGCTTATGAGTGCCAATAGAAATGGTGTCCTGATGGAAGACTGGGCCACTGTGAAAGAAGAGGGGGGAATCTCAGGATTTGCAAAAGTACAATTTACCACCCTGGCTTCCTTTGGGAGGCAGGGCAGGATAGAAACTGAGTAATTAAACAAATAGGTTATTTTCTCTTTTTTAAAGTACCATATTTTTCGCTCCATAAGACACACTTTTTTCTTCCTAAAAAGTAAGGGGAAATGTCTGTGCATTTTATGGAGCGAATGCGTGGTCCATGGAGCCGAATTGCCCTGGGGCAAAAAGCAGATCATGCTTTTTTAAAAAAAGAGGGAAGTGGGTGTTGAAACAAAGCCGCTGATCGGCAAGTGATCGGGAGGGAGATAAGGGACGCTAGCAATAAAGGAGGCTGCCTGAGAGGGGGGAGGTAAAGACAGCGAACTTGCAAGGAGAGGAGACAGGAAGACTAAAGCAATGAGGAAAGAAATTAGAAGAAAAGGAGGAGCAAAAAACTGCTCCAGCTAAGGAAAAGACACAAAGGCAAACAAGAGGGAAGGGGATGTTGAAAGGAAGCAGCTGATCGGTAAGTAATCGGGAGGGAGATAAGGGACAATAGAGATGAAGGAGGCTGCCTAGGAGCAGGGAGGTAAAAGCCCATGGATCATCAGGATTTTTACACTGGGTCATCCCAAATTCAACATCAGATCACATAGCATGTCCATGGCTACAGCCTGCACCAAAAAAATTATGCATCCACTGTTGCGTGGGGTCGCAATGGCGCAAAAATGTGGTTACAAAGCACAGATCCACATGGATCCTCAGGATTTTTGCATTGGGTCACCCCAAATTCACTGTCAAATCACAGGTCTGTGGCAACAGCATGAAGCACAAAAATCATACATTCACTGTTTCATTCAGAATATATTTTTTCTTGTTTTCCTCCTCTAAAAACTAGGTGCGTCTTATGGTCAGGTGCGTCGTATGGAGCGAAAACTACAGTAGGCAACAATTGAGAAATTAGCATGCTCAGTTGCCACAGTATACTAAGGGTCTCTTCCCGGGGGTTTGGAAATCTGCAGCAGAGGGCAATGGAATTATGGTATTTGTTTTCAGGGAACTTTTAATATGAAACAAGGAAAGAAGCGGATATTACCTGTATGGCCTTTCTTGTGGCAGGCACAACTTGTTACTTACCGAATCATGATCATGTAAAAAGGAGTCCCTCCCAGCGCATAGAAAAAGGAAGCCACTGTTTTGATCACTGCATAATAAATAAAATTTCTTGAGCAACTGTCAGTCCTTGGACATTCTCCCAAAACTGCCGAGGAATTCCTCAGCCCAGAATCCCCTTTTTCAATGCAGCTACAATTCTGAAAAACCTGAAAAGAAGGTTAAAAGTTTTTTTGCATAAGGTAAATAAATGAATAGAAGCGAAATCCTGGACTCCATATGCCTATCTATTCTGCCTTTGCCCACCTTTCTTGAAAGAAAAAGAAGTAGGGGACACCAGAAATTCCTTTCATTTCTCTGCCCCCAATCCCCTTTCAAGGTAAAAGGCAGCACTGCCTCCGCCGAGACCATATAACACCAGTCCTGAAAGACCTACATTGGCTCCCAGAACATTTCCAAGCACAATTCAAAGTGTTGGTGCTGACCTTTAAAGCCCTAAACGGCCTCGGCCCAGTATACCTGAAGGAGCATCTTCACCCCCATCCTTCTGCCCGGACACTGAGGTCCAGCGCCGAGGGCCTTCTAGTGGTTCCCTCCCTGCGAGAAGTGAGGTTACAGGGAACCAGGCAGAGGGCCTTCTCAGTAGTGGCACCCACCCTGTGGAACGCCCTCCCATCAGATGTCAAGGAAATAAACAACTATCTGACTTTTAAAAGACATCTGAAGGCCGCCCTGTTTAGGGAAGTTTTTAATGTTTGATGTTTTATCGTGTTTTTAATATTCTGTTGGGAGCCACCCAGAGTGGCTGGGGAAACCCAGCCCAAATGGGTGGGGTATAAATATATTACTACTACTACTACTACTACTACTGTTATTATTTTCACGAAAACAAAGCTCTTACTGTGTCTTTCCTGGATCCTGTCACAGCTTTGCATCCAGCGAAACAGGGCGACACATATGTCATCCCATCTTCTCCACAGACCGGATCCCACTGGTTTGTGGCACAGTTGCAATTCAGGTTACAGGCTGAAGATAAAGGAGTTGCACCCTGTGCAACCGCTTGCCTTGTGGAATAAGCAGGGAGGTTTTCTTTTAGTTCATCCTAAGGCACATCTAGCACAGGGGTAACCAACAGGGTGCCCTCCAGATGCTGGAAGAGTGACTAAATACTCAACTTCTAGTGATTTTGGTCAGAGAAGTGAGACAGTAGTAAATTACACCAAGCAAGTTGGTGTTAACTCTTTATTAGCAAAAACAGATCTGCACAGGAGTGGCAGGCCTAATGAGCGCGGCAGCTCATCTCCAGCAGATATTGGCCCTATGAAGCAGTTGTAGAGACTGAAGGTCCACCTCCCCACAGCTGCCTAAGTCCCCTGCTCTCCAGGGATTCCCCCCAAGCAATCTGAGACTACACCTATGAGAAGTCAACTTCTTCTTGGCCCTTTTCATGCCTCTCTTGGTTCTGGGAGATAAGTGGGGAGGGCAGCTTGTCACAGCAGGAGTGGGAGACACCCGTGCCTCTTCACCAGCTGGACTCATCTCTGCCTCTTGGCTTCCCTCCTCTCCTGCTTTAGCTCCTGCCTCTGATTTGGAATTTTCTCTGCCACTGACTCTCTCAGCTCACTAAGCCCTGTTGCCTCTTTAGCTTTCAGCACCTCCTTTCCCCAGTCCTCTCCCTCTGATCGTTCTTCATTGTCCCACCATCAATCACTTGGCTCTGAACCTTCTTCCCTCAGGGGTTCCTCCCACCATTTTTCTGTGTCCCTCCAGTCCATGACGCACAGGGAACAGCAAACAGCTCTCCTCCAGAGGATCTCACGGATCCTTAAGGTACCCTGGACCCACCCAGGTTGTGCAGAAATTTGTCTCTGAACATGAGAACGTTGAACCTGGCCTGGTAGCAGAGCTGGCATTACCCTTAGGCACACTGAGGTGAATGTCTTAGGAAGTGAGATTCCATTGGGATCCAGAGGTGGCAAACCCCACTGCTGTGTCTGCCCTGCCACCAAGCCCACCTGGTGCCTCTGCTGCCAGAAAAGCGAGGAGAGGACCAGGACCTCGGCTTCAGCAGGGGGAAGGAGGAGGTGGAACCAGCAACTCCCCATTTTGCCTCAGGTGGCAAAATGTGTTGGGCCACCCCTGTCCAGTTGTCAATTTGCATTTCTAGGTACAGAAAGTATTGATCTGATGTGTAGAGATCTTTCCTATTCTAATTAATTCAAGAGGGTTCTGGAAGCTTCTCTGCGTAAAAGAAACAAGCAGAAGGTTCATGATGTTTGGGTTATTCCTTCAGAGAAGCTGAGCACAGCTGGCTTAAACTGCTTTTGTTATCTCTTCAGTCAAGGTCATGCTGACTATAAAAGTAAGGCCAAAAGGAGCCTGCGTTTTCACTTTCTCTTTCTGTCTCTTTTCCTTCTGGTGTGGTGTTCTGTACACAGTATGCTTAATGTTATGGTTTAGTCTTATTATAACTTATTGTAAATTTAAGTTAAGTCTGCTGCAACTGGATTTCTTATGGACAGTGCCAATCCTGAATGTATTGGATTCGTGACCGTTATGCTCATTTGCCTTCAGTAGCAGTAAAGCTCTTCTGAATGAAATATTAACTGCCTCTGGTCTATTTTTGGGAATCCCACATGGGGGAACCAGTGGAGATGTTTTAGCAGAGGTGCCACACGTAGTCTGCTCCCACCAGCAGTCTAGCTGTTTCATTTCCCACCAGCTGGAGCTTCCAGGCCAGGCCTGAGGGCAGCTCCACACACAGCACATTGCAGAAGTCCCATTTCAAGGTTACCAAATGCTACAATGGCCACGTTGGCCAGATATGATCATAGATGGCGTACCACAGGAAGCTGGTAAAAGACACTCCTAGCTGCCAAGGTCATGTGGGCCTCCAATGGCAAAGACGGATCCAGGAATAAAGTGGTACCTCAGGTTAAGTACTTAATTTATTCTGGAGGTCTGTTCCTAACCTGAAACTGTTCTTAACCTGAAGCACCACTTTAGCTAATGGGGCCTCCTGCTGCTACCGCGCTGCCAGAGCTCGATTTCTGTTCTCATCCTGAAGCAAAGTTCTTAACCTGAAGCACAATTTCTGGGTTAGTGGAGCCTGTAACCTGAAGGGTCTGTAACCCGAGGTACCAATGTACCTCCAAAGCTACGTACCAATCTTTGCAACACACACACACACACACACACTGCATCTGTATCACATACCCATCATAAGATACTGTCAATCCAGCCACTGTGCGGTTCTCACAGCCCACTATTAAGTAGAATAGCGAAATGACAAATGCTAGAAATGACAGGACATATGCCATTTTGGTTGCGGCGACTATGCCAATTTTGTATTTTTTCATGATGAAGCCTCCTAGGAATATACCAAGGCAGACTGCTGGTATGGCTGTGACGGCTGGAATAAAAGACAAAGAAGGAAATAAGGATCATGTCCTGTCCCCCCCACATTGCAAATGACTTAACAGGGACAGCAAACGGGTGGGGAGACTGAAAGGATACCCTGGAAATGTTAAAAGGGGGAAAGGACCAACATTAAGAATACAGTATTGCTCCTCCTCTTTGTGGGAAATGGATTGCAGATTAAATCTGTAGATTTAGATCTTAACCTCCTATTAGACACATGTGGGAGAAATACAAAAGTAATCTGATCAGATGAATCGGGAACAACAGAGAGTTGTGAAAAGGGGCTGGACTGCCTTCTTCCTACTTCTTCAGGTGGGCCATGAGGATTAGGCAGTGTTCCAGAAGCAGCCTGGGGTACAAAGACTGCGTGTTTCTTGGAGATCATGCATACTGACTGGATAATCTGCAAATTGCCTGGAGAATGTACAAAACACATGTGAAATATGCACATTCCCCAATACCGATTGGCAATTATTGCTGCTGCTGCTGTTGTTGTTATTAATGAAATTTCATCCGAATACTTCATCCAAAGGTCAGTGGGTGGTTGACAACATAAAATACAAAATGAGAACACAAAATGCATAATAAAAAGAAGAACCAAAACAAACCAATCACCTCCTCCCACAAATCAAGGCATATCGGCTAGAGAATGTACAAAGATCACTCAAGATATGCACAGTGCCCAAAGCCTGTTGGAGGTTATGTATATTGACTGGGAAATGTACACAGCACCCTCTTCTAGGAAGGGTTATGTGCACATTCATCATGAGGCCTGGTGAATGTGCACAATGGCCAGTTACTATGCACATTTACTGCTCAAGTCCCTTTCATTAATACACACACACAGGACTCACCTGTTACAAAGTTGGACCTGGATGCTGGCTGACCGTACTGCTGCTCTATGTATTTCGGGCTGTATGTTAAATAACCAATAAAGCTGCTGAACTGCAGCAACGATGAGCACAATAACATAAAGAACATTCGGTTGCCCAGTGTTCTCTTCAGGGACGTAAAGAACTCTGAAAGAGAGAGAGATGTGGTGCTTAGTGCAGGCCAGACCTGCACATTTTATGAATGATCTGCACATCATTTTATAAAACATCAAATTCAAAGAAATGAAAACATTTGGACCCATGAGAGTCACTAGCCAGTCATGAACTGATATCCTAGTTTATTTGCTGCTGTTAATTGTATCTCTGAGCTGCGGCAGCAATAAGTGGCAAAACTGCAGCTCACTAGCATTTTTTTCATTTTTTCTGGTTTTGCTTTTATTTGGTTTGTTTTTAATTGCATTGTATTATGGAAAAAAAACCTGAATAAAAATTTATGCAAATAATAATAATAATAATAATTTCCCCTCTCATTTCTATTTCTCTCTAACATCCCTGCCTACCACTGCCCAACGGCCTTCCTTTGTTGCAGTGCTTCCCCTTCTCCATTCAACTGACCATCCAGAGCCTGACACGACTGAAAAGGTCAGGGGTCAGTAGACTTTTTCTGCAGGAGGCCCAGTCCACTGTCCCTCAGACCTTGTGGGGGGTCAGACTATATTTTTTTGGGGGGGGGAATCCCCCCACGACTCTCCCCTCCCTTCTCCACAGCACCGGACGAGCCCCGGTGGCTGCTTACCTGTGCCTTGCGAGCGGCAGGGGCTGGCGGCGGGACAATGAGCAGCGCGAAAGGGCTGGCTCCAGAGAGGGGCTGCTTAAAATGGCACTCAACAAAGCCCAACCCCCTTCCCCCTCTAGGCAGGGCAGGGAGAAGCCAGGAGGAGGGAGGGAGGAGGCGCCGCCATGGTGTGTGTGAGGGAGGGGGGGAAATGGCACGGCCCAAATGATCAGAATCCCCACGCTGATCTACACGGTGATTCCTGGACCATCCGTGGGCCAGATCCAGAAGGCAAATGGGCCGGATCCGGCCTCTGGGCCTTAGTTTGCCGACCCATGGAATAGGTCCTGGGCCGCCAGGGCAGATCTTCCACCTTTCAGTTTTGAGAAGCGAGCTCCTCGTTGACTTTCAGGCTTCTGTATATGGCTTTCATCAGCATGACTTTCCAGTTTTTTCTTTTCAGGATCGCTCGTTCCTTCTTTGTCCAGGCTTTTAGGCAGGAAGCAGAAAGGGATGCCGGAAATCAGATTGAAGACGCCAGCGATCAAAAAGCCCAGCCACCATGCGCCAACCCAGCGGGAATCAGTCGGAGTTATCGTTACCGTATCTAGAGTAAGAGACAGGTCAAAGTCCATCTGTTCTTCAACTATCCATGGTAAGAAACGAAAAGGGAGAAAGCGCTTTCCCCAAAAAACCCAGAGTCTTTTCTGTTGGGGATAATTCAGACTGAAATTCCCAGGTGTCAAAAAAGGTTATTAATGTATGCCACTACTGCGGCCCGTGTTTTGCTAGCCCAAAAATGGAAAACGAGCAAGGTCCCAGCCAAAGAAGAATGGTGACTTAAGTTGACAGAATATGTGCAGCTTGCAGACTTAACATATAGAATGAGAGAACAAGAAGAACATATTTTTAGAGATGATTGGGGAACGTTTATTGAATATATGGGAAATAACTGTGTACAAATGCTGGCACCAGTGCCAGATTTACGTATAAGTTAAACAAGCTATAGCTTAGGGCCCCACTCGCTTGGGCCCCCCCCAAAAAAATTAAAAGAAAAAAACTGGATGTACATCTCCAAAATATAAGAAAAAAAACAAATAAAATAAAACCTACATACAGCAACAGTGTTTTGTGTTGTGTAGTTTCCTATGATATAAGTAATGGCCCCCGCTGCTAGCCTGCTCCCTAAAATATCACATATTTTGTTATGTGCAAATGGCTTTAGATACCTATTAGGTCCATAAATTACCATATAGCATATATTCAACACAAAAAACAACGACAATTTGTTGTTGACAAAGGACAGCTGGACATTTAAAGGGCCCCTTCAGTAGCTTAGGGCCTCATCAGACCTCTCTCTACTCATAAACTCTTATCTTTAATTCTGTAACGAATTATTGTGTTATACATATCTTTATGAGTTTGAGTTTGTAATCTCTGTTTGAGCTCATAATCTCCCACAACTGAAACTTATATTGGCCTGAGTTCTTGGTGTGCTTTTTTCTTGGTATATTTAATAACAAGAACTCCAAATCTTTCCAAAGCATCCCACTTGGGCTTGGGAGCTATCCAAATGTGAAGGCTACAGAGCTCACAGCTCCATATGATTCAAAGCCGTGAGTCAAGCTTTGCTGCACGCCACATGTTACAACCACCAATCTTCAGCTTGCAACTCACCTAGATCCACGAAGCCAATGTCAACATACAGTCTGGCTAACAGAGATCCCAAAAGGAAACCAGCCATTGGGCCAATCATTCCTATTGTGTGCAAACAGCCTGCAGTTATAAAGAAAATATTATCAGTATATTCCAGTGCACACAAGCTTCAGAGCAGGATGGGATATCCTATATTTCATGCCCCTTGAAAGACCACTCTTCACGGATGAAAAGGTAGCACAGCCCTAGTGTTATGTACTGAGTTCAATAGGATTCAGAATGCAGCAGTCTGATTGGTCCTAGAACAATAGGATTCAGAATGCAGCAGTCTGATTGGTCCACAGGAGCCACCCAATCCAGCTCCAGGTGGAAGTGAATCTGCAACCAGATTGGCCTACAGGTGAATCCTGGAACTAGCCAATCACGTGGGGCCCAATGTGTAAATAATGTATATAAAGCAGACATTCTGGGGGAACTTCCATTCCTCCTCACCACTATGAGCTGAATAAAGAGCATGAAATCCACTCGCGACTCCGAGTATATTTCACCTAGTTTAAAGAATCACGTTATGAATAATTGGGATCAAGCTTGCATTTCCGAACACACATTTAACAGTGCAATTCTACACGTGTCTGCTAATAAGTCAGGTCCATAGAGTTCAATGTGGTTTACTCTCAGGTAAGTGGTTACAGGGTTGCAGCCTTATCATACATACATTGATAGTGTCCTTCAGCAGGTGTTGTCTAAATTCAAATTTAGACAACATGAATGCAAAATGCTTCTAACTCTGCTGATGACCAAAGTCAGATTTTACTATAAAGAGGCTTTTTGACATGCTATCCAACTCAGGAGCAGGTGCAAAATCTGAGTGCTGCAGCTTGAAAATCTGCCTTTGTTTTTGTCAGGCACTACTTAGTACATGGGACGCAGGTGGTGCTATGGTCTAAACCACTGAGCCTCTTGGGCTTGCCAATCAGAAGGTTGGCGGTTCGAATCCCCGTGACGGGGTGAGCTCCCGTTGTTCGGTCCCTGCTCCTGCCCACCTAGCAGTTCGAAAGCACGTCAATGTGCAAGTAGATAAATAGGTACCACTTCAGCGGGAAGGTAAATGGCGTTTCCGTGCGCTGCTTGGTTCACCAGAAGCAGCTTAGTCATGCTGGCCACATGACCCGGAAGCTGTACACCGGCTCCCTCGGCAAATAAAGCGAGATGAGCGCCACAACCCCAGAGTTGTCCGCGACTGGACCTAGTGGTCAGGGGTCCCTTTATCTTTATTTAGTACTAGAGATGAGATTTTCCTGTGAGACGTTACCAATATAAAAAGGAGTGTCTTCTTCTCTCGAGAAATCATCCAGGTACGATATGCCCAGTGGAGTTATTGGTGTTTCACCTATTCCACGTAGTAGATTCCCCATCAAGACATAAATCCACGCATAAGATACAACTTCTTTTGCACAGCCTGCAAATAACAGCAGTTATAGCAGGAGTACGTAGTCATGCCTTTTGCACAGAAACACATATCCTCCCAAGCAATCCCAAACAGGAGATGTTCACCAAGGATGTTCTGGTGGTGGGATGTCCAATTCCTATGCTCCCAGTGTAGTAAAGTTAGTACTCCCCTAGTCGCTATTCTTTGGTCAAGTGGAGAGTGAGGCTTTGTGGGAAACAAAGTAAGGAATATGAGAGCTGTCCTGTTGCTTTAATTTGTGGGCCCGCTGGCTCCAAGGGCGTGAGAGGACTTCTATGGGAAAGGAATTGTTGGGCTAATTTGAAGGTTAAACACCTGTGTTCGAAGCTGTGACCATACCCTTTGAAATGCTATCTATCCTTGATTGCCTGAGAATGTACATCTGCCTAAGTTCTACCAGTCTCCATGGGAAGGGAGGAAACCCCTTGATCTGGGTTCTGAAGGATTAATTGGGTTTTGCAGGTTTAATTGGCTCAGCTGCCACAAGTTAGAATTGGAGAATTCAAATGTAATCAAAGGGTTCTGATTGGGTTTTGGGGTTTCTAAGTCCACATGTAAATTATGGATAAAATATCTTGTAACTGGGTTTGAGATGCGCTCCGCATTTTCGCAAGGAATCGCCCGGCTCCTGATGTCCGTCTTTTCGTCTTTTTGTGCTTTTGCCTTGAAGATTTTCTGAGACCTTTGGATGTGGATTTCTGAAAGACTCTAACTATCCTCGCTTTGCCTTAGAGTATAGAAGTGAGTATATAGCTAGCTATAATTTACAACGTTTTTATTTTTCTGTACTTGTAATGTACCAAATGATGTGCCTGCTTATTAGCATGTTTTTTATGTTTTTAAAATAAATCTTAAGAAAGACATATTCTTGTGTTGTGTGTGCCTATCCGGGGGAATGGCTAATTCCAGCGTCTAGACTTCTTGGTTGCGCTGTATCAAAGGATTTCTGCCTGCAAGCTCGTGAAAACAGCTTGCAGTTTGGGGGTTAGCCGGTAACAAAGGAGCACAGCTGGCTCCCTTGAGCTGTGGCTTCTGGTAACCCTGGGTTGAGGGAGTGGTGGCAGCCCTACTGGTTCTATTTTGTCCTGTTTCTGGAAAAGTAAACAGGCTTGCCAGCCTTGCTCCAGAAACCTGTTCTGGCCAGAGAAGCAAAGACAGGTGAGGGAGGGGCAAGTGGCTGGGCGCCCGGTTACTACACCCGGGGTAGGGGCGCCCGCCCTGTGGAACGCCCTCCCATCAGATGGCAAAGAAATAAACAACCATCTGACTTCAGAAGGCATCTGAAGGCAGCCCTGTTTAGGGAAGTTTTTAATGACTGATGTTTTAATGTATTTTTAATCTTTTGTTGGAAGCCGCCCAGAGTGGCTGGGGAAACCCAGCCAGATGGGCAGGGTATAAATAATAAATTATTATTATTATTATTATTATTATTATTATTATTATTATAATCTCTTCTCCACACTGTGGTCTGGGGATCAGAAGCTCATTTTGCCTGACAAAATGAGCTCCATAATACATCTGACATTAATAACGATAATGATAATCTACCTTTTGCCACCCACTGAGTGGCAAACACATAAATGACAGAACAAAGAAAACATCTAAAAAATAATGCAGACTAGGAAAGATCTCTGTTTAAAAGGTTTGTTGCAGAAGGAAGGTTTTCAGTAGGCACCAAAAAGACAAGAGAGATAGTGTCCGTCTAATTCTGACAGGAGGGAATTGCAAAGGAAAGGTGCCACAGCACTGAAGCTGTGTGGAGTGGACTTCCTGGTATCTGCAGGATGCCCTCAGCTCCAGAGCACAGCGATTGACAGGGCGCATAAGGATAGAAATGCTATTTCAGGCACCCTGGTCCCAAGCTGTAGATGTAAAACCAGCACATTGAACTCAGCTAATTGGAAGCCAATGCAATTCTTTCAGCAGCATCATAACATTGTGGAAATGTCCTGTCCCAGTGAGCCACCATATTTCACACCATCAGTAGCTGTAAGCACTCCTCAATCATCAAGCACAGAAGTACATACACGTGCACCTGTTATGGATGAGGGATGAGGAACCTGGTGTTTGCAAATGCCAAAAGAAATACCCCAATCCACCCCTTTTCACGTGTCATTATCTGCGGTTCCATGCCCACATCCACTAGTGGTAGCCAATGATATGGACTTGGTGTGGGGTAAAATATAACATGGAATAAGTGACAGGATGGAGAATCATAGAGGTGGGTCTAGAGCTCCCCAAGGCCATCCATTGGTTCCATTTTGCTTGCTTAAGGATCAATGCTCAGAGCTCACCATATAGCAAGAATGGAAAACGAGTGACCCTCCAGATATTGTTGGACTACGACTCCCATGAACCCTGACCTTTGTCCATGATTGCTAGGGCTGATGGGTGTTGGAGTCCAACAAGATCCAGAGGGCAACATGTGGGCTACCTGTTGTACATACAGTTCAGCACTTTACACTAGCCTTCTCCAAGTGTTCAAAAGAACAAGAGTGGGCAAATACTGAGTAGAGGCACCGGCTCTGCTCCCCAAATCTCTGCCCCTGCCTGCTCAACCCCTGATCTCCCCACATTGAATGGAAAGGTTGGAAGGCTTCCAAATGCATTAAACTGAGCACTATTAGAAGCTCCCCTACTCAACCTTCATGCTCAATGCATGGATATTGGGATCAGGGCCAGCATATCTCTGCCCTTTCCCCAGCACTTCTGATGGGCTACTTACAAACTTCCATGGAGAAACCACAACCTTACCCGACACAGACATCCCTGGTGATTCTGGGACTGTTTGGTTCAGTAAGCAAGGAGAGACGTTAGATGTCGAGTTCTCAGATCCTCGTGATAATGTCTCATATTTATAACTGAAAAGAAAGGTAAACCAGAGGTTCATCCCACAGTTCCTTTCCAGGCACAGGTCCACACTTTAAGGTTCTGTGACAAAATGAGCTACCCGCTTTCTCCAAGAAAACACACTCTTTAATGCTGAATCAGAGCAAATGGCAATTCGGGTTTTCCACAGATTGTTGAGCGGGTTTTCATGGAGGAAACACTTCCCCCCCCCAAAAAAAGGCGCTTGGATGAGGAGTGTTAAAACACGAACCTGTGCCTAGAAATATGGCACAAAAGCAAGTTTGGATAAGCCCCTAGTCATGTATACCTGAAGGAGCGTCTCCACACCCATCATTCTGCCCTGACACTGAGGTCCAGCGCCAAGGGTCTTCTGGCAGTTCCCTCACTGCGAGAAGTGAGGTTACAGGGAACCAGACAGAGGGCCTTCTTGGTAGTGGCACCTGCCCTGTGGAATGCTCTCCCATCAGATGTCAAAGAATCTATATGACATTCAGAAGACTTCTGAAGGTAGCACTGTTTAGGGAAGCTTTTAATATTTAATGCTGTATTGTTTTTAACACTCAGTTGGGAGCCGCCCAGAGTGGCTGGGGAAACCCAGCCCAAATGGGCGGGATATAAATAAATAAATTATTATTATTATTATTATTATTATTATTATTATTATTATTAAATTATTATTATTGATGAAGAAAGATGCAGAGAGATGCCTTGGCACTGGAGAGTGGGAATAGCATGGTGATCATTTGCAATTATAGACAATGTAGATAAGAAGAAGTAAAGAATGGGGATTTCTTCCTAAATTTCAGAACTATTTAATGCACCGTCAAGAGTTGCTTAGTCAAAGTGGCTGCAAAGAAGTTTGGTAGCTCTAGCTGACACTGGCCATCTTGGAGATACACCAAAAGCACTTAACCTAGACATAAGTGGGATTAATTTCTAAGCAGACACAGACAACATGGGAAGGATAACCAAATAGGATTAGGATTGCAGTCTTAGCCTGGATCCAATCTGCTACATTTCATTATTGTTTCGGCAATGTTATTTTTACTGTATTTTGTGTTTTGATTTTTGTAAGCTGTCTTGTGTCTGTTAAATCGGAACCAGCGAAGGTGGTGAATGTCCTGTATCTCTACATGTAATTATATCCTTTTTATATCCTGAATTTTGCAATATAGCCGCAAGTTTCTTCTTTTTGGGAAAAAGTACAAAAATGCATATTTTAATATTAAAGAGTTTGTACCTAATGAAGTTCTTCTCAGGGTAAACCCGATAGAATTAATGAACCTAAGTTAGGCATGGCCGTTCATTTGAATGTGTCTGTCCTGAGTTGAACTAGCATTGGATACAAACCAACATGTTTTGAAACGTTTATACTGGGATGAAACATGTCCCAAGACATATTTGAAATTGTTATGAACCAGAAAGGGACAGATATGTTCACCTCTGCCATTCATCTTTATATATGTTTCATTCTGCATCTCAAATAATATCCTTCAGAGAAAGAGGTGTGGCCAATCTAACAAACTAAATGTAAACACGCTTGTACTTACTATCCCATGAAAAAGTGAGGCATTGCTGTTAAAAAACTCCCAAGAGACATGATGAAACATCCGAGAGCAATCACTCTTGGCCGATGGAATTTTGCCCCAAAGTAACTCACGAACGCAATCACCAACAGATTCCCTGAAAAACAACGTAAATAATGATAGAGTATTTATTCGTTGCTAAATCACTTAGCACTTGTTCTCAGAACCCGCTGGTGTTCTTTGCGGGGGCCACTGCAAGGAAACAGGGATGGTAAAGTTATGATAAAATTGGTTTCCCTACACAGTTGGTCAATGACTGGCTACCATTGCTGTTGCAATGAGGCTGTTGCATCACATCCTACGGCGCAGATGCACTTCCAGATGTTCTTGGACAGCAACTCCCATTATCTCTGACCACTGGCCATGCTGCCTGGGGCTTCTGGGAGTTGTAGTCCAGGAACATGAGGGGGGACACGGGTTCCCTGCAACTGTCACAAAGGGTCTTAATGACCACAGCAATTCTTCTTAGTGGGTCTTGCCCCATGAAACAGTTGCAGAGGCTGAAGGTCCCCACCTTCCTACAGCTGCCTAAATCTCCTCCTCCCTCAGGCCCTTCCCAAGCAATCTGAGACTCTGCCGGTATGCCTGTCTGAGCTCCTCCCTCTGCATGCCTCTTCTGGTCCTGGGAGTCCTGGTCCCAGCAGGAGGGGGTGACACCTTGACTCTTCTTCACCAGCTGGACTCATCTCTGCTTCTTGGCCTCCCTCCTTTCCTTCTTCTGCCTCCGATTCTGGATTTCTTTCTGCCACAGACTCTTCCCACTCACTAAACACTGATATCTCTTCAGCTTCCAATGCCTCTTCTTCCTAGACTTCCGCCTCTTCTCCCTGTGACCACTCATCATGGTCCCACCATCAATCCCCAGGCTCTGAGCCTTCATCCTTTGGGAGTTCCCCAGCTGCTGCCTCCTACCATTTCTTTGTGTCCAGCCAATCATGACAATGGGCCTTTGCTGTGAACCAGCAGGACTCTCCTTATGTCCCTATCACTCATGATCCTTTGAATCAGCATCCACCAAGAAGGAACCTTTCTCACCCAGAAGGTGTATATAGTGTTGTGAGGAAGAGCAAGGAATGGAAGGTGGTGATCCACATTATTCTCAGCTCACCTCTCCAAGGGCTTTCTCCCCTCCTGCTCCCCACTACATGGCTTCTCTCTGACTACCTACCCAGTTCAAAACTTCCATCCATGAAGCCAGCCGTAGAAGAAGAGATGCCGAACCTCCTTTCCATTTGGGTGAAGGAACTTTTCATCATAGCCCCAGAAAACACTTTACTGAAGTAGGTGAATGCCAGGGCAGCAAGGAAGGCCTAATGAAAGATGGGAAAAGGGGTGGGATTGGGTAATGTCACATCATCAACGAGCTTTCTCCAGGATAATGGAAGCCACCCTTCCCTATTCTCTGAGAGATTAAAGTCCTTCCAGAAGTAACTTTGTCCTTCAGAAGAAAAAGTTTTATGTAGTCGATGGCTTATAGCCAATGTCAGTCCTACTCAGAGTAGACCCATTGAAATTAATGCATGCAACAAACTTGAGGTCATTCATTTCAATGGGTTATGTCTATCCTCTCCAACAGCCTTGCTGTTAACACAAGAAAAAATACACAAACAACTGAGAATCAGTCTCTCTCTCCTGCTCATTAGCATAGCCCTGCCCCGAGTGCTATTTCTTGGTAATGGCACAGTGTGACAAAGAGATGGAAGTCAGAAACTCTTTATATGCAATCACTGATGGTGTATTTCAACTATGCAAGAATGCTACAACATCCTTATTTGATTGGCTGTCACAAGACACTTCCGATGTATTTTGCAAGCTAGTAATTCCCCATCCCAGAGAGGCACAGACACTTATGCAAAACAGAAGCCAATATACGTTTTGAACTGATTTCACTCCGTTGCCAGTTCAGGCGGGTAGTCTTGGGTTCAATGTTTATCCAAATAGTCTCCAGCTTTGTCAACACAGCCCTCTTGGTATTTCATCTGGTCCCAAAACAAACAAAGTCCTGATGCACCGGTTAAAAGTTAGAAGTGCTTGAATAACATAGTTACAAGTGAGTAAACAGCATGGATTGGGTTTTGAACTTTGGGGCGCTGTTGACTTCTCTGTGCCAAGGGAGAAGAGAGTTTGCAGTCAAAAGGTCATAGGCTTTTTTCCCCCAGGCAGGTTTATTTTTCGGTTTATTGGGATGAAAAAATAACAGGAGGCAAGCCGTCTTTCAGATGTTCCATGAGAATTGTGATATGTTAAGATCCTTAGATTCCAGAGTAGTCCCTCAATATCAAGTCTTAAACAGGTGTGGGACAGGTCTTAAACCACCACAATGGCCCCTAGATTTGTTTCTCCTCCTCCCAGAAAGCAATAAAGGAACTAGGCAGAAGGGGCTCTGCTCCAGCAGCAGAGTTTGAAGTAGTCCCTCAACTGTATTTTCCCAGGATCTGATAGGCTGTGTGTGACTTAAGTCATCTGCAAATGCTTTTGAGCAGCTATCAAGCCATGCCCAAGAAACAGTATTATGAAGAGCCATTTAGGAAGTTTAGTAGGTAGTCCTCCCTCTCAAATATTTCACACCACAAGTGAGGCTCAACAATATTTTTTGTTATTGCTCCTGGAATCACAGAATCGTAGAGTTGGAAGGGACCTCAAGGAATCTCAATTAAAGAATCCACAACAGATGACCATCCAACCTCTGCTTAAAAACCTCCAAGGAAGGAGAGTCCACCACCTCTCATGGGAGTCCATTCCTCTGTTGAACAGCTTTTACTGCCAGAAAGTTTTTCCTGATATTTAGTCAGAATCTCCTTTCTTGTACCTTAAAGCCATTGGCATGGGTCCTACCCCCCAGAGCAGGAAGAAACAAGATTTCTCCATCTTCCATGTAACACCCCTTGAGATATTTGAAGATAGCTATCATATCTCCTCTCAGTCTCCTTTTTCCAAAACTAAACACACCCAACTGCTTCAACTGTTCCTCATAAGGCTTGGTTTCCAGACACTTGATCATCATGGTTGCCTTCCTCTGAACTTGTCAGTAACCTTCTTAAATGGTGGCACTCAGAACTGGACACAGTACTCCAGCTGTGGTCTGACCATGGCAGAACAGAGTGATACTATCACTTCCCTTGATACAAGCCTGGAACAACAATAGCTCCCCCCCCCCCCCGCTTCCTCACACTGTTGCCACAGGCTAAGCTTCTAAGACCCCCTAGATCCTTTTCACATGTACTGCTGGCAAGCCAGGTGTTCCCCGTCTTATATTTGTGTAACTGGTCCTTCCTACCTAAGTGCAGAACCTTACATTTGTCCCTGTTGAAATTCATTTTGTTTGGGCCCAGTTCTCCAATCAGTTAGGGCCATCTTGAATTCTGATTCTGTCTTCTGCAGTGTTAGCTACCCCTCCCAGTTTGATGTCATCTGCAAATTCATTGGCCTCATCCTTATAGATCATATTGATCAATTCTTTGTTGATTATCATTATAAGCCAGTCTTCCCCCCAATGTGGTACCCTCCATATGTTTGTGACTCTGGCTTCCACCAGCCCCAGCTGGCATGGCCAATAATCATGGATGATGGGAGTTGTGGTCCTGAATGCTTGGAGGGACCCACATTAGGGTGAGGTTGTTGTAATGATGCTTTGGGGCACTGAGGGAAATGAAAACCGCACTCTTAGTCCCCAGGGAACCTCGTGAATAAATATTTATGGCGTGGCGGATAGATCCTGCATCATGAGTGGCTGGCAGTTGCTCAAGGCTGTCGTGTGCTGATGATGTCGTGTCTGGGAACTGCCTTGGCAGGGTGCACAGACCTAGCCTTGACATCTAACGATCCTTTGTGTTAATGATTCCCATGCGGTGATTCTGCATCTCACGCATAAAGCAACAAGATGTGCAACCAGGGTTATCTGGAGTTAGAACAGAGATGGGGAACATGGTACAAGACAACAACCCTCATCACCCCTAATTATTGGCCAAACTGGCTGCGACAGATGGGAGTTTGAACCCAACACCATGTGGAGGGCACCCTGTTGGCTTCCTTTGATGCCTATGTCCTGAAATTAACTCTACCCCCTTTCATGTTTTCTGAAGAACAAGAGAAGGCATAACGTGAGTAGAGGAATGGCTATGCAGGTACCAGCTTCACCCCCCAAATTTGTAAACACCTGGAGAGTCATTGACTCCGCATCTGTAGCTTAGTAACTCCCCAGGTCCATGAAACTGAAAAAGGCAGAACCCCAACCCTATCAGTGGTGGGTATCAAATGAAAACCATACACTTCCAAATGGAAGTGTCTTTTTAGAAAAAGACTGTTGCAAAGCAGAAAACGTTAGACTTTTTTTAGAAAAGAAAAGACATAGTAATAGTAAGGAATTCACTGGACCTTCAGCCCTTTGCAGCACGAGGTTTTTGTCCTGGCTGTGAGTTCCTTGGGACCTTCCTCCTCCTTAGACAGGTCTGCTGCTTTTGTTTCCACAACGGCTCCATTCACATTTCCTGACTCAGCAACCTTCATGATTGCAATTTCTTATCTTCAGTGATTTCCCCGTTTCCTGCGAAGAGAATGCTCAACACATTAACATAAGACACACCACATTTTCCCTGTACAGTGGTACCTCGGGTTAAGTACTTAATTCATTCCAGAGGTCCGTTCTTAACCTGAAACTGTTCTTAACCTGAAGCACCACTTTAGCTAATGGGGCCTCCCACTGCTGCCGTGCCGCCATAGCACGATTTCTGTTCTCATCCTGAAGCAAAGTTCTTAACCTCAAGCACTATTTCTGGGTTAGCAGAGTCTGTAACCTGAAGCGTCTGTAACCCAAGGTACCACTGTACTTTTTATTTCACATGAAATGAAGTGGGGGTCTTCGAAACCATTCAGTCAGGAATTATTTGTAATTGTCTCATCCCAAGAGCTTTTCTTCATACTAATGCTGAATAATGTGAAAACTGGAGGGGGGGGGAGGACACTTGTTGTCGTGTGTTGTGAGCAACCAATTACTGGATGCTGTAGAGCAGTGAGGGAGGAAGTCTTGAACCAAGCATCTTGGCAGTTGGACTGTGGGGCCCTAGCACCGCTGCAAGCTTGGCAAACTTTGCTTTCGGGGCCAGCCCTACCATTAGGCAAAGTTAGACCACTGCGCAAGGGAGTTGTTTCTGTTGAATCCTTAGCTGACCCTTTAAAAAAGGGACTCCCTGCCCTTGACTTTTGGTAGCCAAGATTTCATGGTCTATGAATGCTTGCTTTTAATTTCCTAAAATAAAGTTGATGGAAACAAACCCACCCCATCGTGTACAATCATAGTCCCTTCTTGCTGTGGATGTAAGAACACCAAAAGAGCATCATCTAGTACTTGTCTAGCCAACTAGATGCAAATCCGAAGCCCACAAGTAGGACATCAGCACAATAGGCCTGTGCTGTGATGGTTCCCTAGTGCTGGTTTTAAGATCTGATTATTATCTCAGCATCATGAATGAGATGATGCTCATAGAATCATATGGCTGTAGGGTATTCCGAGAGTCATCTAGCCCAACTTCCTGCAATGCAGGAATCTCAGCTAGATCATACATGGCAGATGGCCTTCCAACCTCTGCTTAAGGAAGGAGAGTCCACCACCTCCCAAGGGAGACTGTTCCACTGCCAAACAGCTCTTACTGTCAGAAGGTTTTCCCGAATGTTTAGTCAGAATCTTCTTTCTTGTAACTTGAAGCCATTGGTTTGAGTCCTACCCTCCAGAGCAGGAGAAAGCAAGCATGTTCCCTCTTCCATGTGACAGCCCTTCAGATATTTGAAGATGGCTATCATATCTCCTCTCAGTCTCCTCTTTTCCAAGCTAAGCATACCCAGCTCCCTCAACAGTTCCTCATAAGGCATTGTTCCCAGACCCTTGATCATCCTGGTTGCCCTCCTCTGCACACATTCCAGCTGTGGCCCTGCAGGAACATGAGCTTTTGGATTTGACAAATGAACTTGGAAAAAGCTAGATTTGGAAAGATAAGGTTTGGACTGGTTTGGAAATGAGGGGTTGGATAGACCCCCCTATGCAGGGATGTTTGGACTTTCCAAGTCTGGCAATGGGCCGTGAGATGTTTGGGGCTGTGGGGGCTCTTAATATTGGAGAGATTCTGAAACATGTTTTTAAATACCATATGGACTTTAGTCTGGACTTTGGAAAAGGGGCTGATTTGTTGAAAAGGGTCAAAAACACTATCAAGGGACATGGAAGGGAAGGGACATGGAAGAGACTTAAGGGCCTCGGATACAAGGTTACCAGGTTAATGCGCTAGATCAATGGGATAAAGAGGACTGACAAAACCCGGGACCAGGAGGAAGGGACGCTGGATGAAGATTGGATTGTTTTTATTTCTTTCTTTTTATTACTAGGATTGTTTTATAAAATTGATGGATGTTAGAAAAATGTTGGAACGAAATTACTTGGCTCTAGCAAAAATGTCTAAAGAATTAGGTAAGAATATTATGGTTATGAGAAGTTGGTAAAAATAAGAGTTAAGTTTTAAGTTTTAAGGTTTTCTATAAGATAAGATGAAAATAGATTAAGGTAATGTAATGACAGAATATTATGAAATATGGTAAGGATTTGCTGCAATAATTAATAACTAGGATACAAAAAAAGGGAGGAGGAGGAGGTCAAAGAAAGAAGGTAATGAAAGTTGAGGATTCGAGAATGATGGATTTGTTTTTATCTGTTTGTGGTGTATTTTTGTTTTTTTGAATTTACATTGTTTGATGTGGTTTGTTTTCTCTTTGTTTTCTTTTTTTTCTTTTTCTGCTGTGTTCTTTTCTGTAATTCTAAAAATTTTTCAATAAATATCATTTAAAAAAAAAAAAGGAACTTGTAGCAGTGAAGGCACACACTTGCTCTCGGTGTCAAAACCAAAGCTATGGGTAGTATTTATTGCTAGCCCTGTCGTCTTATGCTCAGGCTGTACATATTTGCAAATAAAGCTAGATTTCAAAAAGACACTACAGTGGTACCTCTGGTTATGAACTTAATTCGTTCCAGAGGTCCGTTCTTAAGCTGAAACCATTCTTATCCTGAGGCGCGCTTTCACTAATGGTCCTTCCCGCTGCACGCGCCTCTGACACGCAACTTCCGCTCGCATCCTGGGGCAAAGTTTGCAACCAGGAGCAACTACTTCTAGGTTAGCGGAGCTCATAACCCGAAGCATGCGTAACCAGAAGCGTTCGTAACCAGAGGTACCACAGTACGGTGTTCAGTGACCTTCATCCCAAGGGACTCAAACCCAAGGTAAGTGTTGGCACCTGCGAAATCTCTCTGCTCTTGGAGATTAGGGTGAGCATAACAACATTTCAGCCAGGAAAAGGCTTCCTATTTAGAAGACACGACACAGAAGGGGGAAGGGATATGGAAGTGGGTGGGAAGAAAACTTGGGCATCTGTTCTTTAAGTTGGTTCTTTAAGGTTGTTCACACATGGTATGTAGAAAGGCATCCAATGAGAAGCCAACACATGATGACACATCAAGTGTTGAACATGCATGTGTGAATCAGTCTATTATCCTCTGTTTCTCTCTTGAACCAGAGGAAAAAAAGAACACAGTCTTTCTTTCTTCAGCAACATAGGTCACAAGTATTTTTTAAAGCCCACATGGCTTTGCCATTTTTCCAGAGAGAATCAGTGTACTTCATCATGCCCAATAGGAAGCAAAGCTTAGCCTACCTGCGTTGTGGATCCTTGTCAGCAGCAGCTATGGCATCATTCAATACAATACAGCATTTCCCCCTAAAACAAGGTGGTTCTGAGGTCCATATGGGAAATCATTAACTTTCCCGACTTCCTAAGCAAACAAAAACCAATTTGTGTTTAGGGTACACTTGTGTAATCCCAAGCCTTCTGCTCTCACTCTTGGAAATTCATGCATTTCTCTCTGGTATCAAAAGAAATGATTTAGGCAGAAAATGTTCTGAATGTGATCCTGGCATATTTGCAACCTTGCTTTGAAAGCACCCCGTGGTTTGTTTGTAGACTGAAACACTCATTGTTTCCTATGGCTAAATTCTTCCTTGCATCCAAGTGCATAAAAATATGTATCCATCTAATCACTGAAAAAATAAATAAATATGAGAGCATAAAGTCCCATTGCCTAAACAAGTGTTTAAACCAGCTACTCCAGAGTAGTCCCCTACTGACTTTGGAAAATGGAAAGTCCTGTGTTTTTGCAGCAGTTCATAGCTTTTTTAAGTTTACAGTCCTGGCAGGTAATCTGTTGCGTTTAGAGTGTTTTATTGAGTTTTATGCTTGGATTTCCTTTGCTTTATCTGGGAATGTGAGTGCTGATGTTTCTAGAGACAGGAGATAAAGAGGAATGGTATTTTAAGCAGGAGCAATGAAGGCGAGGATAGAGAATTGTCCACCAGGCATCTATTTCTGGACTCCCCTCAGGCTTCTCCTCCTCAGCCACATCCCCTCTCCTCAGGCCACACCCCCTCACCAGACCTGCACCAACCTTCAGAGTCTTTGTCTGTCTGGAATATGTCCTTGCACTCTGAAAACGCCTCTTGCTTTGCTGAATATAGCAAGTGACACAAGATAATACCACCATCTGTAAACAAACAATAAGCGTCCATAAAAATGGCAAAAGTAGTTTCTTTCCCAAATAATACACAAGAGAAGACAGTATTTGAAGGACTTAAAGCAGGGGTATATTTGTCCCCATCTGCATGTTTCCATCGGGAGGAGCATAGAAAGAGAACGATGCCGTTCAGTTAGTTAAACCTCCTAAGTTGTATATTATTTACTACAAAGCTCAATGACTAAGCTCTTTAGCAACGAAACGTCTGATTACTGAAAAGACGTCCGAGCACTGAACCACTGGTATATCACAAGTGGACTATTTATTACTGTGTTTGCAATTGTTTCAGATAAGATCTGTTTTGGAAAGAGAAGAAATGAGCACTGAACCACTGATATATTAGAAGTGAGCTCTTTATTTACTGTGTTTGCTATTGTTTAAGATAACACCTATTTGGGAAAGAAACAACTTTTGCCATTTTTATGGGTGTTTATTGTTTGTTTACAGATAGTTGCTTTGGTGACATTATCTTGTGTCGATTGCAGTAGCTATTGTATCACCACCCTGTTCATTGCTTTATTGCTGGATGACAGAGGGGTGCTTCACTATAGAACTACCCTACTGTACAGAGGTAAAATCTGCATCTGTTGCTCCACCGACTTTTGCCACTGGGTGCACCCATCCCTGGTACGTAGTGCTTGGTTTGAAAAAAGTTCCCTACCTCCCCTATTAAATATTTTGCCCCAAATGACTATTTATCGGGGAAGTCCTGGTTTGGTCAGTCACAGTTCCTATTTGGGAGGAGAGGGAGTCATTTTGGAGCATAGCTGTCAAGCGTCCCTTATTTGGCGGGACAGTCCCTTATCCCAGGGCATATCCTGCTGCTGTCCCTTATTGATGATGTCCCTTAAATAAGCTACTGAAGGTAATGGGGCCCTTACTATGTCCAGCTGTGCTTTGTCAACAACAAATTGTTGCTGTTTTTTGTGTTGAGTATATGATATATGGTAATTTATAGGACCTAATAGGTATCTAAAGACATTTGCACGCAACAAAATATGTATTTTATCAAAGTAATTGTTGATCCCTTATTTTGGCTGCTGATCCCTTATTTTCGAGGCTGCTGGTCCTTTATTTTCAAATCTGTAAGTTGACAGCTATGTTTTGGAGTCACTTGCTAAAATAAAACAAGAAATGGGAGAATTGTAGAGTTGGTCCACCCGGTCCAACCCCCCCAGCTCAATGCAGGAAAATCCAGAGCTGGAGTTCTTCAAGAGCTCACCCTGATAACTACAGCATAACCCTGTGCACACTTACTTGGCAGCTGTCACCACTGAATTCAGCAGGACTTGCATAAGGATTGTGCTGCCTAGCGCAACCCTGTAGCAGAATGGCCCTGTTCCAACTAGACCACAAATCACCCTTTTAGAACATGATTAGTACAATCCTCCAGCCAGAAGGTGGCATCGCAGCCCTACTGAGAGAGGTCACCAGAGCCAGCAGTTCCCCCACGCATACTTCAGCAGACTTGGAAGCCGGTCACGTTCACGACTGCAGTCTTTAGCCAGGCATCGAGAGAGCGCCGCAGTGAGCAACTTGGCTCCTTTATTTAGGCCATTCTTAAAATCCTTCTGGAACTAATCCCCAAACAAAGGGAAAGCAAGCCGACTGAAAACTTTAACTCACACATGGAAAACCGAAGGAAACTGAGAAAAGCAGTTTCAGAACAGAGGGGCTTCTGATAACACAGAAGGATCCCAGATATGTTGCTGTGCCACTGAAACATGTTGTATCCATAGCCTCCTCCTGAATTTGCACATAGAAACTGAAAGCCAAGCAGGACAATGGATTGGGGGTATCAATCTAGCAAAGGTCTCAGGTAGTCTTTTGATCTTTCTTTGCCTCCCAAGCTTATTGGGTGTCCGAGGCCACTTCTCACCTTACACATAAAGCAGTATGATGCCACTTAAACAGTCGTGCTTTCCACCAGAGAATCCTGGGAATTGTAGTTTGTTAAGGGTGTTGGGTTCTGTGGAATTGAATCCCACCAGAAAATAGCCACCATCTGGTAGCACCCTTAGTTATTTTCTTGTGGCCACAATAAACTTCTTATTGTCCACTTCCTTTTGCTCCACTTATGTGGCAAACGCATCCTAGACTGGCCCCAATTTGCAAGGTTAATGGTGCTAGAATCCAAATACTATAGATCACTGGACAAAGTCAACATCCCCTCCATTTTGCAGAAGAAGATTAGATCCATGCTTGTCACAAACTTGGTCTCGTGCAACTGATCACCGCCTGGGAGACCCGCCTTCCATCCTGCATTGCTGAAGGCTCTACCCTGTCGGTTCGCTTATTTGCAATATCCTGTTCTCCATGGACAGAAAAGCCAAGGAATCTAACGGAAGTGATGCGTAAGTGTCAGACAAAAGGCTACCATGGTTCAAAACATACCCCGGCACTTGCTGTGTGCAAGATAGTAAAGGTAAAGGGACCCCTGACCATTAGGTCCAGTCGTGGCCGACTCTGGGGTTGCGGCGCTCATCTCACTTTATTGGCCGAGGGAGCCGGCGTACAGCTTCCGGGTCATGTGGCCAGCATGACTAAGCCGCTTCTGGCGAACCAGAGCAGCGCACAGAAACGCCATTTACCTTCCCGCCAGAGCGGTACCTATTTATCTACTTGCACTTTGACGTGCTTTCGAACTGCTAAGTTGGCAGGAGCAGGGACCGAGCAACGGGAGCTCACCCCGTCGTGGGGATTCGAACTGCCAACCTTCTGATCAGCAAGTCCTAGGCTGTGTGGTTTAACCCACAGCGCCGTGTGCAAGATTGCAAGCAGCAATGCACCACACTGACTTAGTGTTCAAGGCACATGTTGCTTTAGCGTTCCTGCGCATGCATGTTTGTGAATGTGCATCAGAGACAATAATGCACTTTCTTTCTAGGGCTGCTGCTTAACGCTTCACCAGAAAAGAGGCACTTCATCACCAAGAAAGAGGACAGTGAGCGTAAGAGAAGGATGAGCATAAGCTTTGCAGGTGCTAAACGCTAGGTATCAATGTGCATTTTGAAAGAATAAGCGAGATTGAAATATAATTGCATCTCACCAGAGCAGGGAAGTCTGTGACCAGGTGGCTCAATCTGCTGTCCAGGTGCCAACTGTTGATGATGTGATGATGGGCAACCTCAAGGCCCCAGCTGCTCTCCCTTCTGATGGTCCTGATCTTGAAACTGGGCTTGGACCAGACAACTCTTCAGATAGATGACTCGGTCAAATAAAGGACAGTCCTTTGTAAAGTAGGGCATTACCACCCTGACACTCTCTCTCTCTCTCTCTCTCTCTCTCTCTCTCTCACACACACACACACACACACACACACTTCTATCAAAAATATATAAAGTTATCCCCCAAGGGGGCAGGGGGAATAGAAATGAAGTCCAATCTCCCAGGAACAAGGATGGGACTTCCTCCCAATTCAAAGGCCTTTTGCAGTTTAAGACTCAAGGCCAGCAGGCAAACATTTAGCTGCCGTCCCTTGTCCTGAGCACTGCTATTTAGTGTGTTATGAAATGAGAAGAAAAGCAATTATTTTATGCAAGGGCAAATACGGAGTGCAACCTAATGGCCCCTTACTTCTTCTGTAACCAGTGGGAGGAAGAGGAGGTGCCAAAGGAGGGTGTTTGGGGGAGGAGGGAGAGGAAGGTTTTGAGCAGAGACCTCAAAATCAGTTTTACCTTTTGAGTCTTTCTGTGGTGGTAGTGGTGGCGATGGGGGGCAGGCATCACCCGGCCGTGTGTGTATATACAGAGGCCCTCAAACGAGAGCACAGCACTTGTTTTCACCAAACGGCCCCCCCAAAATCTGAAGCTGTTTCGTTGCTTTTGGATTAGCTGAACTTTTTCTAAGTAGAAGACTGGGAAGGTAGCCAGACCCCTTTGGCCTGGAAACAGGGGGTAAATTAATGCCTGGCATTCTGAACTGGGAAGGCAGCCAACGTCTGCTGCCCTGACTGAGGCTGGGGGTAGGCTGAGATTAAACTTGTACGAGGTTGGGATCCGAAGCCCAGGACTGTGTCGTGCCAAAATCTGCAAGTGTTTGGGATTACCTGGATAGTCTTCCTTCAGCTGCAGAGTGGGCTATTTTCCACCTTGGAGGAATTTCAGTCTCAATAAGCTGGCTGGCAAATTAGACGACAGGCCAGATAAATAAGATCAAATCTTTTATTAGGGATGGGGGAATTTTGGTTTCTCATTTTTCCAGCCTTACGTTCAGTTCACCACATTGGCTTGCAAATCTTTTTAAGTTGCAGGTTTGATGACGAATTAAGTCATCAAATTGCAGATGACACCAAGCTAATCATAGGAATAAAGGTAAAGGGACCCCTGACTGTTAGGTCCAGTTGTGGCCGACTCTGGGGTTGCGGCGCTCATCTCACTTTACTGGCTGAGGGAGCCAGCGTACAGCTTCCGGGTCATGTGGTCAGCATGACTAAGCCGCTTCTGGCAAAACCAGAGCAGTGCACGGAAATGCCGTTTGCCTTCCCTTAATCTACTTGCACTTCATGCTTTCGAACTGCTAGGTTGGCAGGAGCAGGGACCGAGCAACAGGCGCTCACCCCGTCGCGGGGATTCGAACCGCCAACCTTCTGATCAGCAAGCCCTAGGCTCTGTGGTTTAACCTACAGCTCCACCCAGGTCCCTTAATAATAGGAATACTGATAGATTATTATTACCTTTGAAGCTGAGAGTTCAAATTGCAAATCTAAAGACTAATTAAGTCATCAAATTTGCAGATGGCACCAAATTTATAACAATAATAATACATTTAAAGCTGAGAGTTGTTAGGAGACCCCTATTCCCTCCATAGAGCTGCAATTCTTCTTGCCAGGGAACTCTGGGAACTGTAGCTCTGTGAATAGAAGTCTCCTAATAACTCTCAGCACCTTTAAAAAAGCCACAGATCCAAGGATTCTTTGCAGGGAATCATGATTGTTTAAAGTGGTATGATACGGCTTTAGATGCACACAGATGAGGGCTATATGTATAGGCTCTGCTCTCTTCCAGTATGTGGCCCCCAACTACTTACCCTAAGCAAATATATCCCTCAGATGGCAGGTGATTGGAAAGATCTTGCACTGCCTTCAAAGTTGTAGAAAATACTGGGCTGGGTAGAGTGTTAGCCTAACTGGATATGACAAGCTCCTATGAAATGGCTTGATTCAAGCTCCGTTCCAATATTTTCAATGCCATCAAATCACTCTACCATTTTAGGGAAGTTTTTAATGTTTGATGTTTCATTGTGTTTTTAATATTCTGTTGGTAGTTGCCCAGAGTGGCTGGGGACGCCCAGCCAGATGGGCAGGGTATATTATTATTATTATTATTATTATTATTATTATTCCATCCGGCTGTTCAAAGAAGATTGTATTTGGCAAAGGAGATTTTACAAATTTTAGGGGAAGGTGAACTGCAAATATAAACAGACGTTTCTGTGTATATTAATGTAAAAAATCATAAAAATGAAACACGCGAATTGAAAGAAAAAGAAAATCACAGGCATTGCTCTTAGAATATATTTTAATTTGTTTCCAAAGGATTTTTTCAAAATCACTTATTACATCATAGCTAGAAACTGTATACAAAAAAACCCCCAAGATGTGGAATGATGTGGCCAGATCTGTGTGCATTCTTCTGTCATGGTTCCAAAGTGCAAGAATTGGTACTGAAAACAGTACCAATTCCTCATATTCCATAAGCGAAATTAGGGTTTCCAAAAGTGGTGTGCACCAACCAGAAGATTTTGTTTGGATCCCAGTTTGGCACTTCATGAAACAGTCCATCTTGGCCCAAGGCACTTCGTAAGCTGCCTGATTCAGCTTGGGGTCTGTCCTGTCCCCCTTCACTATTGAGAAATTGTGGGTGAACAGAAGTGGGTTGAATTTTCAGAGATACTAGCCCATCCAGAGTACATAAAGCCTGCCAAACTGAAACCATATAGTTGCAGGGGCTTCTGTTCTGGACACCACTAAAATGTGCCTCCCCCTCCAAAAAATAAATTGTTTATAACTTTATTTTGGGATGGCAGAATTTGATGAAATTTGCAGACAAGGTCACAGCTTCTAAAGGCACATATCCTATCAGATTCCGCAAGGATAGCTTGCAGCGGTTTCCCCACAAGGGCACCCATCACTGAGTCCACCATTTCACACACACCCCATTTACAATTGGGAAATCTGAAAATGGCTATAACTCCCTTTTCCTTTAGACAGAAGTGGATGAAATTCTCAGGCATACGGCCACCTCCAGAGTGGATAAAGCCTGCCAATTTATATGCAAATAGCGGGTTTTGTGCAGGACAACTGTAAAGTTTCTTTAAAAAAGAAAGGAAATGTGGATAACTTTTCTATGTTGAGGTGGTATTGGACAAAGGACAGCCACTGCAGTTGTAGGGTGAACAAAGGATGGAAGCCCTTCATCTTCTCATGGGTTTTGTGGGCAACTGGTCTGAAAATTACAGACACGAGGTACACCTGAGTAAGAAATGTATGGGCTGAGACAAATAAGCCCAGGAGCTTTTGTGACTGCCACTTTTAAAATAGATTTGGGAATGGAAAGAACTAAAAGGGATTCACTTTCCAGGTAAAATTATTCCTCTGATTACAAGCTTTGTTGATCAGTCAGCAGGGTTCCTCTACGACTTTCTCTTCATAGTGACATTTACTCTCCTTTCCTTCAATCACTCCACCTTGGCACAATGGTAGGTTTAGAGAACCACAATCATTTTGAGCAGACACTTGCCTGCAACATTTTTTAAAATGTCTGGATCACTGAGGGGCCACAAAGCACTCCAGGGCTTCCTATTTCAGTGTGGGCTGCCTCATACAGATCCCACTTCACCTCTGACAAGCCCCAAATCTCTCTGAGGTGCCCCACAGCCCCTTGGAATTTATCTAAGTCTGATAAACACCACTAGTTTACAAAGAATCATGGAAGCCTTATTATTTCCTGCTCAATTTTCATGGGACCATTTGTCCCCTGTGAAGGTGGAGGGTAAATTTTGGCTGCTTTGGGAAAAATTTCTGAGAATTTTAGAGACTTATGGAGTTGGTAGGCTTGACTTACCTTGCTTAGTATGATAGACAAATGAATAATAATGAGCAAGAGGTTGTGTTTATCTTCTTTACTTTCTTGGATTTTTTTTTTTTAAATAAAAGGTTTCCCAGCTGCTTGGAACAACTACAAAGCTTTTTTAAAAAAATGTACAAAGGGGGGGGGATTTATTGGGCACCCCAGGTCACCCCACCCACCAAAATGTTCTCAGTCATTTCCTACCCCCAATCAGAAGATTCAGTGATCTAGTGGCTTCCTGTCCCTCACAATGATTAAGGCAGCAATCCTATGAATAATTGCTTGCTAATAAGCCCCACTGACCTTCATGTGAATAAACATTATGGGATCAGACTGTAAATTATGAAAGTGCAATCCTTTATGTATAATAGTAAAATACGTGCAAATTTGCGTTGCAATAGAGGCTGTGGCTTTGTTTCCAGTAATGAAATAACCTTGAAAAAGTCAATATGGAGGTCAAATGGCACAGAAATATTGGGAAATTTTGAACAAGACGGAGATAGACAGAAAATGCAGAGTTTTGAAAAACTAAAAACAAAGTGCAAGACTGGCTTCATTATTATCAAATAATGGAGGTATTTAAATTGGACAGGAAAATTGGCTTCCAGTGGAAGAGTCAAATTAGAAGTAAATTATTGAGCAATACTAGAATTTGTCAGAATGTATAACTTGCTGCTAATGGAATACTCAAGATAAGCAATTAAAATCGGCTATGTTAAATGGGCTGGGACGTTGGTCTGTGATACTGACTGAGACAGTTATGGACCACAGGTATGAGGTTTACGGCATGTAATGCCTTAAGAATATTATGAAAATGATACAGGTGAGTACATGCTTAAGTCAAACTTACTTGATAACGATATTAAATGTAAAGAAATTGAAGGTGTACTCACACCCTTTGGTGGGCGTGCCCAAGATTAAGGCTTTCTGGAAATGATATATAATGAATTAAAAGGTATTTAAGTATACCTTCCCTAAGAAACCAGGGCCTTTCTCCTGGGCATATTAAATGGTGTGAGATAGAACTTTCTTTATGTATGCAACAACAGCAGCAAGAATCTCGCAAAGTATTGGAAGACACAAAACTTCACGCTGGAGGAATGGCAGATGGAAACTTATGGACTATGGGAATTGGCGGGAAATGACTGGCAGAATCCGTGACCAGGAGAAGAGTGATGGAAGACTGGAAGAAATTCAGGCCTCTTAGAAACACTGCAAATTAAGAATGTTAGAGTGATGTTGGACTGAAAATGATGGTTTCCAGCTACATAGGTTAAGTTAAGGATAGATTAAGATTAAAAGTTTAAAGAAATGAAATTTGATTTTAAAGGGAAAACTTTAAAGTTACAGGATATTAAGATCAAGGATTAGGTTTAAAAGAGTTGAAGTTATATATTTAACATTTTATTAAGTCTGGGTGGGATTAAAAGTGGAAAAACTGCTGGATAAATAAATGTAGTTGGAGATACAAAGAGAGTGAGGAAGTCCAGAAAATAAGTAATTTAAAATTGGTAATGGAAAGGAAGCAGTTAATGGCTTTGTGTTTATATTGTTAAGTTTTGTATTGTTTTGTGTGTGTGTTGTTTTTCTTTTTTGTTTGTTTAAAACCTTAATAAAAAATTATTAAAAAAAAAAATAGAACGCAACTTTTCTTAGAAAGAAGCTGGGTTACTTTGAAAGAGAATTGTGTTGCTTATTTATGTATTTGGAGTAAAGTATATACTGTACACAACCCAGATTGTAAATTGCATTGTTAGTTAGCAGCAGACACCCCCATCCCCCAATAAACCACACCAAAAAGTCACCCAAACCCTTCCAAATATCTGGAGTATAATAGCTGCCCTTCAAGCTGCCTGGAGGAGAGTCAAAGAAGTTATTTCCTAATCAGCCTGACCTAGCCATGTTCAGTTGCGAGTCGGTCCTTACTTAATAGTAAGGTTTGGGATTAAAATGCCAGTCTTCTTTTTTCAAAGAATGATATGACGACCTATTGCAGAAGAAGGGTTGATACATTGCATCTACCCTCTCCACAGGAGCTGCTCGTCAGGTGGGGCAGAGCTGCAACGATAGCTTCTGGGCAGCGGAATTGCTGCAGCTTAGTGGGATGATGAGCTATGAGGTGTCGGAGATGCTATTGCGGTGCAAACACCCCAGTGGAGCCAAGCCAGTGCTCCTGTCAGTGTGTTTGCACCGCGCTGACCTCCCCACTGCCTTGCCCTTCCCCATCTCCCTCCTGGCCGCCATACTGAGTGCTATATGAAACCAAACCCAAAAAATAAGTTGATTAGACAGCTAAGTAGTCCACCATAGGCTGAATTCACTCAGACGCAGAAGGCTTCTAAGATGCTTGCCCTACCTTTTAAGTGTAGCAGTGAGCAATCGTCATCCTATGAGTGCCTCGGAGTTGACATTTTGCCCTGTAAAACGGGGGGGGGGGGGAGTCTTTGGTGTGCCAGATATTGTTGGACTTCACTTCCCATCACCCCCATGGTCAGTGGCCAGGGATCATGGTAGTTGTAGTTCAACAACATCTGGAGCGCTGGAAGTTTCTTGTCCCTGCTCTTCAACATCAACAGAATAATAATAATAATAATTGGGAGCAATTGCTACAATGGCACAATGGTTTCTCAGTCGTGCTGAGATGGCAAACCAGCCAAAACCACTCCAAACGGAAGATTCTCTCAAGGAATGCTGCATACATCAAGCCATATTTTTGTTTCATGTGGAGAAGGAATAGTTTTGTTCTGCATTTTGAGAAAGGCAAATGCAATATTGCATTTTTAAAGGCCTCTACAAGTTCTAGAAAGGTGTTTGGAAGGTTATTGTATTTAGCAAAAAGTTGTGCCCGCCCACCCAGCTCTCTCATTCAAACACGTTAACTTATAATGAAACGTAGGCCAGAATTTTCCACATTGGAAGAGAGACCGCTTGAAAATACACTGAGTCTTCCTAAAGTCGAGTTTCTTTCTCTGGCCAGTAGGTTGTCTGAATCACGTGGTCACTATTGACGAAGTCGCTTTTCCTGCTTTTAACAGAGGTGCTCTCTCTCTCTCCAATGGCTGGGATGGTTTCGTTGTGTGGGGTGTATCTTTTCTTCAGGATGATCAAGACAGCAACACTTAAGAAGGTAGACATGGTGCCTAGAACAACAGTCAAGCCCAGATAGATATACCTGTGAGGCAAGAAGAATTTTGAATCCATTACTTGCACTGGTGCTTCTTTGCTTGGTTGTGTTGCCAAAACTCATAATTACCTGAATTACCATAAAATATGGATTTGCCTTAGCGCTAATTCTCAGATGCGATATTAGAACCATAGAATCATAAAATTCTAGAGTTGGAAGGGACCCCGAGGGTCTTCTAGTCCAACCCTCTGCAATGCAGGAATCTCAGCTATAGCATCATGAGAGAGGACCATCCAACCTCTGCTTAAAAACCTCCAAAAAAGCAGAATCACCAGCTTCCAAGGGAGTCAGTTGTACTGTCAAACAGCTCTTACTGTCAGAAAGTTTTTCCTGATGTTAAGTCGGAATCTCCTTTCTTGAAACCATTGGTTCGAGTTGAATATATAACATATATATATATACATATTATTATGTATTGGTGTTGCTGCTGTTATTAATTATTATTCATAATTAACAAGCATTATTTATTATTAGTTAATGGTAATAAAATTGCTATTGTTTATTGTATTTATTAATTATAAACTAATTTTAATATAATTGTTATATTTTGTTGATTGTGATTACTATTGATTACGATCATTATTTTTATTATTATTAGAATGAGCTTCTGAGAAGTTTACAGGTAGAAAAAACCCAGTTACACAAGCATCAAGAAGTAAAGATCCATACTGAGAACACACAATAAAACAATTCCATTGTTCTGTGTATGGTCTGAATCAATATGAATTGCACTCTGTTTTTCTTGCAAGGTCATTTACAGCACACCCTTCCACCAACTCTGCTGAGAGACCAGCTTCATCAGGCATGCTCCAGGTAATTTGAAAAACATATTCCACATCAATAGAATTAAGCAAATGCTTGCCTGCTAAATGGCTTTCCCATTTACAGGCAACCACCCACTTTGTGCTAAGAACATGATATTTGTAAGGCCATGAACTGTGGGCAACCCTTAATTTAGCAGAAATTGCTTGTTGACCTTAGAATTTAAAGGCCTTAGAATTTAGAGTCCTCCAGGTCTCTATCAGCATTTAGCTGGCTTAGATGTAGGCTGCCATGCCCTTCTGTGACTTCAGAGCAGCTAAGCCAATGGCAGCCAGAGGGGACTCCTCTTGCTTATTCACATCCTCTATAACATCAGAGGCGACCAGCAACCTACTGACGGCTGATTCCCAAAGGATCTAGGTTCTCCAGTTATCACTGAACTACAAGATGATTCTGAAGGGACGCGGGTGGTGCCGTGGGTTAAACCACAGAGCCTAGGACTTGCCGATCAGAAGGTCGGTGGTTTGAATCCCCGCGACGGGGTGAGCTCCCGTTGCTCGGTCCCTGCTCCTGCCAACTTAGCAATTCGAAAGCAAGTCATAGTGCAAGTAGATAAATAGGTACCGCTCCGTCGGGAAGGTAAATGGCATTTCCGTGTGCTGCTCTGGTTCGCCAGAAGCAGCTTAGTCATGCTGGCCACATGACCCGGAAGCTGTACGCCGGCTCCCTCGGCCAATAAAGCAGATGAGCGCTGCAATCCCAGAGTCGTCCATGACTGGACCTAATGGTCAGGGGTCCCTTTACCTTAAGAGAAGATTCTGAAGAGAGTTACAAATGCAGAATAGAAATATCAAATGTAGTTACCTGAATGCATTCGAATCGTACAGCCTGCAAGCTCCCTGACCTCCACACCTTTTGCTTCCCCATTTGAGGCATGTTGTGTCTATTGAGACTCCAAAGTACACTGGAGCCGGGATCCCTGCTGTACAAAGAAAAACAGATAAATATTAGGGGTCATGTCCCGGCTCACTCTGCCCATCAACTCCCCTGCCATTCATAGAGTCATATGTAGAATTGGAGAGTTGGAAGGGACGGTGTGGATCATCTCATCCAAGCCCCTGCAATGCAGGAATCTTTTGCTCAATGTATCACTTGAACCCACAACCCTGAGATTGACACCCCCCCCGAGCTTCCCCCTTCCCACCCCATGCAGCCACTAAGGTGACTTCATGCAAATCCAGAGTCATGATGTGGCACTGCAAATCCTCCAATGGGCATATCTGTCAACTTTTCCCTTTTCTTGCAAGGAATCCCATTCGGAATAAGGGAGTTTCCCTTAAAAAATGGGAAACGTTGACAGCTATGCCAATGGGTGCTGTTGCGAACCGCCCTGAGGCCTGCGGGTGACGGGCAGCGTACAAATTAAATTAACAACAACGATAAATGCAACAAACGAATAAATGCCAGGGAGACGCAAAGTCTGACTCATACTTACCAAGAACTCGGATGGCTAAAGTGTAGATGCCCAATGCAAAAGATTTGAGGTGTGGGTTGATGCATCTGAAATACACGAAGCACAAAACCTTCATTTATAAAAGGCATGACGTTCAAAACATATTGTTGCGGGAACTTAGTTGCAAAGGTGTGCTTATCTCAAGGAGGAACTGCCTGTACTTTTTCCAGGACGGTTGTGACTCAGCAAAGAAAGTGAGAGAGGCTTGCAGGGGTGGAAAGAGGGTTGGAGAAGCTAGTAAACTCTAGCCAGGGGTAGGCAGGCATCAGGCTTGTTGGATCTGCTTTATATTCCTGTATATGGCAGTATAATGAAAAGGATGTGATTCCTTTACATTCTAATTTTTAACCAATAATTTATCGGGGCGTTTGCACTTCTACATCTGCATAAACCTTTTCATATACGCTATATCTTTAAATAAAATTTCCTCCCCTTTAAAAATCCCAGGAGTTAGTCTTGGCATTATACTGCCACCTTTAGGATTCTAAGATGAATTACACTTGGAAGTTCAACATTATTAACCCCCCTCCCCCCCTTCTCAGATCTAATATGAAGAAATATTTTCAGAAACCGGCTTCCATCAGGTGGTCTGCTAGTCTTTTTTAAATCCCAAATGCTTAATTTAAAACCAGAAAGCTTCCACAGCCGAAGAAAGCCTTCAAATTTAAAAGAGGAGGGATTGGGGCATTTCCCAATCTTGCAGACGGTAACAAAAGAAATGTACCACCTGCAGTAAAACTTTGATCAGCTTATCAGGTGCACCTGCAAATCAGGGACCTAGGAAACAGCACACATTCGACAATGTGGATAGAATGTTGGTATCGCCCAATGGCGGCTCAGATGCGATATTAACCCTCCCCCTTGCAAATCCCAGTAACAGAAACTCTGTGAACCTATTATATGGCTGTAAGACACTTGCATGCAAAAGAAGACCAAGGGATCTCCCTCTGCCCCTGCCCCTAATGTTGCACTCGGCTAGCTCCACCCCCGATACCCATACATTTAGTGAAGGCCTATAATGAGAGATTTTGACTTGGTAGGTTCAGCCCTTGTTCCTACAAATGCCTAGGAACGTGGGTGGAGCTGTGGTCTAAACCACTGTGCCTCTTGGGCTTGCTGATCAGAAGGTCGGTGGTTCGAATTTCCACGATGGGGTGAGCTCCCATTGCTCAGTCCCAGCTCCTGCCAACCTAGTAGTTCGAAAGCACGCCAGTGCAAGTAGATAAATAGGTACCGCTCCGGCAGGAAGGTAAATGGCATTTCTGTGTGCTCTGGTTTCTGTCACAGTGTTCCGTTGCGCCAGAAGCAGTTTAGTCACGCTGGCCACATGACCCGGAAAGCTGTCTGCAGACAAACGCCGGCTCCCTTGGCCTGAAAGCGAGATGAATGCCGCACCCCATAGTCACCTTTGGCTGGAGTTAACCGTCCAGGGGTCCTTTACCTTTACTATAAATGCCTGGCTTTCACTCGGCAGCATTGTTTTCAAGTTCGCAGACCTTATTTGCCTCACAGCCCCACAATGTTCCGCATTTGTAAGAACTCAATCGTTTAGTGTGGCATGCCCTAAACTTTGGAACTCTCTGCCTATTGATACCAAGCAGGTGCCTTCACTGACCTCTTTTCTGTGCCTGCTAAAGACATTCTCGTTTTGACAAGCCTTAGAAAGCCTTAGAAAGTTGAGGTACTCTTAATAAGCTTCAGTATTTTACCTTCATAAGCAGGGTTGTAATTTTCTCTCAGCTTTCTTGTTTTAGCTTTCGGTGTAACGCTTTGAGGGGTTGCTGTTTTTGTTTTTGTTTTGCAATCAAGTGGCGCTTAAATTTAATGAAATGAATAAATAAATACAAAATGTTTTGTGGTTTCCTGCCCCACTTTCTACTGATAGCCACTGATATGGAATGCTGGAAGCGCTGTAACTTAAGTGGTAGAGCAGGGATGTCCAACCAGTAGATTGTGATCTACTGGTAGATGCCCAGCTGATCCTAGTAGATCACAGGATCCTTATCGTGTACAAAAAGTCACAGTCTCTTGGGAGTTGGATATGCCAGTAGAGCATCTGTCTTGCATACAGAAAGCTCCAGGTTCAATCCCCAGCATCTGCAGGTAGGGCTGGGAGAGAACCCAGCTTGAAATCCAGGAGAACCACTTTCAGTCAGTGTAGATTAAAGGTAAAGGTAAAGGGGCCCCTGACCATTAGGTCCAGTCGTGGCCGACTCTGGGGTTGCGGCACTCATCTCGCTTTATTGGCCGAGGGAGCCCGCATACAGCTTCCGGGTCACGTGGCCAGCATGACTAAGCCGCTTCTGGCAAACCAGAGCAGCATACGTAAACGCTGTTTACCTTCCCACTGGAGTGGTACCTATTTATCTACTTGCACTTTGACGTGCTTTCAAACTGCTAGGTTGGCAGGAGCAGGGACCGAGCAACGGGAGCTCACCCCGTCATGGGGATTTGAACCGCCGACTTTCTGATCTGAAAGTCCTAGGCTCTGTGGTTTAACCCACAGCGCCACCCGCGTTCCACCAGTGTAGATTAGAGTTTCCCAAACTTGGGTCTCCAGCTGTTGTTGGACTACAACTCCCATCACTCCTAATTAGCAGGACCAGTGGTGAGGGATGATGAGAACTGTAGCCCAAAAAACAGCTGGAAGCCCATGTTTGGGAAACCCTAGGGTAGATAAGTGCTGAGTTGATGGACCAATGGTCTGACTCAACTTCTCATGTCAAAAATGCAGAAAACCATCATGTCAACATCAGGCAAGTTCCACTAGATCCCAGCTGGAAGACCTGTTGCCCTCCAGGTGTTGCTGGAGCCCACCTCCCATAAGCCCCAGTTGGCTCAGCCAACAGTTAGAGATGGTGGGAACTTAAGTCCAAGAAAATCTGGGGGACCTCAGGCCCTCTGCTAGACAAAGATCAGGTGCTCTACTTTTGGGCTAGCTGTTGAGGAGGGGGAATTTGACACCAATGGCAAAGGATGCTTAAGGAAAAAAGTTACCACAAAGCATTAAAGCACACATTTTAGGATAAAATATGTTGTCAACTGTGTGCAATGAGATAATTTTTTTTTTTACATATTTAAATTAAGTTTTTGAAAAATCATGTATGCATGTGAATGTATGTGTGTTATATAAATAATATACATAAATATGACACACACAAAATGCAGATTAATGCTGAAATAGGATGGAATCAATGAGCACATGAGACAATGACATAGTCATAGACTGATCTGTCCACTCCTGCTAAATTTCCATTCCTACATAATTCCCTTTAGCGCTTGGGGATATGTATTGCGTTTAGTGGGAACGACTCAGCTATTCACCGTAGGAGTAAAATGTATCCAGGAGTCCCTCCAATGGACAGGGTGAAAGATGTGATTACTGATACAACCAGAAAATAGAGGAACATTTTGGGGCATTCGTTTCCTTTTTGGCACGGTCCCATCACAGCTGAAGACTGCCTTGACGACAATTCCGTGATCCCCACACAGCTGCAGTTATAAAATATCTGGAACGAAGCACGTAAAAATGTGGGTTCAGAAACTGGTGTATGGTGAATATGACATGCAAGGCTAATCATGGACCAAGTTACAGAAAATCAAGGCCTTTAAAAAAATAAGAATACAGTGGTACCTCGGGTTACGTACGCTTCGGGTTACATACGCTTCAGGTTACAGACTCCGCTAACCCAGAAATAGTGCTTCAGGTTAAGAACTTTGCTTCAGGAGGAGAACAGAAATCGTGGTCTGGCAGTGCGGCGGCAGCAGGAGGCCCCATTAGCTAAAGTGGTGCTTCAGGTTAAGAACAGTTTCAGGTTAAGTATGGACCTCCGGAACGAATTAAGTACTCAACCCGAGGTACCACTGTAAAACCAGCACATTGTTCCTAACAGTTTAAAAAGCAAAACATTCCCAAACACTGTGAGAAGTTTTTGAATGCTAGAAGGGCCACAGCGACGAGTTCAGGTAGCAATACACTTTTGCAAAAGTCCTGACATTACAGCTTGACGCGATCACATTTGACTAAGGTCAAAGCGGGCTGGATTCAAAAATGTCCTTCTATTCAAGAAAGTTGTCTTTCCAGGAATGAAATCAGGTTTGATACAGCAGAGGTGCTGTTTCCATGTTCCTCACGAACGCCATTTCCAACAATGTTTGAGGGCCCCTCCGTAACAATTTTTTAGGGGTCACAGAGAAGTGGGGAGCAGAGATTGGCACCCACTCCATCCATCACAGGAGCTGACTGTGTCTTATCCATGTCTCTGGATCCAACCAATGGACTTGCAATGGGGAGAGGTGCCGAAACAAGCACAGATATGAGCTACATTGTGCTGAAATCATAGAATCATAAGGGATCCTGAGGGTCATCTAGTCCAATTCACTGCAATGCAGGAATCTCAACTAAAGCAACCATGACAGATGGCCATCCATGGCTATAGGGCAGGGTGGAATCAACCTGGTCTGGGCAGGGCCAGTGCCACTTATAAGGGATCTTCAGCAAGGTGCCCTCTAGGTCTAACCAACCTCAGTATGGTGGATCCTACATCCTATTCCACTTTGATGGGTACCTCCCCTCACCAATAAAAAACCTTATGATGTTGCATCAGCAGACATGGACAACCATTTTTCTTTCCTTTCTTAGCTAGGTGTCAGGCTTCGGGGAATTCTATCCCTCCCCCAGTGGCAGCAAGAAGCAGAGAAAAACAAAGTAGAGTTCTTACTAATGAGTTTATTCAATCATCACAGTGAGAGACAAAGGAATGCAGTCAGTCTCCCGTTAATGGTGTTGCTCCAACTGAGTTCCTGCTCCCTCCTTTCCTAGCAACAGCACTTGCCCTTATGGTGGCCACCAGGGGCTAATTGTCTCTGAGTCCTTTGCTCTTGCACTCTCAATGAACGCTGGGTTCTGGGAGAAGGGGGGTCAGAAATACTCTCAGCTTGTCTTCTCCCAACACCTCCCAACTCTTCTGTCTCTGCCTGTCTCTGAGCTGTGACCTTCCTCGAACCACTGCTGTAATTCAATACTGCTTTCCTCTTCTCTGGAAGCTTCGGGAAGAGAAGTGAGGCAGGGGCCAGCTCCACCATTCCTCCTCAATCTTGTCCCCTTCAGTCCAGTCCCTGATGCTAGGGCAGTAGGGCTGGTGACATTTATAAGCAGAGCACAAAGACCACCAAGGCAGCAGACTACGAAGAGGACGTTCTGGAGAACAGGAGGTGTGGTGGGGTGTATGTGTGTGAGCTGCAGTCTCACTCTACCCTCTGTATCTGACTGCCACTGGTCCAACTGTTCTTGTAAAAAAAAGGGGGGGTTGTCAGCCCTTTTGATTCCTGACATTTGCAATTCCATGTTGGGAGCTAGTACTTGACCTGGAGCCAGCTTGATTCCATCATTGCAAATGAGCATGAGAAAGGTTGTGAGAATTGTTCCTTTACTTAAAAAAAATTAAATTGAATTTAAATATAACACATGAAAAGCGGTGTTGTTTTTTCAGCGAAGAAAGAAAAATGCAAAAAGGTGTAGTAGATCACTATACCAATTGTTAACTGTTAACAATTACCATTTTCACCTACTGCATTTCATAGAAATGAGTTCCAAATTCACTTACGGGACCGCCTCTCCTGGTGTGTCCCACAGAAGACCTTACGGTCTTCAAACAAAAACATCTTGGAGGTCCCGGGCCGCAGGGAGGTTAAGCTGGCCTCAACCAGAGCCAGGGCTTTTTCAGCTGTGGCTCCAATCTGGTGGAACGCTCTGTCACAGGAGACTAGGGCCTTGCGGGACTTGACATCTTTCCGCAGGGCCTGCAAGACAGAGCTGTTCCACCAGGCCTTTGGCCAGGGAACAGCCTGACCCCGTCCTTTGGCAATCCTCACAGAACTCTAGCCCAATGGTTGTCATTAATTTGATTTGAACTGATTTTATAATGAAATGATTTTAGAATGTTGTATTATTTTACTGTTGTTAGCCGCTCTGAGCCCGGCTTCAGCTGGGGAGGGCGGGATACAAATACATTATTATTATTATTATTATTATTATTATTATTATTATTCATGGAAAGTCTACATCTATAAGCAATCCACTCATAGGTGGCAAGCGTAGTCATGCCTACAATCCACTGAATAAATGGAACCATACACTTTTATTTTTCCAATGCAGCAACATTGACCTTTTGACCACAGTAAGGTCACAGAGAATCCATTGACATTGTCCAGTTGTCTAATTCGATATAGCAGGTATGTAGTTCAAAAAAATATTATCCTCTGAAAATTTTAGCTTTTTTTGTGCAGTCATATTTATATAATTCACCGTTTTCTCCCAAAACTTTGTGAGTATAGCACATTGCAAAAACATGTGAATTGGTCCTTTACTTATCAAAGTAGAGGAAGGACCAGTCAGAAAGAAGCCACTTACCATGTCTTTCCCACTTCCATTGGATGTTTTGCAACCAGCAAGGCAAGCCGAGATGTAGGTGATTCCGTTTTCCCCGCATATGGGATCCCATTCATTCTTGGAGCAGATGCAGCCCGAGTTGCACTCCGAAAACAGAGTTCGTTCCACCTGTTTGTGGCTGGAGAAAGGGGAAGGGAAAATAATTAGGAGAAGCTTTACGGAGGCTGCAGGAGGCTGCTGTGGGGACAGAAGCAGCTCTGCAGGTGGGGTGCAGCCACTATGCAAACTTTTGGGCTCTCCAGAAAGAAGAAGAGGAGGAAGAAGAGGAAGACAGCAAAGAGGTCTGCACGGTGCAAATGCACTGGAGGAGCCAGTCCCGCAGTCCTCCGGGTGCTTTTGCACCGCGCTGACCTCCCCACAGCCTCCCACCTGGTAAGCAACAGGGACTCACCAGCCAAAAAGATAGCATAGCAGCTATGCCCCACTCAGCAAGCTGTGTCTGTGTATGGAAGGAGGAGGGGAGAATTCTCCTTGCCACTAATACTCCATTGGATACAACCCAATAGTCACTGAATTTCCACTTATGTCACAGAAATAAGTGGGCAACCACAAAGATGAATGGGTAGTCAAATTGTACGAGTACTTGGAGCTCGCGAAGCTGACAGATGCAATAAGAGATAAACCTAAAAAGGTGGTGAACGAAGAATGGGAATGTTTAAATAATTATCTTGGGGATAAGGGTTCATCAATAAAGACCTGGTTATGTTTAGAATGATACCGCATAGGGAAATGTTCTCTGAAACCAAGATGAGGGATTCTATGGAATGCAGATAGAGAGAATTGATAAGAATAATGATCTTTTGTGACCTTGACGTACAATAGATGAGCCTTCTTGTGTTTTGGATCATTCCCCCCTTTTTTTTCTTTCCCCCTTTTTCTTCTTCCTTCCTTCTCCTTTCCTTTTCCTTTTTTCTTTCCCATAATGGCTTATGTTCTATGCCATGTACTTTGATATTTTTTGTAGTTTTTTAGCCTTTTCCATTATTAATATAAAGGATTTTTCTTTTGTAATCTTGGTTGTTTATATTTATCTGTATTTGTTTAAAGCAAGATAAAAAATATTAAAAAAAAGAAGTGGGCAACATTGCAGACTCCAGTAACCATTATCCCCAGCCAGCGTGGTCAACGGAAATGTAATTGATTAATATACAGAGGAAGGTGTCTCATATGGAGTCAGGCCATTGGCTGATCTAGATCAGTACTGTCAACACTGGCTGGCAGTGGCTCATCAGTGTTATCTTTCCCAGTGCCACCTGGAGATGTCATGGATTGAACTTGAACTTCTGCATCCAAAACAGACGCAGCTATAGTCCTTCACCCAAAGGCTGTGGGGCAGTTTGCGACACAAAGCCACAAGAACTACACAAGAACTGAAAAGCAAACTTTTCAATACAACCCGTAAAAACAGCAGCAAACTATTCATAAAATTCCAACCCTTGATGTTCTCCACATCCAAAAGCCTGATGGAAAAAAGCATGTCTTCCACCTGTTTTCTAAAAGAAAACAATGGTGTGCTAGGTGCCCATAATTTCATTGACGGCCCCATTCACACCAAACATTTAAATTGTGATGATACAACTTTAAACAGTCTTGGCTTATCCCAAAGAATTCTGGGAGGTGTAGTTTGTTAAGGGTTCTGAGAGTTGTTTGGTTGCTCCTAGACATCACATTCCCAACAAAGGTCCGTAAAGTTAAAGCTATGGTTTTCCCAGTAGTGATGTATGGAAGTGAGAGCTGGACCATAAAGAAGGCTGATTGCCGAAGAATTGATGCTTTTGAATTATGGGGCTGGAGGAGACTCTTGAGAGTCCCATGGACTGCAAGAAGATCAAACCTATCCATTCTGAAGGAAATCAGCCCCGAGTGCTCACTGGAAGGACAGATCCTGAAGCTGAGGCTCCAATACTTTGGCCACCTCATGAGAAGAGAAGACTCCCTGGAAAAGGCCCTGATGCTGGGAAAGATTGAGGGCACAAGGAGAAGGGGACGACAGAGGATGAGATGGTTGGACAATGTTCTTGAAGCTACTAACATAAGTTTGACCAAACTGCGGGAGGCAGTGGAAGACAGGAGTGCCTGGCATGCTCTGGTCCATGGAGTCACGAAGAGTCGGACACGACTAAACAACAACAATAAATTCCCCTCACAGGAATACAATTACCAAATCTGTTTTAACAAGCAGTGCCTGGGGAATTCTGCCCCTTGTACTGTGGTTCCCAGTTGTCCACTAGGCAGCGCCAAATCCACACAAGGGATTTTTACAGTATATGATGTCATCATGGCATTGCACGATTGACAAGTGGGTTTCACAGCCCACCTGTCAGTGTTTGTCTGTGGGGTGGGAACCAGTCTTTATCTAGTCAAAAAGTTTCCTTACGCCTGGCTCTAGGTGCACAGGGCTATGAATGTCTAGGACTAGGCTGCAGAGGTTATCAGAAAATACTCCAGAAATAGTGCTTCATCGAAGAATGGCCAATAGCAGCTCTGCAAAGCCATGTGACACTCTATATTAGTCTCTTTTGATGGGGTCACTGCCAACAGTGATTACCACAACCTTTCAAAAGATTACAGGAAGGCCTATGGACTGGATATTGATTCAAGCTCTGTTTCCTTGTCCCCCGCCTCTAATGTCGAACATGCTCAACAAGCCTGCTTTCAAGGACATGACATCCTTTTATCCGAGAAAAGCTTTTCCATGTTTACTGTTCCAGGCGCTGTCATCAACCTCTCTGAAGGCACAGATGCTAACATCTCCAGTACACCAGAGGCTGTGTTTATGAGACCAGGGGTTGGATGAGGAAATCGTTTTTCCTTTTGGGATACTGATCCCGGAGTCAGAATTTTAGAAGGCTTATATAATGTGTGTATGGGGGGGGGGCATCTTTTGAAAAGCTATTTACCGTCTAACTAAAGCCCCTTCTGCTCTGTACATTTAAAGCAATGAAATACCACTTTAAAGAGTTATACCTTCCCCAAAACAATCCAGGGAATTGTAGTTTGCTGAGAGTGCGGAGAATTGTGCGGAGGCCCCTATTCCCCTCACAGAGTCACAATTCCCAGAGGGATTTAACAATCAACCCCTCTTCCCAGGGAACTCGGGGAATTGTAGCTCCGTGAGGGGAATAGGGGTTTCCTTGTAGCTCTTGGCAGCACCCTTAACAAACAACAGCTCCTAGAATTCTTTGAGGGAAGCAGTGACTTTTTTAAAAAGCAGAGACATCACCTTGCCAACAAAGGTCCATATAGTTAAAGCTATGGTTTTCCCAGTAGCGATGTATGGAAGTGAGAGCTGGACGATAAAGAGGGCTGATTGCCAAAGAATGGATGCTTTTGAATTATGGTGCTGGAGAAGACTCTTGAGAGTCCCATGGACTGCAAGAAGACCAAACCTATCCATTCTGAAGGAAATCAGCCCTGAGTGCTCACTGGAAGGACAGATCCTGAAGCTGAGACTCCAATACTTTGGCCACCTCATGGGAAGAGAAGAGTCCCTGGAAAAGACCCTGATGTTGGGAAAGATGGAGGGCACAAGGAGAAGGGGATGACAGAGGACGAGATGGTTGGACAGTGTTTTCGAAGCTACCAGCATGAGTTTGACCAAACTGCGGGAGGCAGTGGAAGACAGGAGTGCCTGGCGTGCTCTGGTCCATGGGGTCACAAAGAGTCGGACATGACTAAACTACTAAACAACAACAACAACAATTGTTGGCATCTGTCTGTCTTGATAGGCAATGGAGTGAGCCTCTGAGGGTGAAATCAAATTGCTGCATTAGCAGCACCAAAGTGACCTTCCTGGGGTGCAAGCCTTGGAAGTGTGTATGGAAGTCTTGGATTGCCCATATGACAAGACCCCCTCTCTCAACCTTGCTGATGTGATCCAAAGGAAAGCAGAGCAAGACATTTGGCACCAACTTGGCTGCAGGAGTTGCCAGAAGGAGGCGTACAAGGCACCATCCAAACGTCTTAGGGACTCCACTCCAGATTTGTGCAGAGTTTACTCTTTAGATAAGGCGAAGGAGGTTGAGGATTAGAGTTTTCCTTCTCCTAGATGGGCTACATTTCCAGGTTGACAAGCCCCATCTGCTCCTCATTTCCCTCTGCAGGATATGCAGAAACCACTGTCTTAAATGTTGGACCCACTATTGGTCTCATCCACTACATCTGTCATGCATGCAGGGGAAGCCCCTAACTCCCCAAACTTGGCCCTCCATATCTTTTGGGACTACAACTCCCATCATCCCCAGCTAACAGGACCAGTGGTCAGGAATGATGGGAATTGTAGTCCCCCCAAAAAACTGTAGCCCTGGGGATTATCTAATTGATTTTTAATTTTTTAATTGTATTTTATACTATATTTTATGCTGCTTTTATAATTAAGTGTTTTTAAGTGTTTTAAATTTGTTGTTAGCTGCTCTGAGCCCGGTTTTTGAACCAGGAAGGGTGGGGTATAAATAAAAAATTATTATTATTATTATTATTATTATAAAACATCTGGAGGGCTGAGTTTGGGGGTGCCTGCCCTAACTCATCAAGAGTTCAATACCTATTAGCTACCCTCACTTGATTAGCTGCCCAGTCGAAGCCCTTCCTGTGTTGTTGCATGCTGACAGCTTCTAGGAGCCACAGGTGAGGGCTCAGTGGAGTGCAGGATGGGGACCAAAGGTGGACGAACTACCCCAGAAGGAGCATGACATGTTTTCCCTTAAAGTGGTACAAGAGTGCTCTAAATGCATGGTGCTGGTACTAAGACTGTCTGAAAAATTCACATGGCTGAGAACACAACCGGTAGATCCCACACATATCAGCTCTGTGTGCTGCAGTTCCTAAAGGAAACTTTAGTAGCAGTGAAAAGCAGCACATTAGCTGCAGTATATTTCCAAAGCGGGTTTTTTATTTATTTACTAAAATTTATATACCACTGAATCAGAAAAAAGCAAAACCCTATCTCTAAGCAGTTACAAAATATTCATTAAAAACAGCAAGAAAATCATAAAATAAATATAGATAAAATCCACAGATTTTTTAAAAACACATGTATGTAATAAAAGCACATGTATTGGTAAGCTAACCTGAACCGTTTTTTGCAGACATCAAAAACACTACAATGAAGGCATTTGCCTAATCTCAAAAGGCAGGGAGTTCGAGAGAGCAGGTGCCGCTACACTAATGAAAAATAAGTTCTTGCCAGTGCAGATTGAAAGTGATGAGGCACTTGGAAAGCTGTGAGTTCCCTAGATCAAAGCGGTCAAGTTAGTCCACACAAGTACAGTCATAACTCATGTTACGTCCGCTTCATGTTACGTTCTTTCAGGTTACGTCCCGCAGCGACCCGGAAGTACCGGAAAGGGTTACTTCCGGGTTTCGCCACTCGCGCATGCACAGAAGTGGCGAATCGCAACCGCGCATGTGCAGCTGCACCGCTACGGGTTGTGCTCTTTTCATGTTGCGAACGGGCCTCTGGAATGGATCCCGTTCACAACCAGAGGTACCACTGTATAAGAAGGAGGTGCTCTTGAAAGCCCATTTAGAACAGGATTTCACCATAGCCACTCCCCAGCCCTGCCCAGTTGAACATACCCTTTGTAGGAGACGGTCAGGCCTGCCACGTCAACATTCTTGCAGCCGATGGCAAACAGCAGCAGCAGGAGGAGGTAGCCAAAGAAAGAGGATCCCAGGGACAACTTGGCTGCCCCCAAAACGTTCAGCCTGAATTTCTTCATGATCAGCCCTCCGGAGAATATCCCCAAAGCCACAGCAGGGATATTGATGAGACCTACAGCCCCTCAAACAAAGAGGAAAATCAATACGGTGTGGTCTCGTTTTTTGCAACCTACATAATTCCCCTGAAAAATTCTGGTAGCCCAATAAAAAATTTAAAAAGCAGCCAGTACCAGTTACTGCTCCTTCCGTAGGAACACAACACAAAGGAATATAGAGAAATACAGAAACACGGCTCACATAATTCTGTATGTAATTATATAGAATTTCCCAAAGGCAAAATGTAAAAATAAGACATTTACATTCCACCAAGTGTCCGTTTCGTTAAATATAGTCTTTACATAATGCATGCAATATCAAAATCAGGTACAAGTGTATGAGTGTTATTCATTCAATAAAGAGCAAAGAATCTCTACAAGTGGTGTTGTTGTTTAGTTGTGTCCGACTCTTTGTGACCCCATGGACCAGAGCACGCCAGGCACTTCTGTCTTCCACTGCCTCCCGCAGTTTGGTCAAACTCATGCTGGTAGCTTCGAGAACACTGTCCAACCATCTCGTCCTCTGTCGTCCCCTTCTCCTTGTGCCCTTTCCCAACATCAGGGTCGTTTCCAGGGAGTCTTCTCTTCTCATGAGGTGGCCAAAGTATTGGAGCCTCAGCTTCAGGATCTGTCCTTCCAGTGATCACTCAGGGCTGATTTCCTGCAAGTGTACTTGTTGCTAAAGGATAATCCGCAGACTGGGGGGGACCTATTCACATCCCCGGGAGTGCCTCAATCACCCAAATTGCAGTAGCAGTGCCTCAGCTGTGTAAAAATCATTCAGTTCTCTTTATTGAATGAATGGTCATTTGGCTTTGAGACACATTCCGTATTGCACTTGTACATGATTTTGGTATTGAATACCTTCTGAATTGGACCCAGAGGGAAACGCTCGTGGAGCAAATCATGTCAGTTTTGCCTTTATGCAATAGTCGAGTTCCTGCACACACTCAGAGGCCCTTCTCTAGTCTCTACCCAGGCAAGCAACTAGCATTTTAACAGAGTTAAGACACATTCCAGCCAGGAAGAAAGGTTCAGAGAGGGTATGAAACACAGCAAGTAAGAAATGTGGCCTGGGGGGAGTTCTCAGGGTCAAATAGAGAAGCTGGGAGGGCTGGAGTTGGTCCAACAGGTTGATCCCCCCCAAAAAACTCTCAACAACTTTGATGGGTAGATTACTGCCAGTTTTTTAAAAGTGGGAGTAGATCGCAGTCTCTTGGAAGTTGGACATGCCTGCACTAGAGGATAATTGAAGTTTGGATCCCAGGCGCCATTTTGATTCAAGATGGTGACTTTGGTCTGACTTCACTCCTTTCTTTGGCACGATGGGTCCAAGCTTATAAATTACCGTATTTTTCGCTCCATAAGACACACTTTTTCTCTCCTAAAAGGAAGGGGAAATGTGTGTGCGCCTTATGGAGCGAACGCAGGCGGGAGGCAGGCGGGAAAAGCCCTTGAGAGCGTGGCCACGTCAGTCCCTTCTCCCTCCTTGGGGAAAAGCCCGCAAGAGCCGCGCACTCTTTAAAGGGTGCGCGGCTCTTGGGGGCTTTTGCAGGAGGTGGGGGAAGGGACAGAGGGCAGCCCCTCAGTCCCTTCCCCCACCTCCTGGAAAAGCCCCCAAGAGTCACACTCCCTTTCACGAGCCGCGTGGAGCATGTGTGCAGCTCTTGGGGGCTTTTCTCTCCCCTGGGGAAAAGCCTACAAGCGCCACACACATGCTCCATGCAGCTTGTGAAAGGGAGCGCTGAGCAGAGCCTGGAATGCATACAGGCTCTGCTCAGCGCTCCCTTTAAAAATATTTTTTTTCTTGCATTCCCCCTCTAAAAACTAGGTCCATCTTATGGTCAGGTGCATCTTATGGCGCGAAAAATATGGTCCATTTAAAAATCACAATATGTTTTGGTAGCACTGGGCACCCCCTCTAGTTTTAATATACTTTTATAGTTGCTGAATGTGGAAATATCTGAGGCGGACCATTTTTTCTCCACCCCCGATCCCCTCTCATCTCCCTACTGCCCAAAGACAACATATCGGGACCTGTCTGGGTGTCTTGCATTATTATGCTATAGCAGTCTTTGCCAAACCCGTCCCTACTGGATGTCTTGAGCTATAACTCCCATCAGCCCCAGCCAGCATGGTCAACAGTCCAAAAAGTCTGGAGGGCACCAGATCAGTGACTGTTGTCCTATAGTAACAGCAATAAACCTTTTGCCTATTCTTCTCAAGTGGCACTTCCTCTGCTTTGCATAATCTTAAATTGTTTCACACATAGCTAGCGGCTTAGCACTAAGAAAAGCTTGACATACAATGGAAGGCACTGTGCTATGGGCAATAATTGCTCCTGAGTGCCTTTTCTCCTCCTAAACAGCACTCGCAGATTATACTAGTTGAATAGGTGCCATGCCAAGAAATTCCAACTTCCATCTTCGAGGAACGAGAACAACAAAGTGTAACGCAGCTGGTCCAAAAATAAAACGCTTGGGTTGCATCCAACTAAGTTCTGCTCAAAGCAGATCCACTAAAATTAATGGACCCAAGTCCATCAGGGCTATTAATTTCAGTTGGGTGCATTTTGAAGAGAACTAGCATGGGCTGCAACCCTTGGTATATATAAGAAGCTCCATGTTTGCCTCACAATTCTGCAGCCTTTGAAATATCCAAAGAAAGCTCTAACCTGAAAACCAGGCTTTGTTTCCATACCTAGCTTCCATTCAGCAAAGCTAGCACAGAGTGGCATCTTTTTACATGCCGTACTTTTCTGTGTATCAGACGAGGTGGGTTTTTTTACTAAAAAATAAGGTTAAAAATTTGGGCTTGTCTTATACACAGATAGTGCATGGGGGGACGTGTGATTGGCTGCTGCCACGATCCGGAGATTGTCAGTGGATATTGGGTGTGCTATTGGTGGCTGCGGCAAGGGTTGTTGTTGATTGGCTGCTGCTGCATCAATTGGGCAGACAACTGCTGGCTTCTACCGGCGAGGGAACAGACGGTAAGGGCAATCTCCCCTTATTTTCTTAATTTGTAGTCCCCCAAAGTAGGGGGCATCTTATACACGGGGGCATGTTATACGGTATCATTTTGAGAAAGCACGGCATTCATACCTATGACAAAATTGGTCTTCGAAGATGATTGCCCAAACTGCTGCTCAATGTATTTTGCTTTGTAAGTCACCATACCAATGAGAGAATTGAACTGGGTGATGCTGGAGCAGAGGTATAAAAAATACACTGGATTCCCAAAGAGGCTTTTCAGTGACGGCAGGAAATCTGGAAAACAAAACGGTGGCCTGCTGTTGACAAAGTGACTGGAAAACAACATGCAATGCAAAATTGTTTTCAAAGACCTCGCAGGATTCAGAATGTTCCAACACACACTAAGCTCAATGCAATGTGGTTCAGCCACATCCTCAATGTGCTCATTTGATGGTTCATCACCCAAGGGTAGGAAAGCAAGGCAGGGTAATTAGTAGAGACTGTTACCAAACTAGCTGATTTGAAAAAAAGAGATTTTATAAAGTCTGAATGTGACTCAATTCACCAGCCACATGGCCTCACCTCTAGCCATCTCGAGAAACTTCACTTGCTCCTGGTAGGTGATGCGGTGTTCTCTGTTATCTTCGTTGATGAACTTGGACTGCTCAGAGGAAGTGCTGGAATCCTTTCGGGTGTCTGGTCTTGGAAGATGTTTCGGTAAGAACCAGAAAGGGATAGCGGCAAGGATGCTGACCACCCCGGCTATTAAATAGCCAAGCCACCAAGCTCCTACCCATTGGGAGTCCTTGTGAGTTATGCTTATGCTATCTGGGGAGGAAGAAATGAAGACGTCAGCTACCAGTAGGAACAGTTCAGTGGTCAGAGTGTCAAGACTAGGACGGAGGAGACCAGGGTTCAAATCTCCACTTGGCCACGAAGCTCGCTGGACGACCCAGGGCCTTTCAGCCAAACCCACCTCAGAGATTGGGATGTGTTCAACAGACTCATTGCAGCCTTGCTCAGACTCACCCATGTCTACAAAGCCGATGTCAACATACAGTGTGGCGCATAAGGATCCCAGGAGGAAGCCAAAGATGGGGCCTATTATTGCAACCGTCTGCACACACCCTGAGAAAAGGAAGCAGAACAGGCACATTAGACTGAAAAGTTACACTTTGACCTGGTCAATATAAAGGTAAAGGGACCCCTGACCATTAGGTCCAGTCGTGGCCGACTCTGGGGTTGCGGCGCTCATCTCGCTTTATTGGCCGAGGGAGCCGGCGTACAACTTCTGGGTCATGTGGCCAGCATGACTAAGCTGCTTCTGGCGAACCAGAGCTGCGCACGGCAATGCCGTTTACCTTCCCGCCGGAGCAGTACCTATTTATCTACTTGCACTTTGACGTGCTTTCGAGCTGCTAGGTTGGCAGGGGCAGGGACCGAGCAACGGGAGCTCACCCCGTCGCGGGGATTCGTACTGCTGACCTTCTGATTGGCAAGTCCTAGGCTCTGTGGTTTAACTCACAGTGCCACCCGTGTCCCAGACCTGGTCAATAAGAATGGACAAACCATCTGGTATGACAGAGGGAGAAACGAGAAGAAATACGACCTGGTTTGAAAAACAAAATACCAATGTAAAAGGCTGCGCTCTCTTCTGTGGCGTGGTCATCAATGTACGCAATACCCAAAGGCTGGATAGGGGTTTCCCCAATTCCACGTAGCAGATTTCCCAGCAAAACGTAAATCCACATGGAAATTCCAGCTTCCTTTTCGCACCCTGTTCACACAAACAAAAGAGACCGATGTTTGTATTTTGACATCATTCTCCCACAATACACTCAACTAATGGGACTTTCAACATATACACACCCTTTCCCATCAAATCTCACCAAAACAGCTGCTAAAAAGAATCATTGCACCAACATTATATTTCCTGGAGAAGTGCTGCCATTATCTTTTTATCCTTACCTGCATGGATTTGCGTCTGAGCTCTTTCCAAGACTGAGACAGGCAGCTGGTTCTGATCCTGGAGACACGGGGAGATGCTGACAGTTGAATTGGAGGAGGAAGAAAATATCTCATACCTATAGCTGTGTAAAAACCAACAGTTTCTTTACAGAGTTACCACCTGTTACACGCTGGAGGGGGGTTATATATTTAAGCTTATTGCAGGCTCCTGTTGAAGGCTACCTGAATTGAAGGCAAGGGCTACACTGAAACAAATAGTTCATGTATATGAACTGTGGTGGTGAACCTCATTCCGCCTAATGGTAGAGCCGGCCTGAGTCTTGGTCACCGTATTGTACCCTGTACTGAATTTCCACAGCTGTCAACATGAGCTGCATGGTGCCACAAGTGGCAAAACTGGAATCCCATAGGGAGAGAATCTTATTTTCCATTCTAAGTCACCCTCATATAAATTGCTTCCTATAAAAAGACTGCAAAACATTGCAGTATGAAATGCAAGCCAGCCAGACATGCCCCCTTTTAAAAGAATACTCTATTCCATTTATTTTTCCACCTGTTTTTCTGGGTGGGGGGTCCCTCCAACAGCCACTCAATGTTACATGGCCATTCAGCACTCTCAGACTGTTCTCTGGCTCCCCCTCCCCGTAGATTTTTTCAATGTTGTTGTTCTGTATAAGACAATGATAATAAAGATTATCGTATCGTATCGTAGCGTATTGTGCCCTTCCCCCCAAGTTACCCATAGTTCTGCAGCCTTGGAGTTTCCCTGAGCATGAATGGTGCAATTTTATCTACACAAGCAATGGCACTCACCCCTGAACTTTGGAAACAGAAGGAGCGATTAAGCTCTACACATTTGTTTGCGAAACGGCAGCTACAAATTGTGGCGTACTTACTGTCCCATAAAGAACTGCGGCATGGCTATCAAAAATGTTCCGAATGACATGATCAGGCAACCGGCTCCGATGATCTTTGGCCTATGAAGTTTGGCTCCAAAGTAGCTGACCAGGATTATTATTAAAAGGTTCCCTTTAAGAAGCAAGGAGAAACTAACTTAGGCACACTTAGCTCGTCATCTGCCTATATAGCAAAAATTTTTTGCTGTGTGTGTCACATACCAATTTCAAAGCTGCCATCTATCAGGCCAACCAGGGACGAAGGGATATCAAATCTTTTTTCTATTTGGGTGATGGTACTTTTCAGGTAACTTCCTGACAGAGCTTTCGCAAAGTAAACAAACGATAATGCAGCAAGAAAAATCTGCAATGAGCAAACAGACGAGGCAGCGCATTAAAAATGTTTCACCAGTGTTGGATTGATTGATTGATATACCACTAGATGGCTTCTAAGTGGTTCACAGTTCTAAAATCAATCCATTTTTTTTAATAAAAAAAATACAAAATAACAATTACATGATCACATCAAAATTTAAAAATAACATCAATTTAAAAATAACTATGAAAATTCATTAGGATTTTAGTGTGAATTTATTGTACTATATGAACATTTCCCCATATGTAATCTTCCCTAATATGCACAATTAGGTACTGAATCTTTCTCATTCTTCCAGCAGCAGGAATTAAATTAAATAAAGGTCTGGTATCTGAAGGATGCCTAGGAGCAGAGATTCCTGGGCACGGGGGGCAGATCCAAGAGTTAAGACCCAGTGGCAAATTCCCCAGGTTTCCTGGGGTATAAAGCCCAGTTTCTCCTGGGTCTGGTGTGGAGTGGGGTTGGGAGCAGGGCCAGTGAGGGGTGTGGCCTGGGGAGAAGGGGTGTGGCTAGGGAAGGGGTGTGGTGTAGGAAGAGTCCTGAGGGCCAGGTAGAGTGGCTTGGCCCCTGGGCCTGAGTTTCCATGTCTCTGACCTGTTAAAATAGCTGAAATCCACTGACGACAACAACAAGAAGCCTCCTTTTTTTTCTGGTTAGCCAACAATCCTATATGCAGCGCAGAGAGAGCGCCAACCCTGGGGAAATTGCTGGCGCTTTAATATGATTGTCTGTCTATTTTTGGAGGCAATAAGCCGCTTCCTTAATGGCTCAGTGGCAACTGAAGGTTTATTCAGTGAAGGAATCGGATTACCTCTGAAGCAGGCAGAGGGGGGAATGATCTTATTTGTCTCATAATGCAAGTTTAATGAACACAACTTGCTTTTAATTCTCCAAACCGGGGAAGTAGTTAAGTGCCACTCCGCACCGAGACTTGGACGAGACGATTTGGTCTCTTTGTGTCAGCGTGTGCTCTGGTGCCGGGAAAAGGAGTTGACCTCTGTGTGCAAGTTTGGTGTGTGCATGTCTTGCAATACGACTCACCCGCACCAACGATAACGCAAGTTCAGAGATGCCTTGATGCTTTCCAAAGTCTGAAGTGCTGTTTTGCATCGGCCAAGCTGAACATCTGACAGGCACTGAACAATTCCTTCCCCCTACTCACTTCTGTAGTACCAGACTGGCAGCAAACTTCAGTTTTGGCTCCATTTTTATTGGGACAGACATAGGCCGCTCTCACACCATACGTTGAAAAACTATATTACCAGTTTCGACAGCCGCAACTTCCTCCAAAGAATTCTGGGCAGTGTAGTTTGTTAAGGGTGCTGAGACTTCTTAGGAGACCCATATTCCCATCACAAAGCTACAATTCCCAGTTTGGTTGGGATTTATAGCTCTGTGAGGGGGTAAACAACAGTTCGCAGGAGAAAATATGAACTTTACATGGATGCTGTGATTGGGATTGGAAGCTTTGTATTTGAGTTTGGCTGTAAGAAGAAAAGGCTTGGCTGAAAAGTATCAGGGAAATAATGTGCCCAGTGACGACTTCTCAGCCCCTTCAAATGAGCCAAGGCCACAATCCACAGCTCTTTTATACTATACCTTCATTCCTCCACAGATTGTTCCTTTCTCCTTCGAAGCTGAGGATTCTGATCTTGAAGAAGACCTGTCAATGGGCAGGATTGTGTTTTTTGAAAAAAGCTGAGTGTTTTCTTTGGATGAATTCTCCATCTGAATTTTCCCTTTCAATCAATCTGAAAGACATAAATAAATGGTTTTATAGACCATTTTAATTATTATTACTTCCAGGGAGATCTTCCTGTAATGTGAAAGATGTTTCCTAAGGAATCACATTATCAACTGAACACCTGTGTGGTACAGAGCATTTCCGGATGGGACATGCTCCAAGGTGCTCACTTTGCACCTGGAAATGCACTTTTGAGTATGTATAGGAGGAAGAATGACCTGCCCCCAGGGGACACTCTCCCTGTCGTGTTTCTGCAGGAGTCACCAACTGGAAGACTCATTCAGAGATCCACTGGACAACCTCTTCAGAGGGCAGACACTTCTGCTGCAGCTCAGCCTTAGGAGTTGTTAGGTAGATTTATTGCTTTATTCTTGGCGTCCAGCACACTTCCCCCTGCGGGCCTCTGCAGGTCGTAAAGCAATTAGCAGAATTGCACAGCGTCCGTGTTGAAAGGGCAGTAAAACAAGTCCCACACGTTTCTTCTGTTCTAGTAGCACTTTATTTGCTCAAAAGTAGCATATTTACAATTCATATACACCATCTGATTCAAGCTGCATTTTGCGTCCTTCTCTCTCAGCTTGCAGCTGCGGAACAGCTGCTTTCACTTTTCACTCAGCTCACAGCATTCCAAGCTGCTTTCGTCACGTCCTGGTAGCAGAGGATGGTTAGCCCCCCTGTGGGGACTAGTTGGACACAGAGGAATGGTTGGAGGAACCACCAAGCAAAGATGGCTTAGAGCCTGTGGAGTGGGGAAATGACGAGTGATCAGATGGAGAAGAGGGAGAAGGCTGGGAGGAGGAGGTGTCGGAAGCTGAAGAGGTAACAGAACTTAGTGAGCTGGGAGAGTCAGTGGCAGACAGAAGTCCAGAATCAAAGGCAGAAGCTGAAGCAGAAGAAGGCCAAGAGGCAGAGATGAGTCCAACTGGTGAAGAAGCACGGGTGTCTCCCCCTCCTGCTGTGACAAGCTCCCCTTCTCCCTGGTCACCTAGAACTAGAAGAGGCATGAAGATGGTGGAGGAGAGGTTGAATTCACATAGGCACAGTCTCTGATTGCTTGGGGGAAAACCCTGGAGAGGTGGGAACTTAGATGGCTGTGGGGAGATAGGGACTTTCAGTCTCGGCAACTGATCCATGGGGCAAGACCTACTGGGGGTGAGATGCTGTGCTCATTAAGACTGACACTCCGACAAGTCTATGCAGAGTTCTTGCGTGGCTCGCTCCTGTCACCTAGTCACACCAGATGCAGAGATGGAGATAGAACAGCTTGTCTCCAGCTGAGGCTGATAGGAAATATTCAAAGCCAGAGCCGATAATCATGCAGAGACACAGCAGACAGGCTCCTTTGCAGGGATTATAGCTCAGTAGCAGAGCACCTGCCTTGCATTCAGAAAGGTCTCGGGAGCAATCCCAGCTACTCAAATTAAAATAAGGTAACAAGTGATGAGAAAGGCTTCTTTTGAGACCTGGTAAGCAGAATAGACAATACTGAAATAGGTGGATACATCATATTATTGGAATATCTATAGGCTGCGCTTTCATAAAAATACAGCAAGGTGGTATAGAGCATACAAAATTATAATGTCAATAAAGACACCAGTGAAAACTTCAATAGATAGCCTGACAAAAATATAGCTGTTTTGTCCCTTCACAAAACTTTGGCTCATACCACGGCGACTTCTTGCTAGACTACTGCAACCTTCTTCTCCCGGGTCCACACACCTTCACTTCTCATGTCTATCCAGCACTCTGCTGAAAAGATAATTAAGCCTCCCTTGCCACTCTGAAAACGTGGTGTCCCACCTAAAGTCCCTACCCCAGAAGTTCCCAAACTGTGGTTTGAATGGGAAGCGGTTTAGCCAAGAAGCAAACAGAAGGACAGAGGGTCTATGGACTTTCAAAGAGTGGAGGAGCTCCATGTTTTTTTAGAAAGAACCTTTAACAATTTAAAATCCTATTATTATTATTATTATTATTATTATTATTATTCACAAAGTAAACTTCTTTGAATAGTTCCATCTTTTGAAAACATAAACATTAATAATAATTGTTAAAATATTGTGGACCGTACTGTGATTTTTGTAAGAATCTGTGTTTTGTTAGGCATTTCTTACTATCATTGCATCTGGTGTGTGTGTGTGTGTGTGTGTGTGTGTGTGTTAAATAGATACTGTGTTTATGTACTGACTTTTGTGTTCAGCGTTGCAAACCTCCCTGCAATCTTTGGACGAAGAACTGAAATGCAAATTTAATAAAAGAAGAAGCAAATAAATAAATTGTGGTTACTGGTGTTATTAATTCTAAAGGAACACTTCAGAAGATTGCAGTTAATAATGATAATAGTAATAATAATAATAATAATAATAATAATAATAACTGCAACCATGATCAAGATACATTTCTAAAGTGCCATCAATGTACACTGCCCTTTAAAGGATAACAGGATTTTTTTGTTTTTGTATTTGTTTAAAAATAAATTTTAAAATTGTTCTAAAAAAAGAAAAGGAGCAGGTCCCTGCCTCCAAGGAGCTTACCATACAGCAGTGCTTTCGCTAAAAATTCTAAAGTATCAGTGAGAACGCCAAAGGCACAGGAGCTTTCCATTCATGCAGTGGCTTTCACGTTAACTAGAATCATTTTCAAGCTTTTGCCACGACCAATAAACGATTGCAAATGATAGCTTCCCCATTCCCTCCTTCTCGTTCTTCGGCACCAGCGTGACAACAACTTTCTCTAAAGAACCATTCGTTTCTTTGTAAGCACTGACATTATAGAAAAAGTCATATTTCTAGACAGTCCCCTTAGTTGATTGGATTGAATGAAATGAATGAATAAATGAATGAATGAATGTGTGTGTGTTTTCTTACTCACAGGTGATGAGAGGAGAAAGGCCTCTGTCCACAAAAGAAGACAGACAACTTTTGAGAAGAGGATGAAGGCAGAGTGGATGAAGACACAACCTTACCTTGGCAGTAGCGACCTCCAGTCCCTGGTAGTTCTTTTCTGGGGGTGAACTCAGAAACAAATATGTATCTCTTCTCCTAGCCTTAAAATGGAAGAATCTCGAGCGAAACCCCAGTCTGAGACACGATGCAGTGAGGTAGATCTTATATCTGGAGGTAGAAAGAGGAGACAAGAAAGACCGAAGGGGTGGGGAGAACAGTTCTTTGTTTTGCCTGTGTGGTCAGTATCACCCTCTCACTCGGTCTTTTCTTGCTTACTCCTCCACCTTCAAGTCTGGTCTTTCTTCTCCCCCACTACAAATTCTGGGACACACAAAGGACATGAGCAAAGCAGGAGCTGGAATTCTTCACAGCGGAAATGGTTTTAAAAGTTCTTGAGATCTTTCTCTGCGACATGCAGCAAGTTGGACAGCGTGCATGTGATAAAGCTTTCTTTCTTTCTCTCCCTCTCTCTCCCTCTCTCTTTTTCTTCTAAAGCCCTGATCTTCTTAATTGCTGGTTCCCAGGAAATAAAAGACTTCATGGGGGGGGGTGAACCTGCCAACCAAAGGGGAGGGCGGATGGTGTAACGAAGAAACTTTCTTCTGCCTACACGGAAATCTCTCTGCAAAGCCAGCACCCCCCCCCCCCCGTTATTTAATGGGAAGCTTCCTTATTAGGTCTTGTAATGTTTTGAACAACGTTGCAGCTTTTCTTTCTGTCTTTCTTTCTTGGGTAGCGGGAGAAATCAGGACTAGAAAATGTGCATATCTCCATTACCTTTCATCTTCTCCAGTGTCGATACCATCCACTCAATCAGTTTTCCCCGAGAATTTAGATGGTGGTCCCCTTCACCCCACAAAAAACCATGACCTTTATATAATCCTGCTCATTTCCTTTTAATTGCTCAGTTATAGTTTTTGGAAACTTACATAGCAGGTGCAGTTTGATTCTTGAACTGACATGGTGGTATTTGTTTCACCTTCTTTAGAGTGTGTGGATCGCAACAGGTTTTATGATGTCGTACCGCGCCGATGTGTGATCCATTACTCCATCTCTCCAGTTCCTGACTGGCGACATGGTGTGCAACAACGCATCTTGGCTGTGACCCACTCTGCAATTCAGTCAATGATATCTGAGTAGCCATACAAACCTAGAAAGTTGCCTTACATCAGGTCAAGCTAACTACCCCATCTCAGTGGTAGAACATCTACATTACACGCACAAGGCTCCAGGTTGAGTCACCAGGTAGAGTTGTGGGAGACGTCAGTCTGAAACCCTGAAGACCTACTTTGTTTATCACTGTTGTTCTGATAATAATAATAATATTTTTTTATTTATATCACGCCATCTCCAGCCAAAGCCAGGCTCAGGCCAGCTAACAACAATAAAAGTAATGCAGCAGTCTAAAATCAATTCAAAATCAA